GATCTACCCGCTGGGGAACCGTCAGCTTCTCGAAGCGTCAGGCAGGAGTTCATCCTGGAGCGGGTAAAAATAGACGGTAAGCAGTGAAGACGGCGTGCCGTTTATTGGACGGACAGCCAGGAAAAATCCGAATTTGTTCTTCTGGGGGGTGCTTTGGTTGCCCTGGCCCCTGCGCCTTCTTTCTTCTTTTTTTTTTTGGAAAATACCGTCTTGCACGTGCGGCTCATCAGCTGGAACTCGCAGACTAGCGTACGCCTCTAGGGCAGACAAACGGTGGGAAAAACCCACCTACAAACACAAATCAGGTGGCGCCTTCTTTCTTCACCACCTGGGATGCAGCAATATCGGTACTAAGGTTCATGAGAGTCCTCAGCAGCATGGCGCCAGCTAGTGAGAACCTCTTTGAGCGGTTGTCGGACGACTTGGTTACAAAAATCCTGGACCGAAGGCTGTGGTGTCCTCTTGATTGGGATGCAAACAAGGCCCAGGAGCGAGTCAGGTTGGAGCTCGTCTGCAAGAGGTTTCAACATCTGGTGCGCACTTCAAGAAGTTTTGAGTGGGACTTTACTTTGGCTCCAGAAAGTCAAGCTGTCTTCCTGAGCTACGTTCTCCCAAGCTTAGCAGATTTGCGGCACCTGGAGCGGGTTGCCCTATATCTGAAAGCAGATGAATCTTTCCTGACCTTTCTTCTATTGCTCATCCCTCAAGCACTGGGGACTCTCAAGGAGGTGCACTTGTTTCTGGAAGACGAGAGCGAGCACTATGAAGAGCTCTACGTTGACTGGGACATTGTATTCAGGCTTCTCCAGGCTTGCGTCCATCTCACGATCCTGGACATCAATCTGTGGGATAGTTGGGTCAGGACCCCTTCAAAAACGCTGACATTTGCGAAGCCCCTGCAGTCATTTCCATCGCTGCACGTCTTATATCTATACGGATTCGCAGTCCCCAGCACCGGGTTTGAGCAGTTTATCCAGTCGTTTCCATCACTCCAAAGCTTGGAGCTACATCGTGCTGACAGTGAATTAAAGGCTGCAATGCCAAGCTCTATTAAGAAAGTATTCTTCTGGGGCGCTGGCATCGCGGGTCTGGATCTGGAAAACCCTGAGAGAGCTCAAGTTCCTGAAAGCCTGGAGATGCTGCTGAGGATTGTAAGGAGCAAGTGTGCAAGGCTGAAGGAGTGTGCTCTTTATAAGCTGGATCACCTCTTTGAAAGGGATGTTGCAAACCGAAAGGCTTTTGTCAACATGCCTGGCAGCCTTCAATTGCTTGTTGACCTCCTCGAGCCCGAACAACCTTTTTCCGACAGTACGGTCACTGCTCTTCTTCTTGAGAAGCTGTCTTCGGAGCCTGCGGTGTACCAGACTTTGGGCAGGGTGCCTGAACATCTAGAGAGGCTGGTCTCGTCAATGATTCAAATTGGGGAGTCCGGAGATGAGGAATCCTGTGGAAAGCTTGCGAGGGTTCTGCAGGCGGTTCTGTACTGTGAGGGAGTGAACCAGGGGCTGTTGGCGAGCCTTCCTGGGTGTGTACAGAATTTGGTTGCTTTCGCATTAAGACAGACCGCGTCTGTTTATGTCTCTGAGATAGCAGATGTATCTTTTGAAGTTCTCGCAAGCTTGGCGGCAACATCTGAAGATGGGAGGCAAGAAGCGTTGGCAACGGAGTCCCTGGAAACTCTGCTTGAACGGCTGAGATTGGCAAACGTCCCCGGGCTTTTTGAAGGGCTCGTCGATGCTTTGGATGACAACAGTGTAAGAGTGCAACGAGAAGCGGTGAGGGTGCTAGTGGATTTAGCAGAGAGTTCGGTGACGGATGGCGGCAACGATTTGCGGGCCATTGCAGCTGTGCCAGGGTGCCTTGAGAAACTGGTGGAGCTGCTAGGTAGCGAGGACTTGGATGCGCAACTTAACGCAGCGCAGGCTTTACGAAACCTCGCGATAGATGACGGGCTCGCCAAGGCCATAGCCGAGGTGCCAGAGTGCCTTCAGACCCTTTTCGACCTGCTGCAAGATGAGGCGACAGATTGTGAAGAGGTTGACGTTCAAAGGGCTGCTGCGTGGGCGCTCTACAATCTCGCATGCGATGCCGGGACTCGCAAAGCGGTGGCGGGGGTCGATGGGGCGGTTGAGTGCTTGGCAAGCTTGTTAGACGACGCTTATCAGGATCTTGTAGAGCCGGCAGTTGCACTCCTGGGGCAACTGGCTTCAGATCCCGAAGGCAGAAGAAGTATAGTCTCCGTCTCGCCACCTTGTCTCGGGGTCTTGCACGAGCTGCTGAGTAGCGAAGCTGCCACCGTACGGGAGCACGCCGCATGGGTATTCCACGGCCTAGCAGAGGACGGCGAGCTTCGCGAGTCGGTCGCACGTCTCCCGGGGATCTTTGAGAAGCTGGCGGGGCTTCTGACCGTGGCGGCCATGACGAGATGCGCGAAGCGGGGGCCGGGGCGCTTGGGAACCTAGCCCTGGATGCAGACAGTGCAAAAGCCATCGCTCAAGTGTCGGGGTGCGTACGCGGGTTGCTCGGCGCTCTGGAGTCTGGGTCCACGGACCTGGCAAAAGAGGCGGTTAAGGCCCTGCGAAATCTTTCGGCGGGGGTCGTGGGGCGGCGGGCGATTGCTGCGGAGGCGGGCGCCGTGCAAAAGCTAGACAGCCTCTCAAAAGCGGGGGAGCTGGAGGAAGTGAGGGCGGCTGCGGCGGAGATTTTGCGGAACCTGGCAGGGGGACCCTCTGTGGAAGAGAGTGCCGCAAGAGGGGCTCACGGGGAAGGGAGCGGCACGGTTGGTTTGGACTTTAGGGGTTTCGCAGTTGAGCAGTCGGAAATTCAGGAACGTGGAGTGAGGGGCGGTGGGAGGCTGGAAGAAGAGGACGGCAGGGGCAGGGCAAGTGCAGGTACCCGATCGGCAGTGGTGGGGTTGCCCGCAGGGGATAGAAAGTGAAAGATTCGCGGACAAAGGTGAGGAGGGACAGGTTGTGAAAAAGCCACGAGCATTCTTGATTTTTGGGCGGAGAGAAGCGTTCCTTTAGCTGAGGGCTGTGGAGCTCGTCCATGCTGCCCATTCAGACTTCCAACTTTTTCCTCTCCTTCATTTTAAGAAGGGTCTGAAATAGAGTAACAACATCTTCGAAGTCCCGGACTTTGCCTTCCTGAACGCTTCTGTAAGGGCGGCCCATCAAAAGCCGGCTAACAGCTGCAATCTTATCGGGATCAAACCCTCGGGGTTGGAAGCAACCTCGACGAAGCAGAACGGGTCTCTTCTTTTGTCAAACACGTGTACAACAGTAGAGCTGCAGTTTCAGAGGAGTCAAACTTACCTTGCTTTCGACCATGTGTGGTTTGTCCAGTCAACTAGGAATCGAAGGGCCAAGGGTCATGTTCCGCGTCGCTTTGCCCTCATGGAATGGTTGAACTTTTGAAGAAAAGGTGCATAAGTCGCAGCTTTTGTGTATACAGAAACGTCCATGTTACAAAGACATTGTCGTCTTTTGGCTTCAGGTAGCACGGGAAAGACATCGAACTTTGTCATGCTCGTTGGCTTCTTGCGGTGTTTTCTTATCCAGTCTATCCTGTCCATAGCGATCTGCTTCCACTGCGATTCCAACCCGTAGCTCCGTTGTGAAGGTTTCCGATAATCATTCGCTGCCGCTTTCTGTATTGGCTCTATCCTTCGTTTCTCTATGAAAAAGAACTCAGCAGACTGACATCGGCGGACTCGCGCATTCTTGTTCTGACGCACATAGAATAGCCGATTCTCGTCGAGAATCGATGCATCCCCGCGCCCGTAGGTAACGTTTCTGACGTCATGCTGTCGTCCGCAGTGGCGGCGTTCCGCACGACGCGCGCCCAGGCAGCAGCTCGCCGGCAATCGCGTGCGTGGCACGCGCACGCTCACCGTTAGTAGGTGAGCCCTGCTGCCCCAATCTTTCCAGAATACAAACGGGTGTACTTTGACTAGCTTGACAGCCGCCAAAACCCTTTGAAGTTTGCCTTCTCCCGTGCTCAAATGAAGATGCGCTTTTTGCACTCAAGTAACGGCTTGGTCTGAGGTCTAGCACCTTGGAGCAGCGGGAAGTTCGCATCAGCACAGGGGTTGGTCTCTCTTTCGAACTCGCGGGAACACCACCGAAACCCGCAGTTCCACTCACTTCGCCACTCCGCTGTCCCGCAGAACGTACGGCGCACAGAGTGCGGCTTTCAGCACGCCCATGTGCCGGACGGCGCATTTACGAAGTGGGCGTGAAGTGCGCGCACAGAAGGCCAAAAGGAGGGACATCGACGTGGTAGGGACTCGGAGCTCCTCTTGTCTTTTCGAGAGTCTGTCAATCAACCTTTTCATTTCTCAGAACTAGGTGTTCCTTCCTCGCTGAAAAACACTCACCATTTCTGGCTTTTTACTATATTCTTTTAGCCTCACGTTTGATCTACGTACCCGCCATGTTTTTGTCAGCTTCCGCTCTTCTTTCCGAGGTTTTGAATCAGGTTTGGAAGCAGAGAAAGTAGAGGAAGCAGAGAAAGTAGGTGGTTCAGTCGGAACCTGTTCTATTCATTCTGAAGAGACGGTTCTTGGCTTCGGCAGACGGGGCCGGATTCAAAGCCGGGTGGCCGGACTGCACGCTGGCCTTATCAATTAAAAGGCGCTGTGCATTCCTCGACAGTTTCTCAGCGCTCGATAGATTTATCTTTTGTCTAATGCAGGCGTTGAAGCATACTCTGCTCGTGTCGGCTCTGAGTCGAGCCGCCTGTCTACAGCGCCTGTAATTGTCCTCAGAGCATCTTGCATCTGTGGGTATGTGATGGCGGAAGTGTCGGGTTCAAAAGGGTAATTTTTCGAGCTATTGACTGGTCGTTAACGGCTAGGACTGTGTAGACTGTTAGCTATTCTGTCACCGCCCTACACCCGGAGCTGCCCATCGAAGTTAAGGCGCTTAGTATGCGCGCGGGAAGAAATAACCGCCTTAATCTGCGGAAATTTCCACTGTCGTGAAGTTCATTGTCAGGTCATGGTGGCGTATTATCCAGTGTAGATGAAGTTGTTCTTGCCATTAAAGAGGACCTTTGACCTAGTGCCAGATCAAGTACATATTAAGTCGCCAGGCAACCCTGTGCCAAACATCCGACCATTGCTGTACTGGCCGGCATCACTACGTATGTAACCTAAAGCGTGGCATCAATCTCGTGAACACATTGCCATCAAAATACGAATCTGACTTTTGGTCCTCGGATACTCTAGGCTAGCACGCGCGGCGCCCGCGCACCAGCCTCCCGCATGATAATATGCGCGAGCGTAAGCAGTTCCGTGCCTCTAGGCTCCGTGTCTTTAGTTGTTTCAAGCGCTATATCTCGTATTACCAATTTAGAAAACGCCTTAGGTTCGTAAACAAATTTGCTATATGTCAATGAGTACGGATTGATCAACCGGCGAGCTAAGCATGCGCACGTTAGTACATGATTAGCAAAGTGTGTAGTGAATACCGTATCTTAGCCTATAGTAGACAGCCTTGTTGTTCTCCTATGGATTCAGCTGGACCTCGCTGCGTCTCACGCTCGGAGCCCCAGCTCACTATATGTATACATGAAGTTTGCACAAGGATAGATCCGAAAAGGTGTATACGTGAACGGTGCAGATGGACTTGGCGCGGAATTTGATTCGCTAAAGCGACACGGGAAATCGCATGCCATCATTTGAGTCGGACGGCTCAATGATTGTTTGAAAAATGGACGCACACTGACATGCCTCCAGAGGAACGGGCTAGGGAGGCATTCCGTTAACCGTTTTGTTTTTTCACGCTTGGTTAATTGCCTCGTTATCAAGCGCCGCTGCTGTTGGATGTGGAAAGCCAACCAAGCGCGATGCCCCAGACTTTGGGTCAAGACTGGCAAAGAAGCACGTAGCGCGCAAGCTACGTGGCTTGTGCTTAATCGCGTTGCAAATGCCAATAGCGAATATGCAAGTTACGGCTTGCCACTCCAAGGAGCCACTCTGTCCAGAGCAGGTTGCAAAAACACTCGGCAACAATGTGAAAATCAGAACCCGCTAATGCTGATTGTATCCTTTCAGAAACCTATGCATTGAAAGCTCACCCGTCTGAGCCGCGACGAGACCAAGCGTCGACCCCATCAGCAGGACGGCGAGGATTCCAGCAGCTGCCGCAACCAAACAAAGTTTGATTGGCGCCATACTCTCAGCAGATAAGCAGGTGTTTCTGCGATGGATGTCGAGAAGCGGGCTTGGAGCTTCAAAAACAGAGCTGTCTCTGGAATGGGAAGATATGAACGGTCTGGAAGCGTTTTGTATGGTTCGATCGCGGTGTAGTCAAGTCCATGTACGAAGCAGACCAACACTCAGATTGGTCCTCACTTGTCAAGCGACGTACAAGCTGACTTCTTAGATTGCTCGACATTTTCACAGGCTCCGCCGTTGACACTCGGTCTAGGAGCAGCCTTCTAATTGCCCTGTTGGGCAGCAGTGGTGGAGCGCTGAGCGCTGCGGTACAACCTAGACAGGGCGGCCGCACGTCATACCGTCGAGGATAGCGCCGAGATTAGCAACGAGGTTGGACACGAGGTTGGCAACGGGGTCAGCAACGAGGTCAGCCACGTGTTAGCAACGAAGTACAACTTTGCGACACGGTTGAATACAAAGCACAGCTGAGTTGGCGGCACGATGGATCTGCACCGTTTTGCCTTTTGCCAAAGGGTCACGTGGGTCGAAGGAGTTCGCTCTAGCTTGCGGTCAGGGGTGCGGAAATCTGAAACCTGTGGCCGTCGAAACACCATCGTTGGAAATGGTCGAGACAAATTTGCGACTTTTGACGCTGTTTCTGATCTGGTGCTGCCGACGAGGCTTTCCGTCGATTCAGCTCTGGCAGCGAATGTACTGGCTCTCTTCTGGGCACTTTAGAGCCAGACAGGAAGTTGGAAAGGAAAGTAATAGCAGTTTGACAACAGATCTGCTCATCAGTCAACGCCGATCATGAGGGAGTTGGACGGAGGGAAGATTTGAACTTGGGGAAAGCAAAGCCGCGAGGGCAGTTTACGTTGGGGGGCACGCTTAAAGGAACGAATTTGGGGCCTTCCGAACGGTGTGAGCGGTGCAAGATGATGCGGTCTTCCTTCCGAGGACAATTTCGGGAAGCTTTCTAGCGCCACCAAAGTAGAAGCCACCTGACAAACGAAACCTTTATATCACCCAAAAAGAAACCCTGGGCGATCGGTCAAATTCATAGGCGAATGAACCTGCGGGTAAGCCATCCGCACGTTTTCGCTTCTGGTCGATTCGCGAAAAGCAAGGGTTGGAATGTCGTGAACGGGAGAACCAAGTCGACCTTGATGGGCAATATTACCTGGGCAGGGCGTCAGGTCTTTTACAACGAAAAGCAGATATGTGCCGAAATGGTGCTCGTTTTCCATTACAAGAAGCTCAGGAACAGCGCCTGATCTGCAGTTCGGAGGAAGGCCTTTCTGCAATGAGACGATGAGAAGTATGACGTCACCAGCCGGGTCGATTGTCCCCCTTGCGCGCTGTGAGAGTTGAACTTCGTTCATTCAGATGTATGTAATTTTCATGGTCATGCGGCTTGACTGTTATCACTAAGACCGCTCGTTCAGAAGAAAACTTCTAACTTCAGAGTTAGCGGAGTCGAAGCCATCGTCAAGACCAATAGTCCTCTTCCCAATGATATCATCAGAAATATGGTTTTACTGCTTATCAGACCGCAAGGCATCTGTACCCTGAAGCGCATATGCCACGAGAAGAGCAAAAGGCTGCTCCTGGGTTTGTTTCACAGGTTGAGAAAGATTTTTAAGCACGACTTGAGAATCGTTCTCACGTGCTTTAGAAGCGCCGCCTGCTTTTCCCATGCTTCGGACGCGCTTCGTCCGGAAAGGGCCGCCGACTGACCGCGTACGCGTCCGGTTCCGACATCCAGCGGTCTCGAGCCGTCCGATGAAAGCCACGTGTTCCACGGACGGTCGTAACGTTCTTCCCAAATAGTCACCAGGTTCGCCCACAGTAAATTCAGTCAAGCAACGGATATATGAGGTCAGCTTTCTGCCCCACGTCTTTCAGCGGATCGATCCGGGGCGCCCCCCGGCACAGGGGCAGGACCTCTGTCCAGGGGTGCTCCACGGAGCTCCCCCGGAACCACCACCTCTCATTCCCAAACCATCTTTCACCAGAATCACACCTCCAAACCACACTCGTTTCCACTTTCAGGATTCACGTATTCCTCTCCACAGCCATCCTGTCGCAGTACCCAAAGCCTCATAACAACTTTCACCCACACATCTAAAGGTCAGAATGAATTCTGAAAACAAACACTCTCATGTTTCATGTGTCAGCCAAGCCGTGCCTTACATAATCTGGTAGCATGTGTAGCTGTAGGTTCCGGCTTCTGAATGAAACAAGTTTCTTCCTTCGATCTTGAACAAAGACAACCAAATCATGTGGAATGAATGAATGGGTCGTCAGGATTACCAGAAGGTCAAGACGACAAAACCAACGACACCTCCAACTTTCACCAACTTGGTGAACTTAAATATGATGTTTGAGTGAGGAACAAAGTGCCACGGAGGCTTTCAAACTCCTTACAAGAGAACGTTTAACAAAATTGAGACCCATGTCTGCATTACAGAAAATGAAGCACCATACGCTGCTAATTCGAGGCATGTGCAGAGCTCTTACGAGGGCTGCAGTTCAATTTATGTCCTGCAAGCAACAGCTTTGCGCGATCACATCAGCAACAAAAGGTGCAACGTTTGTTGGAACATGCGCTAATGATGTCATGTGTGATCACCCGTAGCGCGTGTTCCCCAGGACCGCAGCCTGGACCGGGACCGCAGCCCGGTAAGGAAATAGAAAACAGGGACCGCAGCCCTGCAGGGACCGCAGCCCTGAACGCCTAGCAGGCGTTGCAAAGAGGGGCAACATTTGTCTATATAAAGGCTTCTTTCGTGAATTTTGCACTTTGTGGGCCGAGAGAACCTGGCACATGCACATCCAGCCGTCCAATAAGGCCACGTGTCAGATCCAACGGCTCCCAGAAGCGCACTCGAGATCGCGACGGTCGGCTGCGACGCGAAGCCGCGACGATGGCGTACTGAAACGCCGACAGCGGACGGTTGGCGACGAGCCTGGGAAGGGGGAAGCGGTACGGAAGCGGAGATCAAGACCGCACAAAGACCGAAACATTGTGAATGTTTTGTGGCGGCGTCTTTTGAGCCTTCATTACAAAGGACCCGGAACAACCCTGCAGTTCAAATGCATCCGCTTGCTCAGCCCTCTGTTTTATGAACCATGTTTGAGTTTTGAGTCTTACGTCTCCCTGGCATTACCTTGCACTCGGCGTAACCTGTCAAACTCCACAAGCAAGAGGTAGTGCGCGCTTCTTATCGAGCGTTTGTGTCATTTCGCTGGCTGCATTTTCGTGCCTGCCCTGGCGGTGCAGTAGTTGACGTCTCGAGTTGCAAACCAGCTCCATCAGGAATACAAGAGTGCAGCTGGTTGTTTAGTAAGGCAACTAGAATGGAACTCCGTACGTGTTATTTGGGCAGAAAAGAGCAGAGCAGGTCTTGGTTTCAATCCTTTTACGCGTCGGCCCAACCAGCTCGGTTAAGATGCGTGTCAAACCGAGAACAAACCTCTCAGCAAGGCTCCGCGGAAACGCTTCGCTAAAGACATTTAACCGCTGAAAAAGGAATTTTCATGGCCAGGCAGGTGAAGTATGTCATGGGGAAGGAGATTACAGTGTTCTTGGAAGCGCAAGACTCTGGAAGCAGAGTGATCAAAGAAGCATTGGAAAGAACCACTGATTGCATAATCCAAGTACCCAAATCCAAGAGGTGCTGACAAGGTGTCAGCTTTCTTAGAATGACAGCTGTCAGGGCTTGGCACGACTTCCATAGCAACGCTTTGAAATTAAACATGAAGCAGATTTCATTTTGCGAGATGGCCCTGCAAGCAGACAGATGTCACCGAAGACCATTATTCTGGCCGCTGGGGCTGTAAAATTCAATCTCCGTGCCTCTGCGGGATTACAAATGAACGGAGCCCGCCGTGCTTACGCACCTAAGTCTATGCAACTGGCCCGAATGAGGTAATATGCATAGGATGCGGGATTGAGGTTCCGATAAGAATCCTTCGACTCTTCTGAAGAGGCACGTTGAAAGGGTACGGCCGGGAATCGGTACGCTTCATTGTCAGCAAGACCGTCGACGAAGAATATGAAGCATAGCTTGCTGACTCGACTTAAGAGGGATCGATTGCGTTGATATTTCTGCCCAACAAAAGCTGCAGTTGCGGATGCTCCGCACCGAAGCTGAGCATCTCATATGGTCGTATCATACATAGAAATTACCACTTGATGGAAAGAGCAGGTCACATATTTTAGGCAAGCCCGAAAGAATGGGTGGCTCCCATTTCATGATCGTATGACAAGACCGTTCTAGTAAATCGCGAGAGTTTCTCATGTGATTAAATGGAACGATTCGTACCGACTCGCTGCCCCGCAAGGATGACGGGTTGCGAACGCGTCTTGTCATACGGCTTCGCCTAGATCATACCCACTCCGTTTTGAGGAACATGACAACCACGTGCAATGGTCACGTACCTCTCAGCCAGGTCCCGCTCTTTCTACAAAGCATCCCAACTTGCACACTTTCAGTCTCGAATCCTCGTTCTGGCGCCTGGTCTTCCAGAGGCCTCGCCGAGTTGCCGTTTCGGCAATTCCGTTCTGCACTTCTCTGGCGCAATCAATAGGCAAACCGACACCTTCAACAAAATGGGTTTCCTGACGAGATTCAGGAGAAAGAGTTTTGCGTTGACACGAAGCTTGTGCGGTGGCGCTGAAATGGGGGCCATGGAGGACCCCAAAGCAGCCTTGTACTGTGAGGTGGGCTGTCGACAAGAACAGGAGCAAACGATAGTTATGGAGGGGCCAAGGCTTTCAGACGGGGAGGCAGGAGCGGACAAAACTGATATATAATTTCACCAAGGGACAAGGTACCACAATTCAAGATCTTGACACGCAGTGTCTCATTCACATCATGTGGCAACTGCGCGAGAAACGCAAGCCGGAATCCCTCGACGTTTGGTATACCCCGAGCGAGGCCCTCCGGGCTTGCTCTTTGGTGTGCCGTGATTGGCTCGCAGCGGCCAACTATGCCAAGAAGACTTTAACTCTACGGGGAGCGCCGCAAGTTGCTGACCTCCCCCGGTTCCTCTCTCGCTTCCCCGACCTCCAGGGGGTTCAAATCAGGGATGCTAGGCCGGAAGTAGACAGAGGCGGGCCTAGATTGTTCTGTGGCCTTTGTCCAAGGGGGGCACGTCCGGACCCCTCTACCGTTCTCGGCGACCAGCCGTTGGGGTTGCTGGTGCCCAGCTGTCGCCGTTTGCTCCATTTGAAGCTGGTAGATTGCACCCATGTCTCAGACGCAGGACTTGCCTCAGTCTTACGAGGATGCCCAATGTTGTCAAGTCTAGAATTAAGGAACTGCGGGGAGTTGAGTGGGTCTGCGTTCGAGGGCGTTGGATGTAAGCTGCTACAAGGACTGACGCTGGAGTTTTGCGGTGGGCTGACAAACGCGGGGCTCGAGGCAGCGGCGGCCGCATGCCCATCGTTACTGCAACTCAATGTTAGGAATGTCAAGAACGGTCCAGATTTATCTGCTGGGATCGAGAGCTTCACTGCACACGGCGGCCTGGAAACTATTACTGTGGAGGGATGCCGGATCACTGACGTCACCCTGCGGAGCTTTGCGGTCCGATGCCCTTTGCTGAAGAAAGTTCTCATCATGCACGAGGACGTCATAACCGATGCCGGAGTTGCTGCCTTCATGACAAGCTTGCCTGGCTTAACTCGGGTCGACCTCGTGTTCAACAGCCAGCTTTCAAGCGAAGGGTGGGTTTCGTCGGTGGTAAACGTGCAGTACAACGCCCGGCTTTTGAAAGAATGTGAAGAGCTTTTTGTTACCAAAATTCTCTGCTGCACGTCGCCTTAGTGTCCAAATGCACCTCTTCGCTTGGCTCCTCAACAGGTGTTACCGACTCGGAGTCACAGCTTCGATTTGCTTCTACGGGAAAGCCAATTTGTACTGGAGTCCTTGCCAAACTTCGCCCAACATAGCTATAAGCTCAAAAATATCGTTAAAGGTAATATGACTCTGTTATTCTTCTGCTTGCAGCCTTTTACGGCGGTCTACAAGCGGGGATCATAGGCTCGAGCTGCAGCCGCTTACGTCGGATAGCCCCATCCGAATGTCTGTAATGTTCATTGACGGAGGCCTCCCATAAATGAAGTCACCAGGTACCACGGCATATATAGCCGGCGGCACTACTCCGATCTTGAGATACACTTGGTAGCATTGGGTGTCGATCTTCGTTAAGGACGAAGGAACGCAGCTAGGCATAAATAATGCACGTAAGTGGTTGTTGAGCTTACTCAACCACACGTGATGCAGGCAGAAAAGTGTGAAGTTAGCAAGTGATCAGAAGCTGCAGTCAGTCTTCCAGCAGTATTGTTTGGTTGTCGAAGCTTGGACTCTAAGAAGGTCGAGACCTTCCGGTGGGTCCTGATCTTAACGCTTACCTTGGCGGCGGCCGGGCTGAAGAAATGGCTCGGCGATCAAACAGTTTTATCGTGACTCACTTTCATCCTCGAAGATCTGATTGGCACCATTCCTCATACATATGTTGTGTCCTCGCAGTGCAATCTAAATGCTGTTTACGACCATTCCCGAACTCTGATTTCACCTCTCACACTGAGAGCGGCGATCTTTGCAAGATTTTTTGCACATTGAATGGGCTACCAAACGGCAGTTGCCTAATGAAATTATAACTTCTGTGCTGCTCCGATGCTTGGTCGACCTGGGCGTTGGGGTTTGTTCCTTTACAAGATTCTGAGGGTCAAAAGCATCTTCGAAGATAGTTCGAATCAACAGGACCTTAACTTCGATCGAAAGAAGGAGTACAAGTGCTCTACTCGCTGGTTGGATCTTGTCAGGAATGGATGAAGGACGGTTTGACGAAGCCGTTTAATGGATCCGACACAGGAGACTGTGGGTTGTCAGGCACACGTGGTGAAAGATCTCGTCGACACGTCTCGCCAGCACTGGCTCTCGTCCTCTTCTACGACCTTTCGGTTTGGAAATCGAAAAGTCTCTGAAGCTTGTTTGCTACGTCGCGTCCAAAAATGAGTGAAAAAAGAGCCCAGTGGTAGAGCGCTTCCTTGGTTAAGGAAGAGGGAGGGCGGCCGGGCGCTTCTAAGGTGCCTGAGCAAAGCGGCGCTTTTCGTCAGTCATCTGACAGCTACTTCTAGATCCTCCTGATCGCTTGCGTCTTCACTTGTTCTGCTAATGAAACGGTCCAAACCCGTCGGCCCGCGTGGCAGCTAGTTTACTTCTGAAAATATCTGAATAAGCCAACCATATTTCTTGTGTCGGCAGAAATGTTTTCAAGGAAACAAATGGACCCTTCCGAACGGCGAAGCCCCTTACAAACCTCCCTAGAATGGCGCACTGAGCACTAGCGACTCAGGGAGGCAATCGAACCGGCGAAGAGATCAAGGCTTAGGAGCGGTCGAACCCTCCCCAGTCAAGAAGATCAAAGCAGACGTTTCGAGGCGCACTCAAAAACGGCACGAGTAAAAGGGCGCTGTCAGAAGGTTGGTTAGGCTCAGATTTTATCCCTTCACTAGGTCTTCCATGTTTAGACAAGATTGACGGCTTATAGAGCAGGAAAGTCTGTGCGTATAGCGGTGCAGAGAAAGAGAAAGGACGAGAGAAGAGGCCGTGATATGGTGGGGGATGCCACGCGAATGTAAATGTAATGATCAGTCACGACTGCTCCGAATCTCACATGGTCGCCTTTTTGACCTAGCTCTGTGATATGAGTCTGCCCCTCCATCTACAGTGCTCCGGGAAGTCTCTGGATCGACTGCTGCAGGATACAGGCCTGTCTAATCGTCTACTTTGAGGATTGAACCGATCCGATCCGATTGAGAGCAAACAGAGGGGAGCCATCTCGCATCTTTTCTAGGCCCGTCGCAGAATCTTTAGAACGCGGCTTCACGATTACCTGCGGAGAAAAAGTGCAAGGTTTTCCAGCTGCGGATCGATAGTCCTTTGGATACAAGGACGCAGCATCTTGTAAATTCTCCCAGGCTGCCGACGGTCACGACCAGGCAGCATGAAAACCTGGCCACGTGGCGCCCATTGCACCGCTCCAACCAAGATGCAATTCTGAGCCCCTAAAGGAAGAAGGCTAGCCCTCGTTAGCTAGAGCACAGTGTTAAGAGGCCACCTTGAACCCGTAGCGCCTTTGCATCGGTCTTATAGAGAACGTCTGCTGGTTGAAATCGTACGGCGTTCACCTCTTCCGCTTTCACCGAGGCTTCAAAAAGAAGTACGCCAGACCAACATATCCTAGGGCACAGATGCCACAAAGTCAAACTTGGGCTGCTTTGATCGAGTCTGGAGCCCGGCCGGATGCTGCCAAAACGTTGTTTATACCGGGAAGGTCAGTATAGAGATATTAGTCTCGTCCGCTCATGCCGCGTGGGGAGCGCCGATCGCTCTTCTGTGCTTCGGACGCGCTTCGGAGGCCCATAGCGACAGTCGCGTCCGGAGTTGACATCCAGCGTTTCGAAGTACCGTCCGATGAGGGACACGTGGCGCGTGGACGGTCGGAACGTCCTTCTCGGGTAGTCACCAGGTTCGCCCACACCAAAGTCATACAAGCAGCAGATATATACGGCGAGCTTCGGCCCCGCATCTTTCAGCGGATCGATCCGGGGCGCCCCCCGGCCCAGGGGCAGGACCTCTGTCCAGGGGTGCTCCACGGAGCTCCCCCGGAACCACCACCTTCTCTGCCGCAAACCATCTACACCGAACTCACACCACCAACCAACTTCGATCATACATAAGAACACTCATCTTCGCTTCTACCATTCACTCATGTATCCCTCCAAACTACCTTTCCTTCCCCAACGCTTCAAACCAACTTTCACCCACAGATCTTAAGCTCGGGATGAAATGTGAAACTTGCTTGTAAAGCAAAGCAAACACGTTCGTGTTTCATGCGTCAGCAAAGGCGCCGCGCCATGCTTAATCCGGCAGCATGAGTAGCTGTAAATTCCGGGTTTAAACAAACCCAAGTTTCTTCTTTCCTTCGTTTTCTGAACAAAGACAACGAATGATGTGGGTAATCAATCGGACGTCAGCATATCCAGAAGGTCAAGACGACGAAACCAACGACACTTCCAACTTTGTTGACTTGATGCACTTGAATTTGAAGGTTTGAGTGTTGAAAGTGCCACGGAGGTTGCATCCACCTCCCGGAAAAACGTTGAACAAAATCAGACCCATGTCTGCATTACAGGAAAATGAAGCACCACATGCCCGTCACGGTCCCCGTACCGGTCTTACATATGTATCCTCTTCTTTTAACTGGCCTGCGATCGAGCATTCGCAGACCTGTGATTGGCAGCAAAAGGTGCAACGTTGTTTGGATCATGCGCTAATGATGTCAATTGATCACCCGTAGCGCGTGTTCCCCAGGACCGCAGCCTGGACCGGGACCGCAGCCCGGTGGGAAGTCAGAAAACCGGGACCGCAGCCCGGTAAGGAAGTCAGAACCCAGGGACCGCAGCCCTGAACGCCTAGCTGGCGTTGCAGAGTGGGGCTGTATTCGGCTATATAAAGGCGTCTTACGTGCAAACCAGACCTTGTGGGTCCAAGGATCTTCGTCAACGTCCAGCCGTCCGATGACGCCACGTGGCAGATCTAACGGCTTCGAGAAAGCAATCCAGTTTACGACGCGACGCCGGACGCTGAAGACCAGCGGACAGTCCGATCGGCGGCGAGCTCGAATCAGCACGAAGTCCGGAGCGAATTTGAAGTGACTGAATGGCGAATTCCTTCTGATAGGTCCTCGTATTCCTAGCCTCCACTGTGGTCCGGAACGGACTCGCATTCGTAGTCACTCCAATACGAGAGATGCTCAGCCGTCGTTTCTTCAGACAACCTTCGAGTCCGGAATCATTCCTTGCAGGCATTCTCCAAACGTACAGCTTGCAGAAGGCTATGACACATACGTTTGCGATCGGGTGCTAGAAGCGATTTAGCATGCACAGCTGACGAGTCGTTTGTTCTCAAGCAACTTGCTTGCATGTCACTGGTAGTCCGGACGTCCAATTGATGACGTCGTCAGAGCGCATATCAGCTTCAATATGGAGAAGCGTTGGTCGTGGTATTGCAGGCTGGCACCTAGAGTGCAAGCCGTTGTTTGTGATGCAAAGGGAGCAGAGTATATCGGTAAGATGTCGCGCCATGTGATGCCACCTGTCAAAAACAACGGCTTAGAGGCAGTGCCAGCGTCGTTAGCAAAGATGTCTCCACTCCGCAAGGCCGCGAGTGGAATAGGACTTCGCTATATAGATTTTGACGCTTGCACAGGAGAGTCGAGGTAGGGAAGGGATGCAAGGGAAAGGCCACAGTGTTTTGGTCGAAACTGGGCCTTGGGGAGCAAAACATTTCCGTCAAGCGTCCAAAATATTCAGTGCAATCCGATCGAGCAGAGAGATTGAGACAAGGTGTCAGCTTTTTGAAGCGACAGCTGTCATGCGGCTCGGCACGAACTACATGTCGGTAGTAGTGACGTAAGCATCACCATAAGGCCTCGCTCAGTCTGACGTACTCGAAGTTGGCCCTGCAAGCAAACAAAACCTCTCTGGTAGATCGGACCATCAACCTGGGTCAAGCACCTTTGAAGGAAGTTTGTGTAGTTCTGGTTGAAAATCTTTTTCCACGCTCCTTCTCGATTCTCGACCTTTATCGGACTGGTCGCAAGCATTGCGCATAGAAGCCCTGAAACGCCTTTCCAACTTTGCACAATTCCAACACGGTCTCTATTTTAGCAGCTGTGCTGTCTGTACATAAGAACTTTCTCAAATAGACCGGCGTCAATCTGCCGTTTCAACTTGCGCCTCGCATCGGGACTGGACGGGAAAGCTTGATCTCCGGGCGTACCTATCTACTATGCTACCTTATCCAGGTATTGGCACAAGCGGCTTTAGAAACCCATGTGAAGTGGACACGTTTCAGGCTGCGCGCGAGCGAAACCCGTTTCCGACGTCAGAGTTCGAGTGGGTTGGCCGAGAGAGCGATGGCGGACCGTCCGGCCTCAAAACTGGTCTTTCTCCTCCGCGGCCGAATGGAGTCCCGAAGACACGCTTATACTCCGTACTCGATATTGCTCTTGTCAAGCAGGTATGTGTCACAAGAGGCATGAATACAAAAGTTCAGCGCCCTCTTCTTCGCGGGTTATCTCTTCGGCTTCAAGCGCGCCCTGCACAAACCTTTAAGGGCTGCGCCCACCTTTCTCAAGGACGACGTTAGCGGAGCGGTTTCGAAGAACCGAACTCTTTAATGTGTGGATGGCAACGCGATCGTGACGTATCTTCGGGATCAATACATCAGGTCAAAGCTACGTACCCCTTGGCAATTTCCTGTCCGCGGACTCTACTCGAAGGGATGATGTGAACCCTCTCTCACGGTACGGATTTTTTCAGACTGCCTTGACGGAACATTGGCCCGGCGCTCAACATTGTCACCTTAGTGCGCCGGCCGACAAGGAATGCAATAAGGTAAGTGGTTTGAAGCATTAGACGCTCTCGTGAAGAACCCCTTTCAAGCAAGGGACTTATAAAACGCACTGAAAGCTTGGCAGGAGACAAGAACCCTGTTGTTTGCTCTGCTGTTTGACTGCCTAGTTGTGAAGATTCAAACATGCCGCTCATATTCATATTCTCGTAGGTATACTACAATAAAAGTCGACCACATCGTCACCCGAGCAAAACGGTATAGATGAACGAGTGAGGAGAAAACTTGAGGCCAACGTGGGCTCGTGCGGGACGCACAATGCGGCCGGCGGCGCGCGCTGTCCCGCACGCGTGAGCACTAATTGTGCATCACTTTCCCATCACTTTATGGTTACACCGCCTTCACATCGCATAAAACTAGCATTATACACTCGTATTGGGCCCCGGAGCAATGCCCGGAGATTTCCAGTCCCACTTTGATGCAACAGCGGTTCCAGGTCTCGGATCGGGTCTTGTGCTGTTGTACCAGTGTCACCATCACCGAAAACGTGACCGTTTTGAGCAATCACTTTTTACAGTGACCATGAATCAGAGGGCAGCCTGGCAGCGGTTCTTGAGGGACAAGGTCTCTACTGTCGCCCTCCGACTCTGAACGGGCTCTGAACCGTCCTGACCGTGTCCGCAGCCGCTCAAGTCCACGCGCGGCCGGCCGGCGGCCGAATCAAAAGTACTGTTCCGCGCGCCGCGCGCGCCTGTGGCGCGGCGGTCACGCACTGATACGCGCGACCCCGCGACCAACGCCCTGGGGCCTAACCCCCAAACCCTGACCCTGGAAACCCTATTCTCAGCCTAGCGCTAGGGTTCTGTCAGTGTTACACTTTTTGGGAAAGAACCGTCCGGCCTCTGAATATTCTGGTGGTGCAGGGCGCTTGACGTAGCAGGGGTGGAGGTGCGTCATACATGCAAACTACCGGTAAGCACTGCCTCACTCAGAAATCCAGATGACCGCCATGGCGGCCACCTTGACCCGCTCTGCCGCGGCGCTGCCTTCCGCGCCCATCGCACAGAGGGGATGGCAGCGCCAGCAAGGCGATGCCGTGTGCCTGTCATGCCGCATGCAGCGACACGCTCGACCGCGCCCAGCCGCTTCAGCTCAGAACCGCCCACAACGACCGCTCAAAAGCGCCGACTTTTTTCCGGCGCTCCCTTCTGATGGGCTCCGAAGCCGGGCATCTCAGCGGAGAAGCCGTCCCTGTCGAGCGGCATACGTTTCGGCGCCCGTCGCTGAGCCTCATGAGGGCCCGTCGGAGGAGGCGCGGCTAGCAGCAGCAGATCCGACCGCCGGGTTCGCGACGCCCAAGTCGTTAGAAGAGCCGCTGGTGACGTGGCAGCTTGTGGCGCGTCTGATTGGCCAGCACAAGCTGAGGGTCGCGGCGGCGGCGCTTGCGGTGGCGGGGGGGACCGTATGCACTCTCAGCATGCCACAGTTCTCGGGTGAGGGCGCTTGTTGTTTTTTGAGGGCTCGTTTTAGCGATGCAAGCAGACAGGACTGAAGCGTGGATGCTTCTATCACCACTACATGCATCACACTTCACATTGTTCATTAGGTGAGGGCAATATGCTGACAGGTTTCCAGGGGCTCGGTTTGAGTTATATAAACAGACGGGATACGAGCGGATGCTTTTGTGTTGCACCACTACATGCATCACACAAACAACGATCTTCACGATGGCGGTGGTGGTCGTGCGTTCTGTTGGGGAGGTTGTCTGGCCTGGTTTGGCAAGTGGGGAATCATTTACCTAAGAGTCTCTCTTGATGGCTTCCACAGAGTCAAAGATTTCGGAGCCTCGCTTATGGTGAAAAGTGTCTGGACATTCTAAGAGTTCAACCCGTAACTCAAGAGTCCTTGTCAAACTTTCTGGGTGTTTGATTGATCAAAGACTGAGGCCAATTTCTTGTGCGACCAGAGGCAGGTAGAGGCTTCTGCTGCCTTTTGATGTTTACTACCCAATTCATCGCAGGCAAATTCTTTGAGACGCTGGTGGGCATTCGTCCGGGGCCGCTTTCAGATCTGCTCTGGAAGCTGGGGCTACTCTATGCTGTTGAGGTAAGGACAGGAACTGGAACGGACGAGACATCTTGGTTGGGTAAACATTGGGGTATATTCTAAGGAATTCTAATACGAATAAGCATGTCGTGCCTAACTGCGCCTGACTGCAGATTGAAGATTTTGACGTGACATAGATCAAGAGGTCAGTCAGCAGCCAAAAGTCTTAGAACAGTCTAAGCTATCATTTTCCTTCCCGTGAAAAAAGCAGTTGATGTCTGTCCATGGTCTTGATTTTGATAGCTTTTGGATGAGTTCATCGCTTAGTCAATGCACCACAAGTGGATTTCGAAGCAACAGATGAAGGAATTTGCTTCTGTACACTTTCCGTCAGTAAGCTGTCTTGTCTTTAACTTCTTGACTTCGAATGACCTCTAATTCTACAAGCTGTGAACCCGAGGGAGAGTGTTTTTCCAATATAGGATTGGCTTCGGCTTGTTGCTCCGAAAGCATTCGATTGGTCTTTACAATCTGTTCCTCCAGGAGCTCCGATTGACTGTACATGTAAACACTTTTAGTCGAGCTCCGATGACTGTATATGTAAACACTTTCAATCGAGCAGTTTTCGAGGGGGAAAAAAAGCACTGTATTTTCTCCTCAATCGCTCATCTCCCCCGCTTGGCTCCTCTTGCGCCGCAGCCATTGGCGACTGTTGTGTACATCACGAGCATGACCACCATGTGGGAGAAGGTCACGGCCTCGTTGCGCTCCCACGTGTACTCGCGCCTGCTCATGCAAAAGGTATGGACCCCTCTCGTCGCACTTCGGTTGACCCTCGTTTTCACCAACAGCAGCTTGCAACAAGGATGACTACTGGAAAGGTCAGCATAGCACTGATGCCTGCGCGGGAGACAAATGGGGTTATTGAGGGGGTTAGGGTGGACGGCGGGTGCAGAGAGCGTGTTTTTCTTGGGTTACGTAGTCTAGTTGAGCTGCCCAGGGTTCCTGCCGTTTTGGTCCAAGCTGCTGTGAGTCGAAGCTAGAGCTGCCAGTACTCATCGAAGATAAAGAGACCAAGTCACTCCCGTCCCAATTGCTGCTGAGAACATTGAGACGGGTGCGTGCGGCATCGGATGAAGTTTGATCATCAGAAGAGACGGTTTTGGTTAGGTCGGAGTGGGGTTGTCAGTATCGGCATGCGGGTCTTGGCTTCAATTTTGACAGGCAATCGCCTTTCCAGCGAGACTTAAAGACTGGTTGTTTCAACAGGTCTTTTTTGGTTGAGTCGATCGGCTGGTGAATCAATTCTCGAACTTTCTGATCCCATGTTCTATCTTCTGAAATTACTTTGCTCCTCCAGACTTCTAGCTGTTCTTATGTGGCGTTACTTATTTTCATCATCATTGTCAATGTCCGATTTCAAGAGTGCCTTTCACTCGCCTCTCTTTTTGCAGGTCGAGTTCTTTGACCGGTTCCGGGTTAGTGAGCTGACCAATCTGGTAACCACGGAGCTGGCTGCGCTGCGCTCGGTGGTCCTGGACAATGTGTCACGCGACCGAGGGTTCCGCTCCGTGTCCGAAGTTCTGGGCACGTTCGTCATCCTCTTCAGACTCGCCCCACGTCTCGCACCCGTCCTAGCCATCCTCATCACCAGCGTGTCAATCGGCGCAGGTGAGACAACCAGCGGTTAACCAGGGCCGGTTACGGGTTGATTAGGAACCCTTTCATTACTTGGAATCGTCCCGCACCTCGCGCCTGTGCTAGCCATCCGTATCACCAGTGTGTCAAATGGCGCATGTGAGAGAACCGGGTTTCGGCGGTTGACCATCGTCGGTTACGGGCTGGTTAGAAGCTGTTTGATACTTCGGCGTCCAGACTCACAGGGGCCCGTGCCCGTGGTGGCCAGCCTCTTCACCAGCGTGTAGATCGGCACAGGGGAGATAATCGCGTTCTTGTGATTAACCAGGGTCGGTTGCGGGCTGGGTAGAAGCTGATGATGTGTCCAATGCCCCGATTCAAAGAGAAATCAGACCTTAAACACGGTTATAGCTCTGCTACTGGTCGAAAAAGCAGATTTGAGTATAATCACCCAGCCTGGAAGCAGCCGGATCCTTCCTGTGCTATATGCACGGCAAAATCAGCATTGTGGATTGGCATTTAGAAGCCGGATTGTATTAGATGCCAGCAGCTAGAAGCACTTTCCATTTTAGTACCATGTCGCGCTCCCAAGATGCTTTTCTTCCCCTTCGCTTCTCCCGCTGCCGAACGAAATCGTGTGGCCTCTCCCTTGCTGATCAAGACGGGCAGCTTTCTTACATGGCCACGTCATTGGCGATCCGGACCAAGCGGATCCTTTGAGTGCCTCTTTCTGACAGCTTCTTTTTACTGAACTCGATTCTTCTGCAGCCACTTTTACTGAATTCGATTCTTTCTGCAGCCATTTACAAGCGCACGACAACCCCCGCTTTCAAGGACTTTGGGGTGTCGCAGGGGCGGCTTGGGGAGGCGGCCAGCGAGACCTTCTCCGCGATTCGAACGGTGAGTCGCACGCATGGCAGCGTGCCTGATCCGGTCCCTCTTTCCGGTTCTGCGAGGAGGATCCGTCAGCTATTTGTAATCGCAGAGTCGAGACTTTACGTCATCTTCACAAGCGACCTTTCTAACCAGAGGCGAGCAGCGAGACCTTCCTCACCATCCAGTTGGCTGGTTGCACGCACTGCTGTTGCAGCCAGTCCGGTCTCTCGTTTCGGGATGTGTTGTGCGTTTCGAAAGTTGCCTAGTTCCGGACCGCAGCTTACCATCTAACGTCTGCGGGAACAGGAAACAAGAAACGAAGCTAGAAATCAGTAATCTGAAGAATCTTCAGGGAAGCAAACGCTTTTTATTCACTGTGGAGTCTTCGATGCCGCCGCGGTCTGTCTAACACGGACCTGAGACTTGGAATGGGCTACACGAGCGATTAGGTAGCCGTTGCTAGTGCGGCAGGATTATGGGCTTGCTCAGTGCTTGATTCGTTTCTGAAATTACCTCCTTCGTCCGTGCAAATAAGGATCTTTTTGAACGAATCTGCTCCCTCCTACCTGCACCCACTGGGGCAAGCTGATGTAGATACTTCGAGTCCGGTCGCTGCAGTCCGGTCAAAACCTCCAGCGTTGGATGCTCCACTGTTGTGTCCTTCACTTGGTCTGCCGACCCCAAAAGCATTCGCGCTTGCATGCGCTTGAGTGAGAGAGGCTGATGATAGCACCTTCGCTATTCCCAGTACGCTGTTTCAAGCGGGACTCGTCTTACGACTCTCGCGCGTTTGTCACTCCGTAGCCTATGTTAGAAATTTCAAATCCTACGTTTCTAAATCCTTAACATACTAACTTTCTAGAACGTCGGCAGGTCCGGTCGTTCGGCAAGGAGCGGTGGCAGACCTGCGCCTCTTGACGAGCAGGTCTGTAGACATCCGTGGCGCGGGGAACATCTTAGGGTGGCAATTCCTGATAATCATAAAACTTTGAACTCTACTTGGCAGGTCCGGTCGTTTGGCGGCGGCAGATCCGCGTCTTCGACGAGCGTGCGTCAGGCAGTCGGGGCGTAGAAGAGTGCTCCGGGGGGCCAAACGCTAAAAATCTTGAACCCCCAAAACCCAAAACCCTTGAACTGTGCTTGGCAGGTCCGGTCGTTTGGCAGGGAGCGGCGGCAGATCCGCATCTTCGACGAGCACGTCTGTAGGCAGCCATGGCGCGGGGCCGCGCCTTGGGATGGCTAACTCAAACCCCTGAACCCCTAAGACTTCCAATACAATTCTGCAGGTGCGGTCGTTCAGTGAGGAGCGGCGCGAGATCTGCGTGTTTGACGAGCAGGTTTATAGGCAGCCGTAGCACGGGGTTGCCCCTTGGGATGGCAAACCTCAAAAGCTCTGAACCCCTGGCAGGTGCGGTCGTTCGGGGGGGAGCGGCGGGAAATCCGCGTGTTCGACGAGCAGATGTCAGGCAGCCATAGCGCGGGGCCGCCCCTTGGATGGCAAACCCTAAACCTATTAAACCTGAAACCCCTGAACGCTTGAATTATGCTTCGACAGGTGCGGTCGTTTGGCGGGGAGCGGCGGCAAATCCGGCAGTTCGACGAGCAGGTGTCGGGCAGCCGGGGCGCCGGGGAGCGCCTCGGGGTGGCCAAGAGCCTCAACGAGTCGTGGACGCGCATCGCGATCTATGTTTCCCTTTTCGTGCTCTACGTTGTTGGGGGGGCCGAGGTCAAGGCGGTGAGGACTGCAATGTGGTGACATTCCCGCAGAAAATAAACTTGCGTTATGCAAGTATGTTACCGTCAGAAAATTTAGCTTACAGGAACCGCTCTTCTTAAATAAGTATGCTGCACTGGTGGGGTAAATGCCAGGCACGACGGAGCGCTTTTGTCGATTTAGACAATGGTATTGTTTCCGGCAATGCCGGACAAGGTATCGTACTTGCTTCGTTGTCAATCAGTCGAACAATGAACCGGACTGAACGCTCTTGATATGGTCCGCTGGATACTCCCGGCTCCCCTGGGATTAGTGGGGGGTTTTTTGGGGTGGTTAATGGTGCAGAGCAGATCATTTTTAGGTTAAGGTGCTAGTGTTGGTCCCTTAGTGCTTTCTTGGCTTGTTTGTATCTGACTCAAAGAACCATCTTTGCAGGGCCGGCTCCCGGGGGCGACCATGCTGGCGTTTGTTGAAAATCGTCCACTTTTACTTTTGCACCCAATCTCAGCCTAGCCCCCAAGCTAACCCTATCCGTTTCCCGAGCTTAACAAGATTGTTTAAACGGCTTGATACTTATGACACTGAAAATATGCTTTACAGGGCCGGCTCCCAGTTGGCACTATGGTGGCGTTCATTGGGTACACGTTTACCCTCACCTTTGCGGTCCAAGGCCTCGTCAACACGCTGGCCGACATCCGCACCGCCCTTGCCGCAGTCGAGCGCATCAACAACGTCGGCCGACAGGGCCGTCCCGATGCCGCGCTTGCGGTCGGATTGGACAGGTCAGTACGCGCCCGGGTCTTAGCTTGGCTCGCCTACAGTGCCGGGATAAGGAGAAACGGTATTGGTTCGGTATTTGTTGTTCCTACGTTGGAAGTGCTGTTGAAGTCAGCGACATGGGTTTTCAAGGGGCCTTCTCGGCCTGATCCGGGGTTATGAACCTCAAATATCGCCACGTCACTCCTTCCAACGGCGGTCCTGCCTTGCTTCTAACAATGAATCCCTTTCATCCCGCTCTTAGAGTAGATGCGTGTGCTGCAAGCTAGGAGGAGACTTTTTGCAATCTCGCGGGCCGCTTGTTTCGAGAACCGGATGCCTGCGCAAAGGACGCCTGCGCAAAGGACGCTTCTGGCAGACTAGAGGCTCGGGGGACGTGCTCCGTGAAGGGCGGCTTCGAAAGGTTGCACCCCGGCGTGTTGCCGCGATATGCTGTGTCAAACTTGCCACCCCACTACTAAAGTTTTGGTCCACCATCTTCAGCCGTCCGATGTCATCCATCGTCGATCATAAGGTTGAGCGTTCATCGTTGTAACGTGTACCGGTTAGGTGTTGTTGGGAGCAGGACTGAAGAACGTTTCGCTCCGAAAGTTCTTGAGGAGAGAGAGCACCTCCTATGGGGTCGCAAGCCCTACGTCCAATCCAAGAACCATGCTCCAAGACTTGAAACCCAGATTGCAAGCTTGACACGGAGAGCTGTTTACGCAGGGAGGCGCGTGGCGAGTTGCGAGACTGTGGGGACCGGCGCAAGGACATCGGAGTGCCGGAAGTGCTGCCGGCGGTGCTAGGTACCGACGGACGGGCGGCGGCCAGCACGAACGGGGTGTCAGTGCGGGGGGCGTGCGAGGCGGCGTGGAGCGGCGACGTTAGGCTGGAGGGTAAGCGGGCACTCTATTCCCGAGAGAGATGTCCCATTTCAGCTAGAATCCTGATGAGGTAGTTTACCTGCCCTGTTTTCCTCTGAAGTTAGTCTGGGAGTTTGGAGTGGCCATATGACTCCACCCCTTCCAGCACGGTTCAAGTCAATGATTTCTTAGGCGATTTTTTCACCTTTTATGAAATCGATTGCGAGCGCCGGGGCCGCTGAGCGGGCTGCAGTACCTCTATAGCCGTCTGGTTCCGGAGTTCAAAACGGTGCATGACCGGACGCTAGTCGCAGGGTTGATCGAAGTTTGTGAGGGGTAGAAGAGGAGCACCGGATGCCAGTTGGTTCCTTCGGACTGCATATGTCGGCTCTGATCAGCGTTAGATTGCCTTCTAAGTATCTTCGGTGGAACGTTGGTAAAAGTCGCTTGTTTGGCGTCAATCTGGCTTCCGTGACTTTTCGGCTCGCATGTTTACATTGGCCCTCACATGTCTGGCCGCCCGCACAGCGCACTAGCGGACCAATAGCTTCTGGGCACACTTTTAGCCGCGGCACACTTTAACACTTTAACCCTGTTTGTCATGTTGGTGCGTGCTCGTGTAACCTTTTTAACAGGAGACTTCGCGATTATGTTGCATCGTGCTTTTGGGACCGGCGCCCCTCGTTTCGTCAGACGTTTCATATCTCCGCATCTGCCTTGCTGCACACGACGACTTCTCCAATTGGCACTGTAGTCTTCCAACCGAAGAACAGGTTTTTTTGCCCTGGATATGACCTTTCCGCATCCACATTCCACCCAAACCCCAAACCAGTCCCACTGCTCCCCGGGTGGTAACCTGTCTTATCCGTAACGCTTACAGTTCTGAATGTCTTCGCAGACGTGCACTTCACGTACCCGCAGCGGCCCGAGGCGGCGGTTCTCAAGGGCGTGACGCTGACACTGGTGCGCGGCACCGTCACGGCGCTCGTGGGCGAGAGCGGCGCCGGCAAGAGCACCGTCGTGCAGCTGCTCGCGCGCTTCTACGAGGTGCGCACGCGCCCTGCAGAGCGATCACTGGAATGCGCGTTTCTTCTCGGATCATGAAGCCGTGCTCGAGTTTTTGAAGGTTCAAAGTGCATAGTTGTTGGTTGCTTGGGCACTTAGGCGGGTGAGCGTTGACGCCGCGCCCGTTCAGTTTTCTGTGCGCTCTAGCATGCTCTTATGCCCTGGTGGGCTTATGTCGGCGATTCCTGCTGGCTCGCGGTGGCCGGACTTCATGGATTTTAGGGGTTTCAGGGTCTCAGAGTTTGGTATCGTTGCCTGCGGAAGGTGTCCTCGGTCAGTCGCCATTTCACATCGACGATTTTTGCTGACCCCTTTTGTTGCAGTTCTCGGGCCTCACTCCGCCCTCAGGCTTTCTCTGCCGCTTTCTCTGCCGTCGTGCTAGCAGCAGAGGTACTCCCGCGTCTTTCTTTACTCTCCCCAGCGGCGCTCTTGGTTTCATTTCTGAAACAGTCACGTTCAAGAATTTCACGACTCAAGCGAGCGGAACAGGCTTTTTGTCGGCCAAAGTTGTAGATTTTACAGTCAGCGACTAAATAAGCTCAGTGACTAGTAAGCGCCCGACCGAATCAAGGAACTAACTCAAGGGTTACGGCTCCGCACCCGCACCTCCCTTAACCCCCATATCAACCTCATCCGTCCCAGCTTATCTTCCTTTTGTCCAAGAAACTCCTTGTTCACTGCCTGGATCGGAATTCCAGGGTTCAGAGTTTCCGGGTTCCCGGTTCGATGCTTAGTCTAAATCGGGCTTTCATGTATGCAGCCGACGGGCGGGCGCATCACTCTGGCGGGGACGGACGTGCGCAGCTTCGACAAGAGCGAGTGGGCGCAGGCCGTCAGCCTCGTCGCGCAGGAGCCGGTCCTCTTCGCCATGTCAGCATTTCGCGTTGTTTTTTCTTCACTTTCCAGCACCGCAGTCGTCAGGGGGTCGGGACTCGAGTAGGACTATTGCTTAATTTGTGACCAGGCGACCCCCGCCCCCCCGGTGCTATTAGCACCTCGCAATGGGACTAGGTATCAAACGCCGAGTAGAAGAGGTTCATCGTCTTTGCTAATCAGCATGTCGCAGCTGGCTCAAATTTTTGGGACTTGTACGAACGCCATAAGCACGAGAAATACACGCTTGCATTTCGATTAGCCAAAGAAGACTCGACGCCTTTTTAAATGATTGGGGCCGTCAGATTCTCATACACGTTGCGGCTACCTAAAATGCTTGATAAGTTCCCCAGCTTCTTGTTGTGCACCTCGTCACGGGGACCTCGTCCCTGCCCCCTTTTTTTGCGCTTTGTGCTCCTCGCTTTGATGAATACTAAGATCTTCAGTCAACCCTAAAGCGAAGGTCTACGCGCTCTATCCCGTACTAACGCCACCCAATCCCAGTCTTCGTTTAAGGCGAGCAGTTCATCGAACTGATCGAAATATATGTTCTTCAGGCCCACCCGCCTGCTGCTGACGTGCTCTCACAATGACGTTCTTCCCTGCTGACGTGCTGCCGCAGGTCCGTAGCGGAAAACATTGCATACGGCGCCCCCAACAAGACAGTGCCGCACGACGAGATTGTGCGCGCGGCCAAGGCGGCGAACGCGCATAATTTCATAATGGGCCTCCCCGACGGTTATGATACGCTGGTGGGCGAGCGCGGCAGCCTGCTCAGCGGCGGGCAGCGGCAACGGGTCGCCATCGCGCGGGCGCTGGTGAAAAACTCGCCCATCCTAGTTCTTGGTGAGGGCCAATACTGAGAACTCCGGAAGGCAATTTGAAGGGGTGAAGACCGGTGCGGGGAGTACTGCCAGTGTGAGACTGGGCTTGAATTATGGGGTTGAATTAGAGCGTAAAAACCCGTTCTGGAAGAACGAGGACGCAGGAAACCAGACGCGTTTTACCTGCGTTTGAGCTTTTGAACTTTTCTTGAGATCCCACCCATCCTGCTGCTGAATGAGTGCCAACTGCAAAAAGAAGGATGCGAGATGGCAGACTTTCGAGCCGCGTCGTTCAGAAGCTTTGAATGGTCAAGGGCTGGTCCATCCTGGTGCTGAGTGAGTCTCTTAAAGAGGGCGTTGGAGTTGAAGGAACCCACGTGGCTGTTGCGGAGATCCTAATGCGGCAAAAGCCCAGGTCAACGTCGTTGCAGCAATGACGTCAGGAAATTTTTCGCGGCGACCGGAGATGTGGTATCCTGTGCTTTCCAGTCGCTAATTTCAGATGCGTCTGAATACGCCCTCTTTAAGGTGAAGGCGGGGAGTGGCGGAATGCCATTTCTTGCCTTCGCATCATTCTTGGACAACTCTGGACTGTAACGACTCCGGGCGATCTTCAAATGGAGCACGTGGCTGCCTGAATCCCAAGCATTAGGGGCTGATATAGCATTTGGGTTGGCACCCACTGATTCAAAAGAGTGAAGCCGTAATCTCAGACCGACGGGCTTACCGCGGATGGCGCTCACGTCAACTTTCTGCATACAATGAGCTATATCAGTCATTCTATCGGCGCAGAAGTGAGGACTTGAAAGTGTGCCTGAAACCCTGCGTATTCGATGGTGTGTTGCAGACGAGGCGACGAGTGCTCTTGACAGCGTGAGCGAGCGGCTGGTGCAGGACGCCATCGACAACCTGGTCAAGGTTAGCACCTGAACCCGAAGCCTGAAACCAGAAACCCTAAAACTGAAACTGGAGCGATACTCTGCTGATTTTTTGGGCAACCTCTTTCGAGGAGAGAGCATAGACTTTGTTATGTACATCGGGTTGACAATTCCATCGTTGTGACAAGCCTGACGTGATTGTATTTGGCGACTCCAAATAATCCGCAGCCGTGTTGGCAACCCCATCATCTTCATGACGAGCCTGATTGCGTTCTTACACGGCGTTTGCAAAAGAGCTACAGAGAGCGCTGGTGGAGAGTGATGCTCTTACCGGTCAAGACCCGCGTTCCGGCTCTCGAACCCTCGTACTTCTGCCGGTTGGGATTGTGGGCTATAGGGCCTTATCCTGGAAAGCTAAAACCTGAAAACAGCGAGCTTTTCTTTACAGGGCCGCACGACGCTGGTGATTGCGCACCGGTTGAGCACGGTCCAGAGCGCGGACCAGATTGTGGTGATGGCGGACGGGGAGGTGGCGGAGCAAGGGACGCACGCTGAGCTGACGGAGCGGGGGGGGCGCTACGCGCGCCTTGTGGCCAGCCAACGGCTCAGCTTCTCCACATGAGATGTGGGACACGTGGCAGACGTCCGGCCACGAGGTTCAGAATAAGACCGGTGTGCACATGCTTCATGTTAGGTTTTTGCGGACCAGCCACCTCATTTTTGTAAACCGTCGGCTAATCGGGTTTTGCTGGGCGGGTTAATATAGGTGTGGAAGAACTGATTGTTACGGAAGCATGCTTGTAGCCGTGTACGCTACCGGCAAACATCTACGTACTGAGTTGTCTAGCACGAAGTGAGAGAGAGCATGTGCGCAAGTGCGCCCGTGGAGGCAAAGGGAGTATCGGGAAAGCTAGAACATGTGTTGGGGCTTTGAAGAGTCTTAAGCGCCAGGTTTTACGCAGATCGGTCTGCGAGCTGGCAGCAGAGCCCCAGACAAGCTTTGCGTCGATAGTTCGTCGCTGAAATATTGGTCTTGAACAAACGATTGCATCCGGTCAACCAACAAGAATAAGATTGGAGAGCTAGGTTCAATAGGGCCGTGTCAGGCTAGCAAGTCCCGAGACATTCTTTTCTGTACATATTGGGCGAGTGTCACTAATTGCCATACATGTTCAATGTATCAATCATCAGTGCATGTCTTTGGCAAGAAAGCAACTTTTGCTGGAGCTGAGCCGTTTGAAAGTAGCCTAGTAGCCCGGCTTGCAATGTATTTGCCTTGGGCATAACTTGTCTGGCTGAGGACGTTCAGTACTAACATACAGCCTCTGCAATGTCGTTCACTTACCACTATTGTATTGAAGTTTGCGCAAGATCACTCAAGGCGGCCGCGCCTGTTACAGGCGCTCTGAGTCAATAGTATCCTCAAGTGACCCACGATCGGGGTCATGTCTACGGCAAGCTAGCGGAAATGAGCAATTCCGACTCGTGCAAGCAGACAGACTCAAAGCCTAGACTAAATGAGAACGCGCGGTCATGTGTGTCATGTGCCGGCACGGCAAAGTCCGACACTCCGCTCAGTGCTTTGGAGTATACACAATTTCCGACGGTCAAGCTGAGTAAAGCGCGGCCACGAATTGCACGCATCGCGACCTTTTCCGAGTTCAACGCCACATGTATGCACAATTCGCATGCCTTAGTAGGCGCGCGGCTCAGCGTACAGCCGCATGAACGTCCCATACGCGTGCTCAGTCATTCAACGAAAAGGTTTGAACCATGGACGGTGGTCCTGATCATGAGTCATGCAAATCGGAGTTCTTGCAGACGGTCACTACTAATGACTGTCCAGCCCATACGAACCGTCAAGAGATTCAGAAAATTGCCAATCCAGCTTTGCGCTTAATATGGTTGCAAGTGTATTATCGACAAATTGAGAGCTGCACTTCGATCGATGATGGCATGCTTTGATGCTCGATCGCCCGCTGGCAAGCCTGCCACGCTTCTATGACCCATAACAGGGCTGTGCAAGAACATAAAGGAGGGCCGTAGCTTCAGATTGTTGCCTGGCATTGGATCATGAGGCGCCCTACGTGACGTCTCAATTGCCAATTGAACGGCGATCCATCGGGGGACACATTAAAGTTTCGGGTCCTAATAGAAGTACGAAGCTTGCAGTCATTGAGCGGATTAGGCGCGGTCCGTTCGGCGGGTCGGACCATTGATGCCAGTCGGACGGCTCATTTCCTTCGGTTTCCATGCAGATAAAAACGGGTTTACGACGGTCTGGCCGCATGCACATCATGTGCTTTGACTGTGGCCCCACCCCACGGCGCTTGCCGCCGGCCGCTTGCCGCCCCAGCCGCTGTAGTGCTGCCACCTCTCGACAACTTCCGTTCGAACACTTCTGAACTTTCAGACGTAGTACCTGGTCTCTGCACAATCAGCAGTACTGAATCAACTTAATTCTTGGCTAATCCAGAATCCCGGTCCAGCTTATAACCCCCTCACTGCATGCCAGCACCATCACTGATCAGGCAGCTTCCAATGGGGGCATATTCTTTTGCAAGCTTCTTCAGCTAGAACACTAGAACGGGACTAGAACGCTATATGTGCCCTACATGTGCAGCTGCTAATAGCTCACATACTAAATATTGCCAAAGCCTGGAGTCCTTAGGTATTGCCTTGTCCCGCCCGGTGGGCCGCGGACTCACGGTCTCACGTCGAGCATGACTGAACCGTCACTCGCAGCCAGAGTCCATTCAGTCCATTCATGTCTATATGCCATATTCCAGCATCAACTCGGGCTAGAGCCAATGCTATGTACTTGCCACGTACCATTCTTGCCAAGAGGTTGCTAACTTGAAGACTCAGTCGAGGACAAGCCTGGATGCAATTCACTCGTCTCGACATCCGGCCATTCCATACTCATGTATCATCATGATGATACAACCAATCGTACAGCAGAAGATCTTGATCATCATCATCATCTAGGATAGGATGATGCATGATCGATGAGGTCGGAAGATGATTCATCAGTGCGTGGCAGCGGCTTGTGAAGTTGGACGCACGCTCGGACTCCAGTTCCTCTCCAGTTAGTTCAACTGAATTCCAAATTACGATCAGCCATCCGATCATGTTGCAAGGTACAATCCAACGGTCAAGCAGCACGAGCATTATGCCCCGCGCGCGCCATCGGTACAGAGTTCGTTAAATGCCCTGCGCCCCGGAACACCAGGGGTCGCCGGTATACACATCCAAGTAGGACGAGCATAAAATAGTGTCAATCTCATCCCGGCTTTTTGATTGGTTCCAACACCGCAGAAATTCAGTTAGGACACCACCGACCCCGTGGCAGTCCGTGATACGGTGGACACATCTCAGGCGTGCAATGCAGTGCAGTGACAAGTTGTCGATAGCCTAGTCGCAGAAGGTCCAGAGCGTCATGCTCAGCCCTGCTGATCCAGGAGGGTGCTCTTGATCCGATAGTTAGCACACTTGCTGTGAGGGTGCTGTGACTGCTTGTACGGCTTATGATGTACGGTCCTAGCTGCATTGCTACATACAGCTTTCTTGAGCATGGAACGGGCATGGAACCCATGTGACCTATGCTTGTACGCTTGCTTTTGGGACATCATTGCGGTGCAAGGAGCCGGGAGGGATGAGTTGAAGAAGCAGGAAAGTACGGTACTTAGCTCCCTGCCTTGAGTGCTGATTACGTTTTCTCCAATGGTAGCTTTTCAGAGCTCAAAGGGGTGCACTAATGTCTGAACTCTCTTCTCAGCAATTGAAGATGGCGTCTCCGGTTGGCAGCTAGCAGTAGCCTACTCATTTCTATCCTGGAGGACCTGTGGTAGTAGCCATCAGCGCTACGCTGCAGGTACCAGGTGTGGCGGCCTTTCAAGCAACCTGCAAAGGTGGTGTAGTTTTCTGTAGTGGTAGCAAGCTGCACGTACGTCTGAGAAGGGGTTGCTGCAACGCCAGGACAATCTAACAAAGCTGTTGGTGCAATCGTACCTAAGCTATGGTAAGCTATCAACCACCTACCTGTCGTTCGATCACACACGCAATCTCCACAGCCTTCTTTGATTATAGATCCACTCTGGTGGGAAACTCTACATGGAAACAAAAAAAGGCAGCTGGAGGCGTGTTCCTTCATAGGCCGGGGTTGATGGCTAAACATATGTTGGCCAATCCTGCAATAGCTAGTCCTCGCAAACTCTGCTGGAAAAGGTTGTCGCCTGGGAGGTGGAATTTCTGTTCTTTCCAGCATGTTCTGCAGCCTGCACTATAGTCAAACCAGAAACCAATTTACAAAGCAAAAACCGCAGAGGTCAGCTACAAAATAAGTGGTTGACACCAGTCGCGGCAACTTTAGCGAGCAATGTGGCCCCCCTGCCCAAACTTCTTGCACTTTCTTGCAAAATGGTTGGGCATTGAGCTGGAATCACGACTTTTTGCAGGAGGGGATTGTATGGTCAAGAGCAAGCATGCACATTGTAGTGCTCTCTGCAGTGGTCTTGCTTGGCATCATGACGCAGGTGGATGGTGAGTGCATTTTTAAAAGCTACCAATGCAACGACTCTTCCAGAGAAGGGCTTGACGCTCTGCTCGCTCTCAGGATTTTTTGGCAATCTAAAGGCTGTTTTGCAAGTAGGTTGGCTTCTGACACGTGTGATCAAGGGTATCTTCATGTAAGGTGGATGAGAATTACACCAAGCCAATTTCCCTCATGATGATAGCAGGGGCAGAAGCATGTCGTTATCTGCACTTTCAATGCTAGTAGCTGAAAATGACCCTTTCACAGCAAATATCAACTTACTGACTGCTTTGTTTGTTGCGCACGGTGGCTTCCATCACTGGTTTCTCTGGCCATTGGGGGTGTTCAAAGGTGTGAAAGCCCTTCATCATGTGTTGTTGTCTTGCAGGTGCGCTGGTTAACAGCTACTGGCCAGCAGTAGGATCATACAGAGGTAAGGGACATTGCTGCAGAACGACTTGAATCACGTGTTTCCACCAAGGTGCCTTCAAGTTTGACTACCAGCACTGAACATGCTTGGCAGGCTCGTTCCTTAGCAGAAAACCCTTACGCATGTAGTTTTCGATGGAAGGCACTTCCGTAGAAGTGTGTCACACTGTGGGATGCGTAGCTGATTGCAATTCTTGATTGATGATTTTGAAAACCTCGGTTAGGAAGCGCATCTGAGTTTCAGTGTTCACAAGGTAAATTTTATCAATTTCTGATGAGTTCCTTTCTGATCAGTCAGCAAAATGCACAAGGATGTACACAGGTTCAAAGCTGAAGGTGGGACAAAGCCAGAAATGCCTCAGATGGATGCCCTGTAGTCCACTTGAACAGATACACATACCCCACCTGCCAACAAAGCTTCTTAATTTTGGACTCTCAATCAGTTGACCACACTGCAAAGCAAGCATACCTCCTCTACCTGGGAAGTTATGCATTGCTTGAAGACCCCAATGCTTTCTTGGGTTGTATCTTAGAGGGGACCGGACATCCTAACTCCGCTTTTCCAGCAGTTCCATGAGCAAGCAAGTAAGGATGTTTGTGAATCATGATTTGTCTTGCTACCACCAACTGCTTCCCTACCTGCAGGCGGAACAAACCTCTCCGTTATGCTGGAGAAGCCTCTTGGTGGACAGCCGGGTGCCTTTGTGTACTGCCGGTTTGACTCTGTCATCGTTTTCAACGCGGCGTACAATGCAAACGCCACGGCGGGGCCGACCGTTACCTTTGTCGTTCCCCCCTTCATCCAGGGCAAGAAGGAGATTGAACTGGCCTTCAGTGTGGACGGGCTTGCCTTTGAGGTATTTGGCAAGTTCATCTACCATGGTGAGTGACCTTTTGGCGTTACTGACTTAAGTGAGTGGTCTTCTTGCTCATCAAGCAAGCAGTCTGGTAGACGGAGGCAAAGCTAATGTAGCTACGTAGACTGCACTCATGCCGGATCCTTTTCTTGCCAGCACCTTTCTTCTTCTCTTGGATATCACTATCTTCGGCCAGATCCTGTGAGCACCAAAAGTCAAAAACATTGAGCGAAAAAGAGAAAGCTTTAGCTGCTCTATTGCTGTATCCTCGAGAGCTTCGACAGCATTACCTTCACAATTCTGGTGCTCTGATGAGATCAGCTTGATCGAGCAAAGTGACTACCATATCATTGATGCACAGTTGACGATTGCTTTTGGTAGAATCTGGTATCCTGAAGCCCTAAAAGAAAGTCTCAGAAACCTTATTGAAGCAAAGAAAGGAAAACTTGTTGGTCACACGAATTTCTTTCGCTCCTTTCAATCCGGCCCGAAGGTTTCAAGCCCTGACCCCAGGTTCTAAAGTAACAAAATGCGGTCAATTCCACACCAGAGTCAAAGTCGAGCAGCTACATGTTATTTTTATATCACAGGAGGCTCTATGCTCACTGCTGCTCGTCTTCTCTCTGCAGAGCCCCTGATGATCCGCTCGGTTGAGCCGGCGGCTGGCCCCACTACCGGAGGCGACAAAGTCTATGTCCGCTTCCAGAACACGAGGCCCTTCCCAGAGGGGCTGGCAGCCGCTGACTTTCATATCCTGCTGGAGATCACATGCTCGTTCCAGAACGTGACCAGACCTGGGCGGTACGAACCGGCCTCGGACAAGTACCCTTGGGCGTCGGTCCGGTGCAGCACTCCCCCGAGAAGCCCGGGTACTGTGGCTCTGGGCGTCTCGCTGAACGGGCAGGAGTATACGCCGGTCCCAGGGAGGTATACGTTTATGAACTCGACAGACATGGCAGCGGCCCAGCTTGCTATGGACCACGAAGCACATGATCCCGAGGCCTTCACGTCCTGGATCGACCGAGAGACCAACTCCACGGGAGGCATCGTTGAATTCTACAACGCCTTCTATGGGATTGCAGAAAGTAAGTCTGCATGTGTTCATGACCAAACCTTTGTAGCTTTTCAAACTCCAATCCTGAGTCCTGGTAGGGTGGTGATAATTATTGGTCTTCTGCAAGTTCAGGGACTGAGCAACGGTGCGTCTTGACGCTAGGATTAGTTCCTTGACCTTTATTACGTCAAAATTGCGGCTCAGAGAAGTGCACCTGCGTAGGACAAGCAGCTGTAGGGTTGTAATATTAAGGCTTGGTTGAAAGTTGCAGCTCAACATGAAGCGACGCCATGAAAGGAAAAGCCACACATCCCTTGCTCTTGCAACCATAGCCTCACACTGTCTTTTCGTCCTTCTTTCCTGGACCATTTTAGCCGTTTGCAATTCTTTCTTGATCTAGAAAGCCACGAATTCTACTCGTCCGAAGAGATGTCAGATCATATTCGAACCCTGCTACTTGGCTGCTAACGTCAAATTTTTCACGAACTGTGTCCATCGCTTTCCCCCATCCTAGTTCTTTATCTGTCTACACCCTACCATTCTCCTCCCTTCGCGTCAAATCCTCTTTTTTAAAAACCGTTTCGAAGTTTTCTCATCCTTTACAACTTTCTCACGTCTCCGCTGTCTTTATTTTCACCCCATTCTCCACGTTCCCTTTTCCTGGAAACCGGCTTAAACACCCGTCCCGCTTGGCGGGTATTCTTCTGGACGCTTCACCGACAAGCCCGGACATTTCGAACGCTTTCGACGACTTGACACCTGAGATCTACCTGAACGCTTGAACGCTGAATCACGTGGACAAGATCTGACGCTGGCGGGAAGACAAACACGCGCGGCGTGCGCCCGCACGCAAAGTAGCTCATGACCATTTTCTGGTAGATCTTCTGGCTTCACGTTTCCGTCTCAATCTACAGCATCGTGCTCTTGTCGTTGCGAGCAGATTCTTACAATTGTTCGTTTACTTTGCAGACGTGGACCCCGGTTACTTCTTCAACGAGACGACCGACGTCCCCTCGTACTTCTACTACTATACGGGACAGACGAGTAAGTTCTCGTTCGAGCGTCTCGCAACTTTAGTGCCAAGATTTGTCGGTCTTGCCGTGCCGCAGATTGTTATCTAACGCCAGAATGTTTTGGAGACGTTGGAGCGCTGGCCAATTGTGATGCGCAAGTGACTCTGGTTCCATCCTTCATTGAGGGACGTTGCAAGCAATTCTGAATGATGAGGATCAAGCGACAATCTTTGGCAGGACGAGGAGGCCTGTGCAGCCGGACTTCGTACTCACTTGTAGCAGCTGGCCGCTTAAAAAATAACCTGTTCCCCAGCAGAGCACCTTCTTACGGGACGCATTAAAAAACCGTCGATTCAGTCCAAATCTAATCTATTCATCAATTCTTCTGCAGTGCCCCAGTACCAGGGCAACCAGTCGTCGGCTTGCATGCAGTCGATCTTCCCCAGCATTGGCTACGCCTCTGCGAGCAGCACTCAGGTCACGATCGCAATCGGCGGTTCCTTCCCGGGAGCCACCGCGAAGCCGCCAAAGTGCAAGTTCGGAACAATTGTGGTGCCCGGGTCCTACAGACCGGTCACTTCGGGCGGCACATCTGTCGTTTGCACGGCCCCGGCGACCTTCAACAGTGGGACGGTGCCCCTGTCCTTCAGCATCGACGGAACGAACTTTACGGCGGGCGCGAACTTCACTTATTTCAGTAAGCGCCCTGATCACTTTACCTGGTGGACTCTTTGCTACGGCAATCAGTAAAATTACTCTTTGGCTGTCCAGCCCCTGCCATAGTCGAGGCTTCGAAAGTTTCGACGTGTATATATCCCCTCTTGTGCCTGCGGTTTATGTGGCTCTCGTTCTATCCTCCCATTTTGAATCCTTCCAACTCTCCAATTCGGAATCTGTTTCTCTCCGTGCTACTGGCATACCCGTTTCTTCTTCCGATCGAAGCCAGCTCTTCCCCTACCTTTTATTCTTTCTTACGCACTTTGTTAGCATTCTTCCCGTTTCACCTTCTGGGAGCGTCACCTCCGACAAAGGTTTTAGCTTTCAATCTGACCGGCCTCGACCGGGCTCTTTGCGCCTCTAGTCCTCTCTGATCCGTTCCTGGCTCCGCTTTCCCTGCTTTTCTTTCGTTTGCATCCCCTGCCTCCAAGCTCCTCGCGTCAATCTCATCACCTTCACCGTTTCTACAATCCGTTTCTTCCTGCCCTTTTGGTTCTCCGGCACCGGAGCCGGCTGATTCCCGTCCTCTTTTCTGATGGTTTCCTCTGCCCTCTAGTCTGCCTCCCGCTTGGAACAAGGGCGCCCGCCCTGTATTTTCAGGGGTTGAAGCACGACGAGTTCTACCCCAACACGTGTCTGTAGAAGAATTTAGAACACATTTTGCAGACTTCTAAACAGGGAGTTCTTATAGTCAGAGTTGAAGTGCCTTTTGGTTAAGATTGGGCGAATTGCAAGTCTCGCTTCAATTCAAACACCAGCCTAGACAATCAGCTTGGAGAACCTTCTGACGAAAAGAGCGTTTCCTGGGGACGTTTGCTTTTTGAGTATAATGACCTCGAAATCCTTGAACCAGCAATTTTGGCGCCCGCCATCAGTAGAAGTGCAAAAATTCACAGCTTTCCCGGGGAGCCAACTAGCCCTATTTCTTGGGAGCGCCCCCTTGGCCCTCAAAATGGCTCAATCACGTTACCCGGCAGGAGAGGACGTCCTGTCTTTCTTGGCACTGACGATTTGAAACTGCCGAGGAACTCGTCTTGAGACTCTTCGCTTTTTCCCGCAGTGCCTCCCCAGTCGCTCAAAGTGGCCAACGTCCCCGCCGTCATGGACAAGCTGGGCCCGTTCGAGGCCGTCATCCAGCTCATCCAGTCGCCGTTCCCCGCCGGGTTCGCCCGCTTCGACCTGGTCGCCAACGCCGCCACGTGTCTGCTGGACGACGTCCTCACGCCCGCCGCGTACTTCCCGCCGGACGCCACGTACGCCTTCCCGAGCGTCCGGTGCTTAGCCAACGCGACGAGCTGGGGCCAGAAGACCATCTCCTTCGGCTTCGACACGACCAGCACTTTCCCCGTTCAGACGCCGCTCTCGTTCGTCGCCCCGACTGGTGTGGCCTCCACGCCAATCCCCAGCCCCGACGTGGGGATCCCTCTGTTCGGCCTGGGCAACGTGCTGTCCCTGAGCCCCCCCCGGAACCAGCCCACCGTTCTGCCCCCCGACGCGAAGCTCTGCGTGCGCTTCAACAACGACCCCGCGGCCGCGAACGCGAACCTGGCGGGAATTGTCCCGGACAGCGGGTCGCTTTCCCCGGCGTTTTCCCCCGCCCAGACCAACTACCGCGTGTCCGGAAATAGCGCAAGCAGTCCCACTTTCGGCTTCACGGTCACCTCAGCGGCGGCCGGGGCGATTGTCTCGGTTGACACTCTCACCCCGGCCTCGGTTAACGGGGCGGCTCAGTACTACCAAACCACGCTGGTTAGCGGGTCTAACTTCTTCACCATCAGGATTACCGCTCCCAACGGCTTCACTCAGAACGTGTATTACCTCACCGTTACGGGCACCGTTGCAGGTGTGGTTACCAGTCTTGTTCCTGTTACTTACAGCATGTCAACCGCAGCAGCACCCGGCGCCCAGCTTTCCCCCCCGTTCTCGTCTGGCGTTTACGACTACAGCATGAACGTCGACATTCTGGTCGACAGCCTCATCTTCAACGCCGCCGGGGGCACCCCACAGCCCAGCTTGTTCGTCGCCTCCGCTGTCCCTGACCTCTCATTTGACGCCCCCCCGCTTTACGCCAACAATCCGGCTCCTTTTGTGAGCGTCCAACAGCCCGACGACACGACCCCATGGTTCGGCCCGTGCCTGCCTTACCCGAAAAACGATAGCGGCGCCACCACGCTCCTCCGCGGCGGCCGCGGGGTTCCGCTCGCTCCGCTCTCCGCCCTTCCTGCCGGCTTCGCCTTCAGGCAAAGCACCACCGGGGGCCTGACCACGGGCGCCACGCTGGGAGTCAACTGTGTCGGTACCACTGTTTTGTACGTCTGGATACAGCAGGCTGACAACACCGCGACGCTGTACACAATCTCGGTGCAGAGGGGGGTGTCCGGCACCGGGCCCCCAGCCCTCTCTGGCTTGGAAGTGTTCGCCGGGGGATCCCCCCCGCAGCCGCCGTTCTCGGCCAGCAACCCCCCCAGCACCGTCTATTCCATCAACGCATCCGCGCCCGGCCAGCAGCTTAGGATTCGGACGATCCCGTCGAGCACGTCCGTCCCGATCGCAATGATCCGGACGGTGCCGCCAGCTGTCACGCTGGCGCTCGGCCATAACAAGTTCGACATCGTTGTCACGGGCGTGGACAACAGGACTACGACCAGCTACCACGTTGACGCCATCGTCAGAAGCAACGACCCGTCGCTCACCGCCCTGGGCTACTACCTGCCGGATGGGACCGTGGTACCGATTCCGCAGACTTTGTTCACGCCTAATGGACAGCAGCAGGTAAAGAACGTCTATACTCTTCACAATCTGGAGTTTGCTTAGCAGTTCGGTGTTGTAGCTACACTTCAAACCACTGAGATGTTTGAAAGGTTCACTCTGCTTGCTAGCGAGAATACTAAATTCTGGATCCCTCTAGAGAATATTTATTTAAGATCATGGCAATACAATGGTTTGACGCCTTCTTTCAGCTTTAGAGGTTTATTTCTCAGGTGACTCATTCCTCCTTGCGTTTGAAATGGCGGGCTGTAAGTCAGTCTGGGCTTTTTTGAACAGTCTCTTCGTTTGCAGCACACATTGCCTGATTTTCAAGTGTTTTGATACGCGTTGTCTTGCGTCTTCATTCCTCGCTTGATTGCTACAAACATCGTTGAAGGTTATTCAGATTCATTGAGACACTCTACAAAACCGTCGTTGAGTACCAAAGCCTGTATCGTTCTACGGACTTTTCTGCAACACGGAACTTTGCCTTTTGGCCAGCGCCTGCAATTGTCGTCTGTACTCTGAGGAGCCATCTGAGCTTTCATTTTCCGCTCTTGGAACCTTTTCCCTGCAAACGGAGGAAAGGGCCTGACAGACCTCATGGTGGCGTCGAACTTCGGGCTTCGGCTAGATGTTTCTGAATGTGAGTCAATCATATGTCTATCCTCTTCGTATGCAGATGGCATCCTTGAAGGTGCCCAAAGGCGTTCAAACCCTCGGCTTCTACGTCACGCGCGCCAACGCGGCCGCTTCTCTGACGCTCTCCACCGAGAGCCGCAACGTGACCGGCGTCCCCAAACCCACCACTTTGATCGCCAACAACTTGACCTGGGTTAGCCAAACCGCCTTCTCCCTGGGGCCTGTCAACACTCAGAGCCTCTTCACACTGACGGCGACGGCAGAAGATGGCGTCACCACGCAAGTCTTCCTGATCACGCTCACCCGCCTGCCCGGAAGTGACGCAACCCTCCAGTCGGTTAACGCCACGGTTGACGGCGTGACTACCGCCCTTAACCCGCAGATAAACCCGATCCAGGTGCCCGGTCTTACCGCCGGGAAGAGCACTTCCGCCTTCTTTGCTTGGGCTCCGACCGACCCCGGGGCAAAAGTCAAGTATAGCCTGGACGGCACGAATTTCGTGTCCGGGGGATCGCTAACCCTCTCCCTTCTCAGCGGAACGAACAGCTTCCAGGTTGTTGTAACCTCTGAGGACGGACAGGCGACGAACACGTACACGGTTAGAGCAGTGGTCCCCACGGTTGGCACCGCCCTGAACAAACTGGCGATCTCCCCCGGGATCCTCTCCCCGCCCTTCTCCGGCAGCGTCTTCAGTTACTCGGTCCGCCTCCCGAGCAGTGTCGCCGCGTTTTCCGTGAACGCCACGCTAACCGACGCGAGCTCCACGCTCACCGCCTCCTCCGCGAGCGGAGCGCTCGCCCTGGGCGCGCTGAAGGCGGTCAGTGCTGACGTGGGCAGCGTCAGCCTGCAAGTCCAGGCGCCCAACAACGGAGCGGTTGCCACGTACACCATAACCGTGACCCACCTCAAGGACTACCAGATGCTGCCGTACGTAGACTTCACCGGGTCCCAGTCGGCGATGGCTTATCAAGTGCCCCCTGGCACCACCCTCTCAGCGTATAAGTTGGCTACCAACGCCGGGCAGCCGATACAGTTGCAGATTGCGGCGAACTGTTCTCGCCTCCAGAAAGACTTTGGCGGTGACGCGAGCCTGTGCGCGGGGTTGGGCAATCTTACGATGCAGTTGATACTTTTCCCGCAATTTGGGGGCGGTGGAGTCATATATACCAACGTGACAGCACCGATTTCGAGCGGAAACTTGAGCTTCGTGCCAACGATGGCGGGGGCTTTCAGTGTGAAAGCCAGTCTTGCTGTATGCCAGCAGATTATTGGGTACTGCGACTATGTCGGTGGGTATCTACCCCTGGACTTGCGCCAGGTAAGTATTCAAAGGCAACCCATATCAAGTGATTACGGGATTTTGTAAAAGACGAGTTACTAACGAATGGATTCCACCCTTATCTCATCCTCTTGCGAGACGGGCTACTCAGTAACCAGTCTATCCTTGCAACAGTACAAGCTGAGTTCCAGAAGATGCAAGCTAACAACAAGTTTCACGATGGTCGGACAGATGTGTCATTGGCAATCTACTTGGTTTCGTCGGTTCTCCGCTCAATTAGGCGGCCGGCGTCTTGCTGCCGATGAGTTGTACAGATGTAACTTTCTTTTTGAAGATTGGACAAATAGCGTACGCTTCTGCCAACATGGTGAAAGGCTTTGGTGACAGCAAAAACATCCTATGTTGAGAATATTTGAACGCTGCCCGACCGTCATTAATACTAAAACGGTGGCTGTCACAAAGAAAGATCCGAGATGGAGATTTTCCGCTTGTCAAATTGGGCCGGTAACGTCTCTGATCTGGACGATTTTTTGACTTGCAGAGCTTGATAGTCTTGGAAACGGTCCAAGTCAATAGAACAATCACCTTCTCCCCTCCCCAATGGGAAATTGACGTGTGGGGTCTTGCGGCGGGATCGTTCTCCATTGTGGACGCATGTAAGTTACATTTACCTTGGTTTTACTCTGCTAAAAGGCGGAAAAGCGAGGAGCAGACACAACACCTAACGAACGTTGGTTTGTCATTTTGTGAGCTGCAACAGAGGACGCTGTGTTGCGCACTTTGTCGCCCAATCTTCTGCTTAATACCGGCCCAGTAACTTTTTATCCTACCATATATATTGTATTTTCCACTGCCTGTGCAGAAGCAAGTCAGAGAGCTTATTGCGCGACCTGCCAGACTCGCTGCCTTTGTGTGCAATGAGCAGGTTGACGTGCGACTCACAGCTACGGATTCCCCTCTCTTCTCTTCTTACGCCCAAATCCAGGTTCTGCTTTCGTCGTCTAAATTCCTTACCTCGTCCTTCCCCTTGCAGCTGGTAATTACTACGATCCCCTTATGTACGGGGGCATGAGTGTCTTCGTATGCCCACCTTCCGACGCCGTCAAGCAGAGCAAATCGTATTGCCCGGTTCTATCCCAAGACCGTTCGATCGTCTATCCCAATGGGCAAAACACATACGCCCTGAGCTTCTCCACTCGCTACGTCGCTGGCTACCACGTGGTTGCTATTGACAGCACGGGGCGGCAGGTCGCCGAAGGTATCGTGACCGTCAGAGTTGCAAGGAGTGTTGCGCTCGATCCGGCGCAGTCTATTGTCGTCGTTCCGCCCGGCGGCGTTGTCGCGACCCAGCCTGGCGGCAGGTTCAGGTGAGTAGGAACTTTCGTGGGCGGCGGAGCTACTCTTAGCCCTGTATTGGCAGAAATTTGTTTTTCCCTTTCTGGCACGGAAGCCATCAAGTGCTTAATCTAGAAAGATGCGAGTTGGTTTTCTTGGACTCTGGCCGTTGACGTAAAGGGTGTCTGCTTCAACAAGAGGGCCGGAACCTATTACCAGAAAGAATGAGTCCGACAATTCAAGATCCTCAAGACTGGTCAACCCTTTGAAATCCATCGGCGTGTCTGGTGGCGGTCGAAAGCAGTCAGTCTTTTGAGCCCGCATGAACGCCTCGATAAGGTCCTGAAAGTTAGTGAAGTTATAATGTCGCGAAGTAGCGAGCTCATAAGTCGAGTACTGCACTTTTCAACTGATGCCATTACACGCAGGATTGATCGTTTCAGCCCGATCTTGTACAGCTTTGAAGCTTTTCGTACGAACTGGAAAGGCTCAGGTCGTTAAACTCTTTAAACTCTCCGCCCCAACGTTGAAAGACATCAGTATGAACCTCCTTCCTTCGTGCAGCCATGCTTCTGTCCACAAATGTCTTGAACCGTTGTTTCCATCTTCCTTTACAGCCTTCTGTCTTTGCAACCGAGAAGTATTCTGTTGGCGTGCCACCAGCAGCTTCTGCCTTCTATACATGAAGATTCCAGTTCTACTGCTTCAATATTCAGCCCTTGAACCCCTCTTTCTTGCTCTCCCTTCTCCAGCATCACCGTCGCGCCCCGCGACAAGTACGGCAGCCCCCTCTCGTACCTGGACGAGGCCTCCAAGCTGTCGCTCGCGGTTTCTTCCGACTACAGCTCCGTCTCCCAAATGCCTTTTGAAGCGCGCGCCGGCCTCCTCAACGGCACGACGGACCTCGTCTACATCCTTGACGTCAGCATCAACTTCCCGGCCGGAAACCTCACAGTGACGGTCTCCGCTTACTCCACACCTCTCCAACCGACCGTCTCCCCGATCCCCCTGCCGACCGCCATCAGCCCGCGCTCGGTCACAGTTTCCAACGAGAACAATGTTTTAACAGGCGGCCAGTTTACGTACTACCTGGACCCGTACGACCTTGCCGGGCAGCCTGTAACCAACGGGAGGGACGGGCAGTTCGTCCAGACCAGCATATGCGCTCTCCCAACCTTTTTCGCCAACCCGACCGTCCCCCAGTGCCCCGTGCTCACCCCGGCCGCTTGCAAAGTCGACCAGGGGAACTTCATGCGTTTCGCGGGCGAGCTCCAAATCACGTGCGGTGCCCCGCAGCAAGACGGCGTGTACCGCGTCGTGACGTTGGTGAGCGGGGTCCCGCTCGAAACCGAGGTTGGTGGTGTGCTGGGTGTCCTCCCGCCGATGCCGCCGTCACCGCCCCGTCAGGACCCACCTTCTCCAGTTACTCCAGCTCCGACTGGGTTTAACCAGGGTCCCTCTGCTGGTAGCCGTTTCAACGTGTCCGGATTCGGGACCGTCGTCATCAAAGACGTGTCCCAAATCGGAAACACCGTTGAAACTTCCTTCACTTTCACCGACGCTCAGGGCACTCTACTTCCGGGGCGCCAGTTCGTCCAGGTGTTCCGGGACCTCAACCGGAACCTCTGGTTCCAGTTCCTCTCCGGTACCAGTCAGTTTACCCCCGGTTCATACTCCATGGCCGCGTCGGTTCCCTCGGGCGACCGGTTCGAGGTGTGGACCTACTACTGCAACAAGCCCGACTGCTCGGACGTGGTCAATTGGGCGGCCGGGGGATCCCTCTTTGCTGACGCGGCGTCCCCCTTACTCTGGCGCGACCTGTCTGCTGGCACCGGGGGCCCACTGGGGGTCTTCCCCCGTCTTCCCCTCAACCAGAACGGCACTATGAAAGACATCGGGGATCTCCAAGTCCTTTCGCTGGTGGACCGCCCAACAGGCTGGACGGCGGAATTCCGGTTTTTGGAGAACGGCATTCCATCGACCTGGAACTCTTTCATCGCGTTGCTGCGCAGTATGAAAGGGGGAGGAAGCTGGTACCAGTTCCTGGCCGTGAAGGCCTCAAACGGGAGCTACACCCTTGAGGTTAACGTTCCCTTGGGGGAGAACTACGAGTTCTTCTTCTTCGCGTGCTACGTGCCCTCCTGCGCGGGCCTGCTCAACCTGGGGCCGGGGGAGAGTCCGCAGCTCACATACGCAAGGTACCAGAAGGCGCTGGTTCATGACTACCTCTTCCTCACTGCCCCCCCTGCTATGGCTCCTTCAATGGGCGGACCCATTCCTGCTCCAATGGGAGGTAACCAACAGCAGCAGGTTCGTTACGTCCCGGGTCTCGGCTCCATCGAGGTGCTCCAGAACTTCGACCGCCCCAACGGCTGGACGGCAGTCGTCCGCTTCAACAACACCAACGGCGTTCCGACCTCGGGGCTCTGGTTCGTCGCGGTCCTCCGGGACGTGAACCGGGGCTTTTGGTACTCTTTCCAGTCGGTTCCGTGGACCGGGGCGGGAACGTACAACCTCACAGTAACCGTTCCCCCGGGCACCAACTACGAAACCTGGGTTTACCCCTGTAGCTTTTCCGACTGCATTGACGTGGTGAACCGGGATGCCGGGGGGAGCCTATTGGGCCTTCGCCCGAACACCACCTTCCCCCAAATCAGCCACGACTATCTGTACCTTGCGAGCGGCGGTGGCGCGATGACGCCTTCTGGGAGCCAACAGCAGGAGGAGCAAGTCAGATACGTCCCCGGTCTCGGCTCCATCGAGGTGCTTCAAAGCATCGACCGCCCCAACGGCTGGACGGCGATCGTCCGCTTCAACGACACCAACGGCGTGCCGACTTCGGGGCGCGTTTTCCTGGCGGTTCTCCGGAGCATGAATACGGGTTCCTGGTACTCTTTCACCGCGGCCCCCTTCCCCGGGGCTGGTATGTACAACCTGACCGTTTCCGTCCCCTCAAGCGGCAGCTACGAGGAGTGGGTATACGCCTGCCGGGTGCCAAACTGCACTGACGTCATCAGCCCCGCCGCGGGGGGGGCGCTCTTGCCGTCCACCTCATCCCCCCTCATCATGCACGACACCACTACCTTTGCTAGCGCTCCCAACGGCCCCCCACAGAACCGCGTGGTTTATTTACCGGGGTACGGCGCCGTCTCGTTCGTCTCCTCCGAGGGGCAACCCAACGGCTGGACCGCCTACTTCAGTTTCACCGACTCGAACGGCGTCCCAACACCCAACCGGATGTTCATCGTGGTCGCCCAAAACGTGCAGCAGGGCAGCTTTTACAAGTTCAAGGCGGCCCCCTGGGCAGCCGTCGGAACGTACTCGGTGACGGTCTGGGTCCCCCCCGGGTTTGACTACCAGTACTGGTTCTACCCGTGCTCCCAGCCCGACTGCTCCGACGTTGTTAACCTCGCAAACGGCGGCTCGCTGATCCCGACCACCAGTTCCCCCCTGATTGCCCACGACTTCTTCCACTCTGGCGCGAGCGGAGCTGGAGGCAAGTTCGCGCCCGCGCCCGCGCCGCAGGGCGGCCGCGGGAGTGGCGGCGATGACGGGCCGAAGGTCATCCCGGGCCTTGGCAGCATCGACTTGCTCAGCGAGAGGGAGAGCCCCAACGCCCACAACTACTCGTTCCGGTTCCGCGACCTGGCCGGAACTCCAAAGCCGGGGATGAACTTCGTGGCGCTGCTTACGCCTGCCCCCGCCCCTGGCGTGGCGAGCTCCACCTCCCCGTACGCACGCTGGTCGGTCGCCATTTCCCCGCCCGGGGACTACAACATCTCTTTCGTCATGTCGACCAGCGGAACGTACAGCCTGGGTCTTTACGTGTGCACTATTCCGTCGTGTTCTGACGTCATCCCCTCCCCGGGCAAGCTGAGCGCCTCCGCTACGCCCATTGTGACGGACACGGTCGTCTTCGCAACCGGGCCCCTGAGTCCTCAGACCACCACAGTGTACCTGCAGTCCGCCGGCAGTGTTGGCGTGTCTGGGTTTTTGATGATCGTAGCTCAGGACGAAAATGGTCTTATGCGGGGCCAGGAGCGAGACGGGGGCCGGTTCACCGTTTCCGCGGACCACAACATGACCGGGACGTCCCTCACCGACCGCCTGGACGGAACATACTTCTTCCGCTTCACCCCCCTGGAGGCAGCCCGGTACACGTTCACGGTTTCAATGGTGAGCAGCACTTTTGAGCGGCAGGAACTCCTTTTTGGGTACGTCTTTGGTCGCCAAGCATGAGAACATGCCCCTGTCAGAGTCCGTTGTCAGAGTTTGGATATGAGGTGAAAGCTTATCACATGTCTGGCATAGCACTGTAGAAGTCTGGTAATTGGAACGGAAAGCTCTTCTCGGTGGTTGATGTAGACATACTGCGGGGTTTCTGCGTAGCATGGGCCTTCTATTCTGCTGGTTTTAGTAACGCCACTTCTGAGGGATCTGAATGCTCTAGAGCCAGCCGTTTATTCAAGCTAGACGTCCGTCTTATATTAGTGTCGTTTCTAGCTTTACGTCTTTGCAAAGAGAAAACTTCTAATGGTTGGATTCTGCGAAGCTTGAGCAGCTTCGTCAGCCCCCTCATGCAAACGCCATCAGCGTCCTTCAAAGCCTTCAGCGTGCTCTCGGCGCCTAGCTGTAGCTCATCATCTCAGTTTTTGACCGAAGCCGGATGTTTGCGTCGTCAACGTCCAAAACTGATCAGCTTCACTCCGCGCTAGTGTATAGACATCCAAGCGAGCATGGGCTCAGTCCTTTGCCCATTTTTGCCTAGAATTTTCAATCTTGTTTCGAGCCAATCGGATAATTTTCAAGGGAGACGCCCTCGTTCAAGTCAGTCCGCGACACAGTTTGCTCACGGAGATGCTTGTTTAGTGTGTCTCATTACATTCCCACTCCACTGCGCTCTGCCTTTACTAAAGAATGAAGCTGCCCGTAATATTGAACTGTGTAGGAAGCTTTCATCCCACGCAATCTCTCCAATCAGCGCTCTGCTTCCGTGTCTCCTTGTGTGATTCGTCGTCTCTAATTGCTGCTGCTTTGGTGTTGCTACAGGACCGGATTCCTTTCGCCACTGTAATCGCTGACGTCATTGCCAACGCGGGTGACGCCTACAAGTTTGACCTTGTTGGTCCCCTCTACGGAACCGTCGGCCAGCCCGTGACATACTACGTTGCGCCAAGCGACACCACCTACTCGCTTGTAAATGCATTCAACATCGCCGTATCCCCTTCGACCGCGGCCGCGGCCGCGGCCGCGAGCACAACCCTCGGGGGCATGGTCCCAGTCCTCGGGTCCACCTGCTTCAACAAAACGCGCACAAACCCCAGCTGCAGTTTTGCCCTTAACGAGACGGTCGCCGGGCAGTATTACATGGGCGTAACCCTCGGTTCGCAGCCGGTTAACCGAAGCCCCCTCTTGCTGACGGTCTACCCAGGCGCCCCCTCCTCCCAGAAGTCCATCGTTAGCGCCCCGGTTAACCCCATCCCGGCCGGTTCCGTCTACACATTCAGCGTTAATCTGGTCGACGAATTCGGTAACCCAACCCGGGCGATGATCCAGCCGTCACTGTCGGCCGTCCGGGGCATTGCTCCAGCCCTGGCTCTCACCCCTAACGAGCCGAGACCTTCGCCCCTCTCATTCCTAGCGCAGACTGCCGCCGTGTCTAGTTACTTGGTCAACGCAACTTTCCAGATCCGGGGCACTTACACCCTCAGCGTGGTCGCGCAAACCGGCGCCACGACAAACGCCCCGGGCACCTCAGGCGGGGTTAGCGTGCTCCTAACCAACGCTAACTTCACGGTTGCCCCGGGCGCCCCCGACGTTAACAACATAGTTAAGGGGCTCCAGGGGAGCGCCATCCAGGACGCGACCGTCGGCTCTAACCTAACCCTCTCCGTCGGGCTGTTCGACGCGTTCAACAACCTGCTCAACAAGAACGACGTCCCCAACGCTTACGTCAGCCTGACGCTGTCCTTCGGCGGCAACCCGGTCGTCTCCCAGATGCTGACGTGGAACGCGGAGGGGTCCCGGTTGCAAGTGGCGCCGTTCTCGGTTGCGGGGGCCGGTACGTACCAGGTGACGGTTGGGCTGGGCTTGTCGGCGGCCGCCTTCGTCACGGTCTACAGCTCATCTATCAACGTCGCGGGCGCAACTTTTGCCGCGGAGAAGACGCAGGTTATAACGAGCGGGAACGCAACCGCGGCGGGGGCAACCGGATTCTTCCGGGTTCAGCTCAAGTAGGTTCCGACTTGCCCAACTATTGATCCATTCTGGCAGCCGTCTGAGTGTCTTGTTGGGTTCGCGTTTCTGGTCTGATGAGACTTTCAGATAGAGCCTTCTGATAATCAGGCCAATTATCTATGAATGAAGTATTGTGGCTTCCCAATAAATGTGTTGCTGCCAGATTGTGATGTTAAGAAGAAGAGACATTTCCAGAGACTTTCGGTCTGTCTGCTGAAGGAACTAGCTTCTTGATCTTACTGCCAGTTGGCTTTTAAAGGCGAGATGGCCTGTCCCGCTCTCTTTTTATTGGACTGTCGCCATTCGAGAAATTTGGTGTATGCCTTCGCTACAGTGCTCCACACAATTTCCGTCTTTATCTTGAAAGGAGTCGGATCTTCAGTGAAGAAGCATTGAGTCTCAGAACTTCGCTCCTCTATCCCAGGAACCATTTTCAAAAACTAACTTCGAATTTTCTGCGCCGATAAACTCACAACTCCACTTTCTTTCCCAGGGACGGTTTTGGCAATCCCGCCAGCTCCGCCGTTCCGCCGGCGTCGCTTTTCGTCGGCACGCGCCTCACCCTGTCCGACGGAACTTCCTTCTCGTTCGGCTCAACCAACCTCTACATAACCGGTTCCTATGGAAACGGGTTTTATACCTTCGGTTACTCCCTAACCAAGGCTGGCCGTTACGACATCCACGTCTACGTGGCGTCCAAAGACACGGGCAACGTCAACAGCCTGCAAGTGCAGGCGGGCGCGCCTATCTTTGCAACCGCGTCGGGCGAGAGCATGTACTTTGGGACCGTGGGAGTGCCGGGCAGCTTCTTCATCAAGGTCTTCGACGCGTAAGTTTTGAGGATCTTTGTTTTTCGAGGTGACTTGTGTGCGCTCGCTCGTTGAAGGCCGCGAACTGTTCTGGCGTCTGGCCCCGTCAGAGAGCTTTCTTCATGTGATGACTTCTCCTTTTAGAGAACTTCCGAATGAGATTGTCAAGAGGCTACAGACACTACAGACACTCTGAGCAGCAAACCTTTTCGGTGGATTCGATCATTCAGCGGACGTAAAAAGCTGGCACGGTTGTGAGGAGGCTAGGAAAACGTCACGAGGAAGCTTTGAAAGCCCGCTTCAAGCCTGTTGATCTGCCCGTGCCTGTCGTTTTTGTGTCGTTCCCTGGACTTTGAAGGAATATTTCGTCAAGCTTTGGTCTCTTATGGCCTTACAAGCATCTTCTTAGCGCCGCATTCAATCTTTGTTCGTCGACCCTGTAAAACTCGGACCTGAAATGTACTTCCATTTTTTCCTCCGCAATGAGCGGATAAAACTTCAGCGCGAGAACTGCTGACGTCCAATCCGTTCCACTCGGATATTCCAATCCTGTCTAGGCTTTTGACATTCCCCCAGCAGAAGCCGGTCGCTATTTCTGTGCAGGTACAACAACCTTCGCACGAGCGGCAACGCCACGGCTGACGCGCTGGCCGTCAGCATGACGGTCACGAGCGGCACTCTGACGAAAAGCGTCGCAACCGTTCCCTTCCAAGGCCCCACTTTTGACGGGAATACGAGCCAGTACGTCATCACTTACACCGCGGCCACGCCCGGACTTCTGTCGACAGCCATCCTGGTTAACGGCAAAGCTGCTGGTCCTTTCCTGGGGACGATTGCGAGCGGCCCAACTAGTGCGGCGCTGTGTCGGTTGGGAGGAACTGGGCTGGCGGGGAGCATCGCGGCCGTAGGCAGCAGCTTCACTGTTACCGCTGTGTAAGTGCTTCTCTGCCTAATGCATCCGAATTTGACGACCATCTCGGAATCTTGAGAGCGCTATAAGCACAAGAAGAGGTGTGTTCCGTTATTTGTGAGCTGCTTTGATTTGAAATCTGCACAGTTTCTGTTGGCAGATTGATCTTCGTTTAGCCGTGTTTGAATTTCTATGTTGATGAGACTCATGTTGGTTTCAAGACTACTTCTGTGCGTGCAGCACTGAGGCACCAACCAGAACAATTTTGGGCTTTTCTCCGGGCTAGCCTTGACATGATGGATGAAAGATCATTCTTTGAAATCTAGTTCCACTGAGTGACGAAAACTCCTATCCTCCATTCTCGTCATTGGCTGGCTCTCAAGAAGCCGTTCTTACGCGTACTTGTTAGAAATACTCAACAATTTCAGCATGGTTAAAGAGTGCTTCGATCTCATTGGGCGAGCTTGAACAGGTGGTCTCAAATAGTAAGTATCATGCGGATCTGTTAAGCTGAGCCACAAGCTTTCTTAACTTTCCAAAACGCAAGCCTGCTTGTTTCACAGAAATCTGACCACGAAGCAAATAATGAAGCTTCTGATGTCTTCATCTTATCAGCGACTCGCTGGGCAACGCCAAGTCCACCGGTGGCGACTCCTTCTACGCGCGCGCGCTCGACCCGTCCTGCACGCCCGCCAACTGCTCCGCTTACGTCAGCGACAACGGCGACGGTACGTACCGCGTCAACTACAACTTCGCGAACGCGGGCACGTACAAGATGCAAGTCATGCTCGGCGGCCAGAACGTGGGGACGCAGACCAACGTCAGCAGCCCCGTCACGCTCTCCATCCTCAGCGCCACCACCACCCGCAAGATTGACGTCACCAAGACGTCAGCTTCCGGCGTCGGCCTGGCCGGCGCAGTCGCAGGGACGACCGCCACGTTCGTCATCACCGCCGTGGACTCAAACGCCATCCGGCTGTTCCAAGGGGGGGCGACTTTCCAAATGAAAGTGTGGCCACCCGCCGCGGGCGCCGCGCAGGGCGCCTTCACGACCAGCGTAATTGACAACAAAGACGGCACGTATACCGTCTCCTACTCTTACACCAAAGCGGGCTCGTACGTGATGACGGTCTCCATGGGCGATACGCCGCTGACGTCACTGACTCGTCAGCCGCTCGTCATCCTCCCGGGCCCCACCGCAGCGGGCATGACCACCCTCGCGGCGAAGTTCGCGCCCGCGGCGATCACCGCCGGGCAGAGCGTCCAGGCGGTTATAGTTCCGACGGACGCGTACAGCAACCCGGTTGCGTACGGCGACAACTACCCCGCCGCTTCGGACGCGTTTTCGGTGCGGGTGATGCCGACCGGGGGAGCGATCAGGGATTACCCGGTCGCTTTCGTCAACCAAAGCTACCAGGCCTCGGTAACGCTTAATACCGCGAGCAGTTACCAGCTGTCGGTGCTCCTCGCCGGGCAGCCCATTGCGACCGGGGCGTCAACTGTTACCGTGACCCCCGGCCTCGCGAGCGCCACCTCTAGTTTCCTGACGGGCGCCTTCTCGGCGCCACTCAAAACCCCGAACCTTTGGACCGCCGGTCAGGCCCAGGAGATCCAAGTCTTCCTCTACGACAGTTTCAGCAACTACGTTCCGATGGACACCGGGGCCTCCTGCCAGGGCACGTTCACTGCTTCCGGGGGCGCGACTCTCGACGTCCCGTGCGCGCGCTACCAGGGCGTGCAGCGCATCTACAGCGCGATCGGGTTACTCCAAACCGCGGGCACGTATACCTTAACCGTGACCGCCAACCAGACTGCCTTCCCCGGGGTCTCTGTACCGATCGGCCAGCCGCAGCAAATTCTGGTTAACGCGGGCGCGCCGAGCGCCGCCCGGTCCAGCGCCTCCGGCCCGGCGGTTTCCACCGGGGGCCAGGCCGGCGTCCCGACCAGCTTCACCATCGCGTGCAAGGACGCCTACGGTAACCCGGTCCTTAACCCCGGCGCGGTCTCAGTCCAGGTGGTCACCACGGCGACTAACTCCCGGTTCCCCGGGACCGTGGTTAACAACAACGACGGGACGCTGACGGCGACTTATACGGCGGTCGTGTCTGGACCCCATAAGGTATACATATACGTCGGCACGGCCGTCATCGGGTCTGGCGCGCCCTTCGCGGTTACGATCAGCGCAGCGCTTTCCAGCGCCGCGAAGACGACGGCGCGGCTCGCGGGCGCGTCGGGCGCGCTCGCGGCCGGCGCGCAGACAACGATCGTGGCGGGGCAGACGACGAAGCTGATCGTGACGACGTATGACATCTATGGGAAGCTGCAGACGAAGACGGACGACACGTTTACCGTCACGTTCGATCCTCCGACTGCGATGGATGGGAAGACGACGGGAGCAACCTACAGCCTTGTCAACACGAACGGTGAGGAATATGAAAAGTCGAAGAGCTCCATGTGCGCTGAGGCAGAGCTGTTCAAGAGTAGAGCCTTTCTTTGTGTGCGTCCTTCCTGCTACCTTATAGTTCTGGGAGATTTGTGCAGAGGAAGTGACCCGTTATGGGACTGGGGAACGCTCATTCAGATCTCCCTGTCGATCTGTTTATGCGTTTTAGTCTTGCTGAGACCTTCTGTTAAAAGCGTCCAGTGGTGAAAACTCAATTCTCGATTGTTCAAAAGTTCGCAACCTTTGATGGTTGCAGAAATTTGAGTTGCTTTATGCACCTTTGACCAAGACAAATGAATCACTTTTAAGGAGCAGCAAGGTCTGTTGCCCCGGAGTATCGAACTGTGCAGAAACGAAAGAACTTTCTTGAAGGTCTTCGGGCCTTGCACAACAAGCACCGAATCAGATTTTCCTTCAGAAACTGCGCCGTCCAGCTTCGAGAGTTGTGAGTACAAACCAGGGTGGAAATGAACTCCTTCCTTCTTCATCATTTTCCTCAACTCGTTCTTCTCCGTTCTTTCTGTAACCTCCTCCACCCGCTTCTTCCAGGATCTTACGTCATCTCCTTCTCGGCGACCAAGTCCGCGGCCTCCTCTGATAGCGGATTGCCTACCCCGGTCGCTTACTCCCTGGCCGTCACGCTCAACACCGGAGACGGAGGACCAGCGCCGATCGCCGGGAGCCCCTTCAAAATTGCAGTCGCCCCCGCCTCGGTAGATGCCGCGTCATCCACCGTCACTCTCGTCAGCACCACCGAGAGCGCCGCCGGGCTGACGTCATCCTTCCTGCTGACCACCAAGGACGCCTTTGGCAACCTGGGCGCTTACGTCCCCGGTTCGTACTACAACGTCAGCGGTGCTGCCGTCACCAACGCGCAGCTGGGCGGCGGGCAGGGGCAGGGCAGCGTCATGCGCCGGCTGTTGGAGACCGCCCCGAGCGCCGGGCTCCTTTCAACCGGGTTCTCCGTCGCTAACAACTACGACGGAACCTACGGGTTAACGCTAACCACCACCCAGGCCGGCGCGTATAACGTCACGATCCGGGTGAACGGTGTCCCGGTCAAGGGCAGCCCGGGCACTTCCGCCACGCTCCAAAACTTCCAGGTTCCGGCCGGCGCCAAGAAGCTCTCCGCCTTCTCCGCCAGCGGAAACGGAATAGGAACGGCCTCTACAGTAGCTGGCGTGGCGACGCAGCTCGTCATCCAGGCACGCGACCAGTTCGGTAACCCGACCCAGGACGACTTAACCAGCCTGGTTAGCAGGCTAACCGCCAGCTTCCAGGTGCGCGTGGGAAGCTCCAGCAGCTTCGTCACTCTCTCGGGGGCGGAGGCGGTGACGGTTGGAAGCCCCTCGGTAGGAAGTGCCGGGCAGATCATTCTTCCGTACACGCCCCTCAAAGCCGGGACGCTTATCACCGCGCTCAGCTTTTCGGACGGTCCGGCCCTCCAGGGGAGCCCTTACGCCGGGCTCGTAACCCCGGGGATTGCTTCCCCGAGCAACTGCCTGGCTTCCGGTTCCGGCCTGAAGGGCGCCCTGGCGTGTCTTACCGGAACCGGGTGCACCTCCGCGCTTATCTATCTTACACCCCAGGACGCGAACAACAACCCGGTCCTGGCCGCGGGCGCGGCCGCGGCCGCGATGTGCTCGAAGTTTGTGGTGACCTTTTCCGGCGCGCAGACGATCACCGCGCAAAGCCCGCAGCCGGACGCGAACAACCCCGCTCAGTGCGTGGTGTCTTACACGGCATCCGCATCCGGAACGCAGCAGATTACCGTCACTTTCGACGGCCAGGCCATTTCAGTGGGGCCCCAGACGCTCAACGTTCGCCCCGCCGTGGGGGCGGCTGACGCCGGCCAGACGACCGTCACCGGAGACGGCATCAATTCCGTCATTGTCGCCGGGCAGGCGGCGAAGCTGACGCTCACCCTGATCGACGCCAACGGCCTGCCGCTGTCGAACGGGAAGAGCTCCACGGTGGCGGCCAGCGTGACGTCAGCCGGCGGCGTGACGTCAGCGGGGCTCAGCCTCAATTTCGTCGACGCCAACAACGGCCAGTTTGTCGCCAGCTTCACGCCCACCGTCAGTGGTATGTTCACAATAAACGTGTCGGTTAACGGCAAGGTGCTGACCACATATCCGGCCGGCTTCGCGATGACGGTTGCGTCGGCAGTGACTGACGTCATGGGCACCAGCGTAGTCATCTTCCCCCAAAACCCCGTTCGGCGCGTCCCTAACCCGCTCACCGTCCAGATTGCTCCGCGCGACAAGTACAAGAACGCGCAAGACTACCTGGTTTCCGGTGCGGACTCGTTCTCGGTTATCATAACCCTCCCCGACCTCAGCACAGAGACCCTAAACCCCATTTCCATCTTGGCAAACGGGACCACCGTCTTTTCGGCCGGGTACAATCCGTTCATGGCAGGGAGTTACAAGTGCCAGGTCTTGTATTCAAACCCCCAGCACCCGGAGATCGGCGCGGCGGTGGTAGGGGGATCATCCAACATCATCACCTTCAGCGTGGCCACCGGACTGCCGGACCCAATGCAGACGGAGCTCCGGGGACAGGGGGTGACGTCAGCGCAGGCTGGCGTCAAGTCGACCTTCCAGATCATCCTCAGGGATGCGGGTGAGCGCTTCGGCGTACTTTTACCTCGTGTCTACAAAAGTAGTTCTCTTTTCCATGTACTTTTTGTTTTTCAAGTATCAGTTCGCTCTTCTTTCTGTGCCAAGCTGGTGCAAATACAATTCTGCACCTGCAAAGGCCGATCCAACAGTGCTTTCTCAGGTCTACAAACAGAGAAGAAAGCGATTGACTCTCAGAAGAGCTTGGCTGCGCGGTATGGAGATTACGGCGAAGAACAAAGTTCGAAGTGTCGCATCCCTGTCTCAGCTTCGCAGTTCAAGAGTCCACAAAGCCTTATCCCTTGCATTGTCATGAAGGAAAGAAGTGGGCGGTCCCTTCACGTTCCTAGAGCATTCACTTTCTGTCCTTGACACAGCTGGCAAACCGTTCAAGGCTTCCGACTTTCGGACTAACCCAACTTCCTTTTCTGTGCTTGGCATGAGTAGCAAATCGGTTAGCTTCCGACCTCCGGGCTAACCCACCTTCCTTATCTGTTCTTGGCACAGGTGGCATCCCGGATTACCTCTTCTGACCCACTTTCCTTCTCTGTGCTTGGCTTAGGTGGCAACCCGGTTAGCGCTGCCGACCTCCGGGCTAACCCACCGACCGCGATCGTCACTTCCGCCCAGAACTCCAGCATGACTGTGAACGCCACAATGGCCCTTTCCTCCGGGGCGGGCGGCACATCTCTCTATCTGGCAACCTACACTGCAATTGCCGGCGGAGATAGTTACTTGGACGTCATTGTGATGAACACGGCACAGCGCTTCAATGGACTCTCCGTCAAGTCCGGTAAGCGGTTGCGCTTTTCAGCTTCTATACGTCAAAAAGGACGGCAGGAATATGAGTGCACAGAATTCAGTGGAATTGTTATGGTGCTGAGGGTTTCAACTCCGGGTAAGCTGAAGTTTGCCGCAGAGGAGCGGAGGAGCGAGTGAGCGGCACGGATGTTTAGGATTTTGGGGTTTTAGGTTTCGGCAGAGATTTTCTTCAACGGTTGGATGTGACTGACTCTCAAGAACGTTTTTGGTTCTACACTGCTGAACCTGACAGCGAAAGAACCAGACGCAGGTTGCACACACACACTCGTGACGTTAGCAACCAGAGTAATGTCCAGTTGGCTATTGTTCTCGCTCTCAATTTGTGTGATGCGGACCGAATGAACCGAGACAAGCAAGCGAGGACGGGTCTGATTCTGGTAACATCTCAACACCGGATTCTATTGAAGTTGCGCCACCTTAAATCAAACCTCTGCTGTCTCTGATCTGATCCCTGCGTTCTTTCCAGGCGCCGTCCAAACTGCCGCTTGCTACGCTACCGGCACCGGAATCGGAACGGTATCCTCGCCCCAGGCCCTTTCCGCGGGCGCGCAGGCCACGTTCTCAATCTACGCGCGCGACAGCTTCCTCAACACGGCGTCAGACGACAACCTTGTCTTCGGGGTGCAGCTCTACCTAGTTGTCAACGGCAGACGCGGGACGACTTTGCCGATCGACTCGCAAAGCTTTGTGACTGACCATTACGAAGTGAACTACACGCCCAAACAGGCCGGAAATTACACGGTGAGTCCAAACGTGCAGACTTTGCTTTTCGAAGGAAAACAGGATGTCTGGACATTTCTGATGCCCTGCAAGACAAATGGGGCCGCTCAAGTTGGAGACTGGAAGCTCCGTAACCAAAGTGTTGTTCTAAAACGTTGCCTTTTCATATCTTTGGCGGATATCCGAGGCTTGCCTGCCTTGACAGGCGCGGAAGAAAGCGCCAGTGGTTGTCAAACAAGCTGTTGGATTCGGGCTATGTGTCGGAATTCTGGTTGATGCACTTTGGCAGCCTATAAATTTGGTACCAGGCACTTCGTACAGGAAGACCTTCAACTTTTCAACTCCCCCGATCAGGCAGCTCGGTGCGCACTGAAGCAGAAGCATCTCCAAAATGACGGTCTCGACCCCTTTTTAGAGAAATTAATCCTTCATTTGATTATGTTTCATACCAATCCATTTGTTTGGTTCTGAAGCAAAATCTTTGCTCTCTGGGACCAGGTGACCATTGTTCGCTCCAACGCTCCTCTTGGCGGCGGCCCCTACTCCGTCGTGGTCCTCCCAGGCGCGACCTCCGCGGCCGCGTCGCGCCTCTCCACCGCTTCCACCGCCAACTGCACCGCCGGGGGGACACGTGTCGTCTCCCTCACCGCCTACGACGCCCTCTCAAACGCGGCGACATCCACCAGCGACGCCTTCTCCGTCAGCGTCACCGGAACGGACTCCGTTTCCGGCCAGATGACGCCGGCCAGCCCCGGGCGGTACAGCTTCAGCTACCCGTGCCTGCTCGCGACCAACCAGAAGAGCTTCCTGACCGTCGCGCTGACGTCAGCTTCCGGCACGGACACGGTCGTCAGCCGGGTTCCGCTGACCACCGTTCCGGGTCTGGTCAGTCCGGCCAACATCCAGGTTTCCGCTCTTCCGGCCATGACGGCGGGCGTACCGGCTTCGGTCGTCTTCACGGCAATGGACGCAAACAGCAACCAGCTCTGGGGAGGCGGCCTCCGCTTCACCGTGCAGTTTGCCCGGGGGGCGGTCAAGTCCCCCGTTAACGTAACCGACAACGGCGATGGTACGTACCAGGCCACGCTCCTAACGAACGTCGCCGGTACGTACCAGCTTGCCGCCAGCCTTGGCAGCCAGCAATTCTACCCGGCGACCGGTAACCAGAGCGTCACTGTTCAGCCGGCGGCCCCCGCGCCCCAGCTTACCGTGGTTACGTTCCCCTCTGCCTTAACCGCCGGGGCGGCAGGCACCTTCACGGTGCAGCTCGTGGACCAGTTTGCTAACCCGGTCCTGACCAACCTCGTCAGCCAGGCCAACCTGCAACTAACCTCGGTCTCCGGGCTGACGGGGGCGTCGTCCGACCTAACCCCGACCATAACCCAGGACCAAACCACGGGGATTTACACCGTGAGCGTGACCCCGATGACGTCAGGGCTGGTTAGGCTCTCGTTAGAAGTTAACCAGGTGGCGGTTCTCGACAAGGCGACCGGGCAGCCCCTCTCGATCGCCGTAAACCCCGGCGCGGTTTCCGCAACCGACTGCCTGGTGGTTGGATCCGGTTTCACCGTGGGGGCGGCTTCCGGTGTCGAAGCTAGCTTCCTGATCACCGCGCGCGATGCGCAACATAACATCGTCCCGGCGGTTCCAACCGGGAAAGCCTTCACCGTAACCTTCTCCCCTACGGGCATCAATCTTAACACCGGGGGGGTCACGAGCCTCGGGAACGGCGTCTACCGGGCAGCTTACACCCCGACCCTCGCCCAGGTTAACGCTAACCCGAACGGCCTAACCATCACGGTTAAGTATGACGGAACCACAGTCGCCACGAGCAGCGTCGCCCTGAAGCAGCAGCCGGGGCCGGTGTCTCCGGCCACCTCCAAGGCCGTGGACGCTACCGGAAGTCCGCTCAGTTCCGCTCTCAAGGCAACCGTCGGAACAGAAACCTCGTTCTTCATCCAGCCCAGCGACGAGAACGGGCTTGACATCAAGTCTACCGGCGAAGCGAACGTTTTCTCGGCGATTGTACCCAATGTAGGAGTACTGACCCCGGTCGCCCTTTCCGACGGAACCGGGCGGTACCAGGTCACGTTCACTCCCCCCGTCGCGGGATCCCTCTCAATCCAGCTGCAGAGCTACGCCGATTCTAGCAAGCAGCTCGCAAACTCCCCGGTTACGGTTCAAGTTTCCCCGGGGCCGACTTCTGCCAAGGACGCCAAGCTTCTGAAGCTCGGGGGAACCGACCCCTTCTCACCGGCTGACGTCAGAGTGGCCGGGACGGAGGACGTCATCCTGGTCAAGTCCTATGACGCCAATGGCAACGCGCAGGTCTACAACGCCGTGACCGGGGGGGACGTTTACACCGCGGTGTTAACGGGCCCCGCCACCGTGCAAGCCGCGCTCGTGAACAAGCAAGACGGGACGTACGAGCTCCGCTACACGGCGACCGTCTCGGGCGTCTACAGCCTGACAGTGTCGCTGCGAAAGGGGGATGTCGTGACCGCTGTTAACCCGCAGCCGATGCTAATCACGGTCGTCAACACCAACTTCTACATTTCCCAGTGCGCGATTCGGCCCGCGCCCGCGGCAGCGACCACGGTTCTCTCCGGAACGCCGCTCGCCTTCACAGTTGTGGCCAAGTGGGTTTTCGCCGGCTCTAGTCTTTCTATCTCAAGGTTTAAAGACTTAGGCTCTATTTGGTTGCAGATTTCAAGTACGGCGTGTTTTGGAGGTTTCATGTGCCGAGACTCATGGGCATTTCGGAACGGGCTCTTTGAAATCGAATTGTATCAGAGTCAAAATGCTGGCAAGGACGAGACTTTAAGTGCGGGCACCTTCTTGTGTCTTGTATTGAAGTTTGGACGAGCGCTCATGAATCGCACAAAGTACTCAGCAGCGGTGTGCATTGCACGTTGCATCAGGAATGTTTTCGTTTCTTACGGATTCGTGCTTTGAACTCTGAAGTCTTTTTGCACGCAACAGCACGAGTCTCTCCATGTCAGCGACACAACCCCCGTCAATTCTGTTTCCATGCCGCCCCAGTGATCGGAATTCCTCTTACGCTTTCAAGGTTACCTTCTGCAGGGACGTGTACGGCAACCCTTACAAAACCGGCGACAAGTCGTTTGTGATCATGAATGCGGGCCCGGTCCCGCTCCAGTGCTCGGTCGCCGAAAGCGCCGTCTCTTCTGAGTTCCAAGCATCCTGCACCGCTAGCCTCGTGGGCACTTACCAGGTCACGGTGGCAGACGCCGTTGACGCCTCCGCTGTCGTGCCGGGGTCTCCATTCCAGGTATGTTTACGCACCGCTGATGATCGTGCACATAAGTTCTTAGGAAGGCTATAACCAGCTCAATTTCCAGGTGGGCTTACGCACTGCAGAGCATCGTAACCAGGGAGAGAGAGGGGTGCTTCTGCGCAGATTCCTTCTTCCGTAGCTTCTCCTTTTGTTGAAAATGCTCAAAAGCCAGCTCCGTCAGAGTAGCCAACTTATGGTCAGATAAGCTTCACTGAAATTATAAAGGTAAACGCATTCTCTCACCTGCTCCACACCCGTGCCCGCCCTTTCTGCTTGCCCCCACCCGTCCCCAAGGTTTTGATGGTCAAGAGAGATTTGGGCTTCCTGCAACTAGGTTAGAAACTCAAGGATGTGCGGGTCCAAGGAACAGGGCAGTTCTCAAGCAGAGCAGCGTGCTTCGCCATCAAGTGTTGAGCTTGGATTTCCACGGTCTGACTTCTGTGAGGAGCGAGCGAAGCCTTAGGCTTTTTGTTTCTTACAAAACCTGATGGAAGCTTTCTTTGATTGTCGAAAGAACGCTGATCTAAAATGCTCCCCTGTGAATGTAGTAAACCAGACATTGCGTGTATTATGACTTCCTTTCAGTCCGCATCTCGTGTGATTGAGAGGTGCTCACTTCAGGTAATACCAGAAATGATCTTGCCCCACTTAGATGAAATCTCTCTTACTATGCAATGACAATAAGGACAGCTTACCACTTAGTGTAACAACATTCGGCGCGAATATCTTCGTGTTTATCAGAACTTGACCTTGTAAGACACAAATCATGAGCAAGCCGTCATCATCTATAATCCCAAACGTCACCTGACTTCACGCGCCCTACGCCGCAGGTGATCGTCGTTCCGGGCGCCGTCTCCGGGAACACCAGCTCCGTCACCGGCAACGGAATCACCGTCGGAACGGCCGGAACTGCCGCGGCCTTTACCGTCACCGCGCGCGACGCCGCCGGGAATGTCGTCAGCCTCCTGCCCAAGGTCACCTTCTCCCCGAGTGACGCAGTCGATTCTGCCAGCGTCCGCGTCATCTTCACAGGGTGCGCGGCGGACGGTACGGATTGCCAGGCGGCCGTGACTTACACGCCCGTCAAGTATGGGACGGTCAACGTCATCGTGGCTTACGGGCCCACTGGTAAGCGTTTGTGCACCTGGAATCGGTCGGTAATAAAACTTTCAGGCGGGTAAAAGAGCCTCATATCTCAAAGCGTACCAGCAGCATCGGAGAGACTTATTTGATTGAACGGCCCATATTTCGGTTTGCAACCTGCTTTTGGCGACAAATCTTGCCCGGAAGGTGCATTTCTGGTCGCCTATGGTTGGCTCGGTCCTGCGACGTCCTCTTCGAAGGGGCTGGGCTGACTTCTCAAAAAGACATTGGCGCTGTGTTGTAAGGGCTTCCGCTGAAAGGAAACAGTTATATCATACGGAACTCAAGCAGCTTGCTAATGCATGGCAGAGTGTTCCAGGTTTCACCATCTCACACCTTTCTCGGAGACAAAGATCGTGTCAACCCCCGGGAACCTTGTTTCTGCCGACTCTTACTTTAATGACAGCTCCCTGTCAAGTTTCAATAGCGTTCTCTCGAACAACCTTTTCGTTTCTGCGAAGTCTCGTCACCGACGCCGGCAGTTTCTCATGAAACCCAAGAAAGACCACACAAACGAATATAGTACTTAGAAGCTCCGACCGACATGGGAGATCGTAAGCCTTAAAAGAACGTGCTCATATCCCTACCCACCCTAATGCACAAGCACCCCGACCTGGTCCTGTGGGCCTAAACAAATCATCTCAGAAAATCAGCCTGGCTTACGCGCGACCGATTGCTTATTCGCAGTCATCGGCGCCTTCCCGGCGGACATCTCCCCCGCGCCCGCGCCCAAGCTGGTCGCCGCGCGCTTCTCTAACCTGCTCAACTCGCTGGTCATCACCTTCGACCAGGACACCAACATGGGCACCACTAACCCCAAAATCTCCGTCTCGCAAACCGCGATGTGCACCACCGTTCTTGACCCAACCGTGGTCGCCAAGCTCGGGCAGGCGCGGTACACGTGTGTCTGGCAAAACAAGGCGACCCTAACCGTCCAGTTTGGCTACAACGCGACGATCCAACCGGTCGGAAGCGCGTCCCCCGACTCGATCCATCTCCTTCCGAACACGATCGGGAACGCGGCGTCGAACTCGTACAACGCGTCCGGTTCCGTTCCGCTGGACGGACCGGAAGTGGGCCCCACGCCCGTAGTCAGCCTGTCTGCGCCCACGTCGGTCGGGGTGTGCGACCCGGTCACTCTGGATGCGGGGCAGTCAACCGGGGGCGGCGGCCGGCCGCTGCGCTTCAGCTATTTCGTCCAGGTGGGCGATTGAAGGGCGCACGTCTCTGATCTCGATCGTTTGGAGATGTCAATCAAGCAAATTTTATCTCTGTTGATTCAGCAGACTTTTGTTGAGCATTGCTTGTTGAGTAGCCCTCAAGGTGCGGTTCAAAGTCGTTCAATATTGTGTTTCCGGACGAATCATTTCTGTCAGCAGCGTGGATCGCTTCTCGACGCGTGAGATCTTCGACACGTCAGCTCAACAAAGCAAGGAAAGACGCATTTGACGCGCTCCTGAAAGCAGTATACGCATTTGACGGTTCGAATCCTGACAGCCCACGACACTAACCAAGTCGTTTTTCCATTCTCAGGGACCGAACAACGACTACACGGCCGCGCTTTCCGCCAAGCTTGCCGACTACACCGCAGAGGGCTCCCGCTCCTCACTCACCCTGGGTTCCACGGACCTGGAACCGGGCACGTCCTACATTTTCACCGTCACGGCGACCAACTTCGTGGGCCTCTCCAGCGCTTCCGTCGCCGTCACTATCAACAAGCAGAGCAAGGCGGTTCCGGTCGTAACCACCCCCGGAACTGGCGCGGAGCGCCGGACCGTCGGACGTTCCAGCAGTATTTTCTCAGTGACGGCGTCCGGGAGAGTGCCCGGGAAGTTCATCTGGGTCGCCGGGCAGTGCGTGCCGGGCGGCGGGGACGTCCCGCTGAGCTACACGTGGCAGCAGCTGACTGGGCCGATCATCGACCCGACCAATTTGGGATCGCCCAAGTACACGGCGTCCTTCTCTTCGCCTACGCTGCTGCTTCCGGGTTCCGCGATGCGCCTTGGAGTCGACTACGTCTTCCAGGTGATTTCATAAGGCCTTGAATACCTTCCCTCTGGTCAACATTTCATGAGAATGCGCGTCTTCCTTTGATTGCTTCGAGTACGTTTTTCAGAATAGGAGACACCCGGAATGAGAAAGCCTTCACTTTCTTTTCTGTGGTGAAGATTTCGCGGGAATTGGCGCAGCGCCTCCCTCTGTTACGTGATTGCTTCTAAAAGTTTCCCTTACCTGCAGCCGGAAAGTCTTTACCTGTATCTGACAGCTGTAGCTATAACGTGCGGATGAAACTTTACACAACATGATTGGTATCTCCTCTGGTAGTAGTGGCTCTAGACTTGCTCCATGGAAATCTGCAATTGACAGGCTACAGGCTGCCAGTTCGTTTCCAGTATTCTACGCCATATTGCTTCTGTCAGCCCTCGAAGTACGTTGAACGAAGTCACAACCGGTAACAGCCGGGCACAACCCGCATCATTTCACTCTGGTGCACTCTCGGCAAAGAGAGAGCTAATTCTGCGCTCCTCCTTTTTTTCCAGGTTTCCGTCGCAATCATCCAAGGCGGCTCCCTCGGCCAAGCCTCTACCGGGCAGGTCACTCTCAGCCTCACCCCACAACCGATCACCGTTTCCGTTTCCGGCGGAGACCGCCTAGCCAACTCCGCCAAGGACCTAACCCTCCTGGCGGTTAGCAAAGACCCGGACAACTCAGCGGACCTGTACGGAACTCCGTACCCGTTCCAGTACACGTGGACGTGCTCCCAGGCGCTTCCGGACGGCGCAGTAAATGCGCTTTACCAGGCGGACGCGACAAACAACTTTGGGCAGTTCGTGACCATTCCGGGGGGTACTCTCGCGGACGGAATCTACCAGTTCTTTGTCAGCGTGAGTGTCTTTTCCAAGCTTTGGGTCTGTGGGGGGAGAACTTGAAGAAGGAGATGGCGGGCAAAGTGCAAAGCAAGAAAGGTCTTTGTCGGCGTTGTCTTAACCCGAGTCGGAGAAATTGGCGAAGCGAGCAGACTGCAGCCTCCGAACAAGGCCAATGGTGCGACCAAAAAGCAAACTTCAGAAAACCTACAAGGAGTTAAGATTGAGAGAATATACTTAAGATCTCAGGGGATACAAGATCGGGCGGCGCAATTCGAATCTCTCAGTTTTTCTTGGGCGATCAATACGACTAACTCCGCGGGCTCGGGGCGTCAAGGCGTTTAAAGATCATTTGACGCCCTCAGTAGGATCTTCTTCCCTTTTAATAAGCCCTAGACAATATTCTCAAGTCATGATAAGAACGAAGCTATCGTAGCACTGATAATCCAAACCCAAATGTTTATTCTCCGCACCCGTGCCCACCCTCAGCCCCATACTGCAATCTGCGCCTATCCTCACCAGCGATTCGTCTTTTTTGACTCTGCAGGCATCCAAGGAGCCCCTCTCCACCGGCCGCAAAAACGTCGTCAACTCCGCCAAGATCACGATCGCCACCGCCCGGACGATCACAATGTCGATCACTGCTTCCGGTGGCGACGTGTCCGGCGGAATTGCGTCCTCCAAGAAGCTGCTCCTGACCGCCTCCTCCGACGAGCCCAATACCGTCTACACGTGGGCCGTGACGTCAGTCGCCACGTCAGCGTCGTACCCGTTCACGGCTGGCACGCTCAGCAGATCGATCACGATCGCACCGAACACTCTTCCGCCCTGGGGAACCTACCGGGTGTCTCTCAAGGGGACTGACGCGCTGGGAATCGGGTCAGCGGGGCAAGCTTCGCTGGAGTTCCCGGTCTTTGGCCTTCCCTCGGGGGGCAGCGTGACTGTCCAGACAGTCAGCACATCCAGCGTAAGCAGCCCCCCCTTGCGAACCACTTTTACGCTTTCAAAAAGTTGAAAAAGTTTGGGCTTTAGGCCACTGCGAACACTTTGAGATGATCTGTCTGCCCTGGTGCAAAACCGCGAACCTGAATAAATGTCAACCAAGCCTTTAAACAAGAAAGACAGGACCGAAACATCATCGTTTTTGTAGATTTGCCTTTTGGTTCTCTGGCTATTTTACGAGCTGTCGCGAAACAAAGGGGAGCTCAAACGACTTCCCGCACCAACAGTGCGCAATCAGGGCAGAATCGGTCTCAACCGGCATCTTGCTCGGCGGTTCGTTCTTCAGCACCCACTCGAGTTGTCGTGGCGATTTTAGGGGAGAAGTTTCGCCACTCTGCAACGCTTCTCTGGGCATACGCAATCAGCCTCTGACGCGAAGCTTTCCTCCTGCAGAAGTACACTTCCGGTGGCGGCTACCAGTTCAAGATCAGCGCCGTCAACTGGGTCAAGAGCGCCGACGCCCCGAGCGGTGCCCTGCAGTACCAGTTCCGTTACGGTGTGAATGGGGGCTCGCAGTACGTTCTCGCAACCGGGGCTTCGAACGTCGCCACTCTGAGCCCTATCCCGGGCACGATCGCAATCAGCGTCTTCATCAGCAACCCGGGCACACCAGCGTCAGCGGCGGGCGACCAGCCGAACGGATACCGGTCAGTGGCGCAACTAGATCCGGGCTCGTTTATTAATTGTGCTTTAGTTTTGTGGGGTTAAGAGATGAGGGTTTGAAAACTTGGGCGGAAACTCTTCTGGGGTCGCTTCTCGCGGACACGGGCAGCGCCTGTGAGTAGCAAAGCTCATGAAAGATTCAGGCAGGCTAAGAATGACCGGATCTACTCCTCTCTCGGATCCTCGACGCCAGGGTGGCTCTCCTTTTCTAATCGGCCCAGGATACTTCCGTCCAGCAATGTTCTGCTCGTCTCAGTGGAAGGACTATGCAGGTCCCTTTACCTCTTTGAACACGATTTGCAAGTCGATTCAAATATACATCTTCATCCCTGGTGTTTTATGGGGAAGATCGAAGCTCCGACTGTTACTTATGTTTTAAACTTTTCGACACCTTTTTAACCCAACGACTGATAGAAAACGTGGTTTCTGTCTGCAGTTACGACGTTAAGCCGTTCGTCGTCCCGAGCCCCGGCTCCAAGCGCCGCAGCCTGCTTTCCGTAAACGATGAAACCTCCCCGGAGCAAATCGCCGGGGGCCGTTCCCTGCTTCAAACCAGCCCGGTGAATTACACCGAGGCCGACGGGAGCTACCAGGACATTTTCCTGCCGGCCGCGTACCAGACAGCGGATTACTTCGGCGTGCTGACGTGGGCGATCACGTGGGGCAGCACGTATGCGCCGGCGGCTCCGCTCGACACGGGCTGCGCCACCGGGAACGGAATGATGCGGACGGAGAAGGCGGACGTCCTCAAGATGATCAACGTGCTGGACCAGTCGGCCCCGCCTGCATACTCTCCGGGTAAGTGTGATTTGTTTTCTGAGGTTCTAATTCACCAGAGTAAATGTCCAATGCCTTCGGCGAAACTTCGCCGGGATTTCCTTTTACTGCCTTCTTCCTCGGTTTTGGGTCCCCATAGGCAGATAAGCAAGGGAGGGCCCAAGTAGCCCAGCCGATTGTTTTCATGGGAACAAAATATCTCCAATTTTTCTTTCCTTAGAAGCAATGAGTCCTGGGTTCGTAGACTACGTTTCTTGGAGCCTCATAGTTGGAATTTGGGTTTCGAAGGCAAGAGACAGGAACCTGGCACCTCGTCAGTATCCATTTCTAAACCCCCAACTCTAGCTGCTAAGGTGAACATGCAGAACCAGTTCAACCATATGACGTTCCAAAAAGTGGATTGAAGCTGATCTACATTCGTTCCGTTTCCGGCAGGCTTGGACAGCGGCGACGGCGCGACCACCGCGAACCAGCACGCGTGTGCGCTCGCGGCGCTCCTCGCGGCCGCCGACGAAGTTCCGCTCTACCTCATTCCGGCGACCGGAGAGAATACCACGCTCTCCTCCACGGTCGCCGAGACGCAGCCCGCGATCCAGAGCGCCATCAACACGTTCCTGCCCAAGCTCCAGCTCATCGCCCAATACGGGCTCGCCACGTCACCCTGCAGCAACACCAGCTCCGAGTGCGACAACTACGCGTGCTTTACCGCCGCGGCCGACGGGCTCCTCAACGCGGCCGCGCGGCACTGCGAGGCGGCCGCGCTGCCGGTCGTCTGGTGGGGCGACGCCGCGCGCTTCGCGCCCGTGCTGCTCGCGCGGGTTTACGGCAACGACCCGACGGTTACGTCGCCCGGAACGGCGACCATCTTCGGCGGGAAGACGTTCCAAGGCGCGGCGATTCCGGCGGCCGTCAACGACAGTTCCGTTCACGCGACGGCCGGAACGTTCGGCTTCAGCGTGCCTGTCCCGGCGGACGGCAGCGCGACAGCTTATGCCATAGCGTATGCGGACGCGGCCGTGGTGCCGGGGGCGCCCGCGTCGGCCGCGGGCGCGTCCTCGCGGGCGGCAGCTCTGTTCGTCGTCGCCAACAATGGTAAGTCTTCTTATCGTAGGGTGGGCCAGCAATCGAAAGTTTCAAAAGGAAACCGTGAAGATATCTGGTTCGTTTCTAGGACGATCTCATAGCCAGGTGCCAGCTTTGTCGAAGTACCGCGGTTGCGTGCTGTAGCGAAGTTAGTGCGTTTGAACGAGTTTCCATGGTCGGCAGGCCTCTGCTACGTTTGCGATATCCTCACTTCGACTGTTCGCCTCTGCTTGTCACCTTGCTTGAATCAAGGAAACTGCCGCAGAGTTCAGCCCCTTCCACTGTTTCACTTTGGAAGGCACGAAAGTGCTCCACCCCCTCAACTAAACGCAGGCAGCGAAGTGCTTTCTGCATCGGTTCCATCCGAGTAGAATATCTGCTCTCAAACCTGAATCACGTAAGGCTCTTTCGCAACCTTCTTTGGGAGACATCTCACTTCGTTTCACTGATTTTACCGCACGCTATCGTTTACTTGAAGACGCACTAGCTGGCAGCTATTTCAAAATCATCTTAATGTCGTTCCACACTTTCATATTCCTTCTTTCTCTTCTTTCCCAGCCCCTTACAACACATCCGCCCCGGCCACTATCACCTTCGCCAACCTAGCCGCTCTACCGACCGGTCTCCAGTACGCAGTCGACCTCTATCAAGCGACCGGTTGCGACCTCTGGGCACTTCCGGGGAGCGCTTCCAGCAACAGCTACACCAACTGCCAATGGTCCCCCGCGGCGGCCAACGTTTCCGTTTCCGTCGATCCGGCGTCCAAGACCGGAACGGCGTCCGTTGCCGCCTGGAACGGAGTCTACGTCCTGCACACGATCAGCGTGCCAAGCCTGGTGACCGTCGCTTCGGAGACGGTCCCCCTACCGAACCCCAAAACCGCCCCCACTTTCGCCGTTACCGTGCCCGGGAGTGTCGCCGTTTCGGCATCGGTTGTTGGTGCCACACCGACTGGGGCGTCGGCGTTCGACCCAATCACCGGAGTGGCGGTAAATTACCAGGGCGCTTCCCAGCCCGTGGCGACCCTGCCAGATACCATCACCCCTGTCGCTGTTGCCGGCGTCTTCTTCACCCAGGGCAAAACGGCAGCGGGGCCCTTCTACCCTTTCTCGGGCTCCGTCGTGTTCAGCGGAATCCCGGCTCCGGCCAGCGGAAAGGCGTACGTCGTTGACGTGTACCACGTCAGGGGGTGCTCCGTCGCACTGCCGCCCACGTCAGCCGACGCCTACGCGGGCTGTACCTGGACTGTCGTCGCGCCAACCCGCACGGTTACCTACGTAACCCAGAGCCAAACCGCGCAGTTTGCGCCGGCGCAGGCGCAGTGGAATGGAGTCTTTGTGCTGTATGCGGTCGCGGCGACTGCCGCCCCGCCCGCACCCGCAACGCCTCCCCCGGTTACGACCGAGGTTAACACCTTTGACCCGGCCACTAAACCGGTGGTTACGCAATTAGTGGGCAGCGTCGCCAGCTTCAGCTTCGCGTCCGCCGGAACGGCCCCGATCGAAGCAACCGGCGTGACTTTCCCGACCGCCGACCAGATCCCCATAGCTTATGACCTCCTCCCCAAGACTGAAGTTGTCGGCGCAGTCGCTCTATACCTCATTCAGGACTCCGAGCCCTTCTCCCCGGGGTCGGGATCCATCTCCTTCCAGAGCGTTCCCACTCTAGCCAAGCGACGCGCGCTCCTCGCGGCCGCGACGGTCCAGTACGTGGTCGACGTCTACACGGCAACCGATTGTACCCCGACCATGCCCCCGAACGACGCTTCCGCGTTTTTCGGCTGCACCTGGAACGTCACCAAAGACCTCCCGGTGACGTACGACCCGGTCAGTGGGGTCGCCACGTACACCCCGGATTCCGCCCACTGGAACGGAATCTACCTGCTGCACACGGCGACCGTGACCGCGGACCCGCCCACGCCAACGCCCACCACTGCCCCGAAGACTCCCCCGGCTGGTACCCCGGCGCCCGGTACCCCGGCCCCCGGTACCCCGGCGAGCCCTTCTCCCGGTGTGAAGACCGGGGGCAGCAATAGTGTCGCTGTGGGGCTTGGCGTGGGTCTCGGTGTGGGAGGTGCGCTCGTTTTGGCCGCGATTGGGGCCTTTGTGATCGCGCGCCGGAAGCAGGCTGCGGCCCGCGGAGAAGGCGGCGCGACCTTCTCTCTCGCTGACCAGCAGGGGTCTGGAAACCAGTAGATCCCCCCGGGAAGAACCGGTTTGAGACACGTTCTAGTTTCGTAGTTACGGCGAGCGTGAGGATATTTTGGCTTCTTGAGAGATGGATTTTGATATAGTGTGGATTTGAACCAATGGTTGAGCACAGATCGAACGCGACCAGAGGTGTTTCTTTGATTGATTCGACGGTTGAATAGACCGTAGGGGAAAGAAAGTAGGAAGGCAAAAAGAGGTCTTTTCTAGGACTTCAGCGGCGCTTTAGGCCAGGTAGTAGCCTCCTTTGATAGGCAACTTTGAGGTAGACTCTCGCTTTGGCTCATGTATCAAATTTCCGCAGGTTGTTTCAACTACCACTCCCGCGGTTGTCCTTCAAATCATACCGCGTTTGAGGCTGTCATTGATTTGTTCTGACCATGACGAGCCCGGGTAGTGAGGGCCTTCTCCCCTTATCGTCTGAGGGAACGTGATCACAATCTTGGCTTAAGCCGAACTCTCCCAAGGATAGGCTTTTTTGCGTTTCGTCCAAGCCGCGTAAGAGGCGGCCAAATCCTGCTGAGTCGCCGAGCACGATCGGATTGCACAGGCTTTGTCCGCTCTATTTCATGGCACAGCCGCGAACCATATATTCAAATGCGTATATGATTAGCCAAGTAACATAAGCCTCGATCGGACTCGCTCAGCAGCGGCCGGCCGCGCGGCGCCGAGACCTGCGCGTCGCACACGACCAACAATCTCAATATGATAATTGTCATCATGACGTCACATTCCAATACGCAAGTGCAGCAATGGACCGAAGGAGCTGTAATGTCGCGAATTTGTGAAGCTCAAACTCTGGTCAAAAGAAAGCACCCTATGTCAAGTTCATATGACTAGTTGTTCGCATTAATTGACACTACGTCGTATGCATCGTATCTTCGTGTAGCTTACTACAACTCTCTTACATGTGGACCAAATGTACACTCGACGGGAATTCAAGTACGGCCGCGCGGGCAAGCTCCATGCCATGCTATACGATCTTATCTACGACGTGCTCGATCGCTCTGGCGACTGATTCAGGCGGTCAGATGGCTGGCGTGACTGTTCCTGCGGGCCAACTCCTCTTCAATCTGCGAGCAAAACAAGACCTCTTTGTGACAAAATGGTTTTGCAGTCCACCTCAAAGTGTAGACGCCGGACTGCTGAGCGCCAGATGGTGGCGGATCGCAAAAAGTAAGGCCATTCCACCCGTCGTAAGTCCAATTCCCAGCAACTCAATGTACAACAGCGAGTCCTACAGCTCCAACTTTGATTCGAGACTTGCGAAGGGAATCTTGAAGCAGAGCAGAACTCAAAGGCACAAAGAAAAAACAGTTCAATGGAGGCCTCAGCAACAGTGACACGGACTCCAACTGGCTTGATGAGATTTCCAGGACTCGCCCGATAGAGGCAGTCAAAAAAGGGTGGCAATACGGGCACGAACCCGATGACAGTTGAAAGTGGGCAGGCGTGACTAATACAAGGAGAGTATGTGCAAGCCAAGAGCCAAGGCACCTTCTGTGTCGGTTGCAATCATTATTCATGACATGGGTTGCGTTGAACTTCAAACTCCTCCAGGCCCGAAGCCCTGATATAGTCGGGATGGAGATAAGCTCACAATCTGGATCCGGCGGAGAGCGCGCCCTGCTCCCAGGACGTTCTTGAGGATCACTGCAAACTTCACCGCGATGGGAGTGGAAGTTGAAATGATCAGCGGCACCGCAGCCCCGCTTGTGATAACGACAATCAGTCCCGCCACCGTGCCAACTGCAGAAGGTAGCATGTGAAAACTTGTTGAGTATCGGAACCAGAATGTGGTATGCATCAAAATGATGACCTGCCTTTCTAGTCATAGGTCAGGAGACTGATTGGTTCTCAACACCAGGATCAGACTGCCTGGATAGTGGACACAGGGCATGTTAGGTACAGCTATGGAGTGCTTTTGCTGACCAAAATGCAGGCGTACTTTAGATTCAGGAAGGCACACCAGATCAGGGAATAGCCTACCAGTGGCTTTGACTGTCTTTCACCAGTACTTCTCCTTAAACCCCTCGCCTCCCAGGTCTGGGTTAGAAGCTGAGATAATGATGTATAACCAAAGCTTTCAGAGTTTGGCGATTGCGCACGGATGAAGAGAGATGGCGACTCACGGAGAAATGTTTTTCCGATTTCTAAGGTGAATTGGGTGTCCACTGCATGTCCAGATTGTGCAGAAGGGGCGTCAGCTAGTGGAGTATCCAGCTGATATGAACTTTGACTCTTCCCAAGTAACGTGAAATGAGTGAGATCGCTTACCGAGGGTGATGGACAGAATCCCGGCAGCTGCTCCCTGCTTCAGAACCTTGGATCTCAGCCTGGCACGTAGGTTTTCCAGCTCAACCGTACGAGCACGGGAGACATATCCTCTAAACTTTCCCAGTTTTTGAGCCATTGTTGCGCACGGAAGGTGATATTTGCTGTCTTGAAGTCGAGGAAGTGATCGAGGTGCCTCCAATCGAGCGGCGCAGAAGTTGATCACAGCTGGTCAAGGGACTCTTCGCTGACGCTCGGCTAGCTTCTCTATCTTGCGTTTGCGCACCAGTTGCAGCTGAAAAGTAAGCCTTTCAATGGACGCTTTCCACCCAAGCTGGTTGTAGCAACTACGAAGCACAGTCCGACCTACAATATACATGGTCAACCTAGCACGGGCAGCTCAGCTCCTAGTACTAGCTGAATCAGATCAAAGAGCACACGTATGCCCAGGTGATCTGCGACTTGTGCAGTGCGGCGTTCTGCAGTAGCTGAAGGGCCGGAGTGCTGCAGCTAACTGAGCCAGCTGCCAAGTGCTACCGCGCAGTTTTGACGTCCATATGAAGTCCATCTGGACCATCTGGCCTTCTCGGGCGTGTTGGGCTCGATGTGCTCGTTTGGGTCATACAGAATCTTGAATCGACGGCTGACAGTGAGCAATAGCCGTCTTCACGGTCGGATGACGGCCGGGCCCGCCTAGGCTCGGCGGCCGCCTCCGGCGCGGGGCCCCGGGCCAGCATACGGTATTCTAATTGCCACCTGGCATCTCGCCCTTGCTCATGCCAATGGCTTGCCCATCTGGCCCATCTAGCCCATCTAGCTCTAAGCTTGCCCGGCCAGCTTGCCCCATCTTGCCCAGCTTGCCCATCTTGCCCAGCTTGCCCATCTAGCTTGCCCATCTTGATTCTTGGCCCATCTTGGCCTGCATCTTGGCAGCCTGGGGGACTGTCTTGCCCGTCTTGCCCGTCTTGCATGGCAGCGGCTGTGCTCGAGCCTCAAAGTCATTGCTGTGGCGGCCCATTTGCCCATTCTGCCTAGCTGTTGTCACAATCTGCCCGATCAGAGCAGGCACGCTGGGTCAATCTCGTCCTTGCAGGCGGGGTGCCAAGCCTACTCCTTTATGAGGCACATTTGAAGGCTTAACTTGCAGAACCTGAACCCCAAGGATTTACGAGCCAGCTTGTCCGCTTTGGTTGCAACATCGGGCTAGAATGGCAGGGGGTCTCTAGTGCTCACTCGCTCTCATTCTGCTCTCCCTGCCACTTGTAGTAGGTTGTTGCACATGCCACAGCCTTAACGGCCGCTCCCTGGTTGAGGGTGCGCTCGTGCTTTTACAGTTACAGCTGTTAAGTAGTGGGCGGGTCGGGGGTGAATTCGCACTCGACCTTGTCAATGTTATTCAGCATCACAATGGCAGAATTCGGACCTTTCAACAATCACCGCAGTCACCTGGATTCCCCTGGAGGTCTGGCACAGCTGTCGTGCTAAAGAGCAGTTCCCATACCCCAGCTCTAGCCAGCCAAGTTTAACTTTTGACATGCAAGCACTCGAGTCTGGCAGCAGCAAACCCTCCAAAGCACGCAGAATGGGGGTGAATGCAGGGAATGCAACAACGCGGCCTCGACAGCCTGCTGTGGCGGCTTTCCAGACGCTGCTTGACGAGGCCGTTTGTCGGGGAGATGGCAAACACCGGCAGGAGCTCCGAGATAGACTCTATCGGAACCTGGCGGTCTGTTGTGCAGCCCCTGAGCAGGGTGCAAGAACCTGCGAGTGCGCGACTTTGGTAAAGCTCCTGCACCTGCCAAGGGACTGTCCTGTCAGCGACCCCCGCCATGTATCCGAGGAATATCAGGAGAAGTTCCTGAAAGGTTGCCAGCCTCGTGAAGAAGGGCAATCTTCATCAGGTGTGTCTCCTCTTCACCTTTTAAGCATGTAAGATTGTCATAGATTTGCAGACTCTATGTCTAACATGCTAAATGTCAGTTCCAGCAGACTACCTCGTCAAATTCCAATGATTGGCCATTAAAGGTGTTGCCTTGGTCAGTAGGATTTTCATACTCTTCATCCACGATATTACAGTTTTGCTGTTGTTTCAGGCCTGGTCGCAGCTTGAGAACTGTACCATGGTTTGCTTGCTGTCTGTGACCCTGGAGAGCACGTTGGTCTAAGTTGGGACAATGAGATGAAAGATGCGAAGGTTCAGATTCGTGCAGCAGGGATCAGCTCAGTCACACTGCTTTGCAAAAACGCTTTTCACCTATTGTTCGCTCAAGTTCAATGCTGGACACCTGTCTACATTTATCAATCTGTGCCTTTTCACTATGGATTCTAATCAAGGCAGGTGACCTTTCCAAAGTGCTCGTGCAGGAGAAACATACTTTCTCTGATTATAGGCGCCTGTCGACATTAGTGGCCATGGCACATTCCAAATGCTGTTCTTGCGTGAGATACTGCGTTTTGCTGACCGTATGAAGATCTCTGGAGTCTAGAGAAAGCAGACTCCCAACAACTCAGCAAAGCACTGAACTTTGAACTCAAGGACATTCCAACTGAGCATTGCAGAACCAAATCGGGTGACCGCGAGCTGCGTTAGCTGGTCAAAAACCTCTTCGATCATTAAATTGTCACGTAGACTGGACTGCTAGTTCAAAGGGAGAAGGAAGAATTAGTTCCCATCTCTTGAGTACGAATGAAAGCCCAAGGCTTCACCTTTCTGGTCTCCCATCCTCCCAGGACATCTGAGGCATGTACTGACTCTTCCTTCTTGCCAGCTGTTGAAGACCATGTCAACGACGATCCACGTGAGCCAGGCTGCCCGTGGCGGCGTCTGAACATAGACCCACTCAAGGCCATGCGTCGTGCTAGAAATCTTAGCAGCGGGGGGTCTGGGACGCATAAGCAGGCAGACACGTGGAAGTCCGGAAGAGAAGAAAGGCAACCAGAGGCAGAAGGAGGGAGACGTGGTTTAGAGGGGTGTTTTGGTGATGATAGACAGCGTCAGGGGCAGCCTCAGATCAGTGGTTTGGCCACAGCAGAGGGAGGATGCGGAGTGGGCCAGGAGATACCCTCAAACTGTAATCTCCTGCTAGATCTGAGATCTGAGACAGAGCAGCGTGTTCGAGGGGTGCTCGACCACGAAGAACAGCAAGGGCTGTGCACAATAGCCTTGTGCTTCCAAAGGAGGCCGTCCCATGGAAAGGCTGCTTTTCTGGAGTTCCTGAGGGAAGCATCCTTCAGTCCTACGGTAAGAACATGAACCCCTTGCGAAACATTCTTGGAGCCCTGACCGCATCTGATTCTTTTCAAGGAAGTTCTCCAGTCCTAGCCAGTAAGCATGTGAACTGAGGTGCTCTTCAGCTTTGGGGGTCACCTCAGGTTATGGTGTCGCTTTGTGGCAAAACCATAGAGATCCTGTCGTCAGAAGGATCGCATATTGACGCTTAATAGAAAACGCTCCAAATCTTAGAATGCCTAAAACCTCTAAAGCCTAGAAAAGCATATTTTGAGTCCTTTGATCACATAGTCGGGTTTCAAGCATACTCAGCATAACTTGTGGGTATTCCGATTTCAGACAGTCGACTCGGGCTTGTCGGGCTTGTCGGGCTTAATTCTGTTCAATGGAAGAAGGAGCTTGACGCCGTTGTACCAAACCAGCAGGAATACTTATGGAGTTGCTTGATTCCTCTCTTTTGCAGCGTGGCCACGAGCCTTATCCACCCCTTGTCGAGCATCAGATTGCTCGCCTCCTCTGGGGTTGCAACACGAATAGCGTGCTGCTTGAATCGCTCCCCCACGCTCTGGGGCACTGCCCCGACACGACGGGGCTGGCCTACGTGGCCCTTGGCGTGCTTGATGCGATTCGTTCTCGTAGAGCAGAAACGAGGACGATCGGCGGACCAGTGGCTTTTGGGAGCACGGAGTCGGAATTCGTTTGGGCGGACTCGGTATTCAACGACTTCCCACACGTGGCGGGAACTTTTGGGCTCACCTGTGCATTGGCCGACGCTTCGGATTCCCCTGTGGAGGAGATCGCGGCGATATTAGGGAGCCTATGTGGATCTTTTGGGATTATGCCGACCGATGCGTACCAACAAGGGCATCGCCGCCGGATGGTGGTGGGGGCCAAGAAAGCAGTGTCGAGGATCAAGGGACATTTTCGATCTTGGGTCGGTGGATAGCCACCCATCGTATGGGTAAGGCATCTTAGTCCACGACTTGGTGTTTCTGAAGTGACGATCCAGTGGAAGGTGGAGCCTTTGCGGAAGTGACCACGATTTCCGCATCTCTTCTTCTCTGCTCTGTAGCATCACTCTTCTAGATTGCAAACAAAGCCAAAGGGGTCCGACTGGATCTTGGCGATCAGCGATTGAGCCGACGGATTACGCTAATTTGCTTTTGAAAGCGGACCGCCACGTCGACTCTGGAATGGGTAGACACTTCTGATCAGCCGGATCCTTGCTTCGCCAAGCACTCTTCAGATGTTCAGACGTCCAATGATTGCACTGGGATCGCGAACTATCTCAAGCTAAGTTTCTGATGCAGGCTCTTTTGGAGGAGCTGCTAAGGCCGAGTGGGTCCTTAGGAGCGAGATGAGGTGGGTCACGTTCCTGCTCTATACTTAAATTGCTGGCTGTTCGGATGACGCTGCACACAGCAATTCGTTATGGTAGCAAGTCTGACGTTCTCTCTGTGACCCCAAAGTTGTAGCCTGTGCCTCGAGAACGGGCTGTGCGCTCTTTGATGCTCAATCTTCGATAGTCGACTCGAGAGGTGTTGCATGTTGAATCTAATGTCAGCAGGAGGGAACATACTGGCAGTCTTCCATCGTTCTTTTCTGGTGGCATCCGCTCCGTGCTTCCGAATGAAAGCATTGATTCTGGATCCAATACCTGTGTATTTGAGTCAAACGCCAACAAGCGGTGAAAGTCTTTCTAGGATTCGCGACTCAGCTTTTACTCCCAAAGCCGTGAAAGAAGCTTCTCAAAGGGCGTTCAGTTCGAGCGTGCTTGAGGATAGGAACCATTGGACCGTAGAATCAGGGGCCGCTCGCGGTCAACTGATGCATGTGTTTTATGCGCATCCATCTTGGCGTTAACCCGTTGTTGCTCTTTCTCCAGCGGCCTGCCGAGGGACCTACGACGGGGTCGACAACAGCAAGTGATGCCTCACTTGCTGATTTTGAGGAGAGCACTGACGACGCAACCAGCTCAGTTGGACCTTCGGCGTCCGGGTCAACTACATCGGAATCAGGCCTGTACAGATGTAGATAGGATGTGTGTGTAGTATTCAAATGGACTCTTATTGCACTTGACTGTACGTATAGCTAGAAGTCGATTTGCGTGTGATGTCAACAAGTGGTTTGCAACAAAATGAGTCTGCGGGCCGCCCTTAGCCTTGCCTGTTCAGTGGTTTGCCTTAACATCGTCAAGCATAGGTTGGACTTAGTAAACCGGGCTTGAAACATCAACCTGAGTCAGTGTGCATCTATTAGCCGGGCCCGTTGTGACCACCTTGCATCCGTCCTGACCTAGAGCCCTGGCCACTGGCTTGAGTTTCAACTGCTGGTCAAAGGCCGCATCATTGCATGTCAAAGTTTCCGCCGTGCACAGCTTTGACTTGCGACAGGCTTCACGTTATGGTTTGGCTGGAGCACCTTGTGCGCTGCAGCCAATGACCCTCTCTGACAATTCACCGTAGTCGCATGGACTTTACTAATATGACTAGCAGCCTAGTCTGTACCCAGTGAAATGTCAAAGCCGCACTGCAGTTTGGGCGCGCCGCGGCGCGGGCCGCCACATGACAATGAGCTAGCTCTAGGGCCCATGTCAGTGTACGGTACCAATGATGCCAAACTCGACCATCCGTGGCGCGGCCTGCTTTTTACAGTTCGTCGCTGACACGTTAAAGCTTGCATGAGATCAAGTACGGCGGCACGGCATTCAATTCCTCTTTGGCACTGTCAGTTTGCTACGTGTATGCGTACCATGAATCATTCGCATTGGATATTGGAGATCGACCAGTCGGCAGTCGCGGCGCCTCAAAGCTATCGGTGACATCTACTAAGCTATACTACATGCAAATCCGGCGCATGGCGCGCAGGCTGGCGGCTCCAGCGCAATGAATATAATTAGAACAATTATTCATGTCCGACTAGCTTATGAGCTAGTGGTCTGCTGAAGTCAGACAGAAACATTCTTGTTATCTAGTGTAGTCTACGTTGAAGACGACGGTCGCAGTAGTGAGAGTGGCTTCCCGGCGCCTTTCAGGCTGGCAGTGCATTCATGCCGGCCGATCTGAGGTGAGTCCGATCTCAAATGCGGGCCTGCTCCATTGTTTCTAATGAAAGAACCACTCAGTGATCTCCATTGGCTAAACTAGCTACTTCTGGACGCTACAAAGGTAGTATGACGATCGAAGTTCAAAGAAAGTCCACTTATCAATTCATTTTCGGGGAGCTTTACCAAATCTCTCGGTTGTCTCTTGTCTCTTATTGGTACCTTTCTGAATTAGCCTTTGCAGCTGCCGTCTGCCGTTGGCCTACTGCATTATATCTGAGCAATTGTTGACGCTTGCACTGCGGTTTTCTTAATCAGAGGACTTCAAAGTGTCGTCCTTTTTTATTCCTGTCCCTTGTTTCTGATCTTGCGCGGTGACTCTACCCCGGCCGTCCATTCAACTAAAGTCCGACGCACCACACACTCGCATGCTTGAAGCAACCCTCTATCACTAATCATCAATCAACAATCAGTAGCGTGCACAGTTCTAGAAAACGCAGTGTCCTATCTTTGTCATTTCATCCACAGTCAATAAGCTCAATATGTTGTCATGATCTCTTCGTACTTGATCCGTAGCTTGCTGAAAGTAGGAACGTGGCGCACCATGTAGTAAAAGTGGCCAAATTGCTCCCACAGATACCGCACGACATCGGTGATGTTCTCCTGCCAACAGAAAGTAAAGATCGTTTGTAAGGCTATGTACAACAAACTGGGATCGCTTGGCTTGCCAAGAGGCACAAATTGATATCTGACCTTACAAACGGATATTATCGGCTGAATTTGTCGAAGGGAAGTGGCAAGCAGCGATTGCTGGAGCCCATGTCAGCAAAAACCTCCAGGAAAACAGGGTCAGAAAACAGGTCAGAGGAGTCTCAGAGCAGACTGTCTCCGAGCCATGCCTCCGACTGAGCAAGCGCCCGATAACGAACTTTTCTCAGACGCCGACAAAAGTCTTCAGACCTTTAGGTTGTGGTTTCCACTCATGCCTCCAGAACGACAAGAGACTCTTCGCGTCCACTTTCTGGTCCCAAATCCAGTCTCTCAGACATACATATCCATGTCCCTGGCCTTGTACTGCAATTACTGTTCTCTGACTGTCAAGCGACACAGTAAAACTGGAATCACCCACCGAACGCAACATCAACACCAACATTTTGAACTTAAGATTGATGGCGGTATGTACCTCCACAACAAAATTTACGAGAGCGAGAACCTCCACCGCGATCGGGTTGCCAGCTCCCGCGTTGGCTGGATACGCCGCGAGCACGGGCGCGAACAGGTCGCCGCGAACGAGCCGCGGTACGTACCCCGGGTCCCGGCGCTCCAGGCACATGCGCAGAAAGCGCGCGCCCGCGGCCGCGAAGTCTTGCGGCCGGCAGGCGACCAGACACGCGATCGCCTCCGGGGCTCGGTGGCGGAGCAAGATCGGCCTGACGAAAGAAAAGAGGAATTCATCGAAGGGAGCGTCAATAAGATGATTAAAAGTGTCTTGATTAAACGAAGGTAGTGCCGCTTTGCCTGCGCCTTTGCTGTTTCTCTTTCTCAGTTAAGGTAATTGCATTTTGCATATAGTTGACGTTGAAGCGCACCCTGCAATATCACAGTCGCTGCTCGCTGGCAGAACCTTCCTAAAGGAGCGGCCCAGAAACCGAATTGTTCCACGTCATTAGTCGTGCCACGTGTCTGTGGTACAGTCGGCGCAGCTGATCGAAGGTTCAGTCGATGCCCTCAAAGAAAGAAAGACTGCCCAAAATGCATGTTGTGATTCAACCGGTTGCGGCCTCGGCAGCGCAGAAAAGAAACTTTTTGATCGAATTCGGTAGTGCATTTCGAAAGAGGCGAGCAACAAAGGAGCCCCTTCAAAGGATGTCATTAGTCCCCAAAATAACGCCAAAACCCACCGCAAATGTGGAAGGGAACGCTAGACATTTCCGGGCGATGTAAAAAAGGGAGCCAAAAAGTACTTTCACGAAGTAAGGCTTTGGACAGGCACATCACTTTTCAAGCCCAGCGCCGTTCCCGAGTCATCGGACGCCTGACTTGGATGTCAACACCTCACAAAAACTTGGAAACCCGTGAGAACCGGACATTGAAGGGCGTTCGACCGGCTTACCCAAGGCTGGCGCCATAGTGACGTACGCAGTTCGTCAGCATGTTGCACGCGTACTTGAGCTTGCGCATCTCCGCCTCGTCGCTCTGCTCGTCAAAGGCACCCCCGCTGGCAGCGCTGACGTCAGCCGCAATCAGCGCTACAACCTGCTGGATGACGTCATCCAGCAGGGGGTCCAGCCATGCGGTATTCACAGTCTGCGCAGAAAAAGGGGCACGTGGCGATCAGTGAGATGTATTGTGAATTCGCTTGCTGGTGTGCTCGGCTGCAAAGTCGGAACCTTATGGCACTTTGATTCTATGGTTCAACTCGGTGTTGACACTGACAAACGGGTTGCGCCAGTCTTCGTCCTTCGAACTTAATATAAGGTCAGGGCGGCTCGAACTTTCCTGCGTTTGGCATAGACCTCGACACCGAGACCGGAGACAAATAGTGGCAGACCTTCAGATCAACTTGTTTCGAAGCTCGTCTCGGATCGTTTGCCACCAAAAACCAGGTAAAGTGCAGGGTAGAATCTGGCCGCATTTGTCAACGATATGCTTACGTTTGTCAGACTGAGCAGGCCGTGCATCAGTTTCGCCAGGCGGGTCTGCAGGCGCCCTTCGCCCACCGCGAGCGTCGCTTCGACGATCGGGAAGCGGTGCAGCAGGCGTCGGACGGCGGGCAGGTGCGCGCGCAGCGACGGAGGATCGCGGACGAGCGTCCACGTCAGCATACACGTGGCGGCCTCCCAGAGCTTCGCGTCGTCAGCCGTCAGCGCGGCCGCGACGGCGGCGAGGAGGCCGGCGCTGATTAGGGAACGGTAGATGCGCAAGCGCTGCGAAGAAAGGGGCCGCGGAAGATGTGAGCGCTTACGAAGATTGATCGGCTAACGGAAAAATTCGCAATTTTGAATTTGGGAACAGGAAGCCTGAAGTCTGTCCGTATGCCTTTTCGGAAAGGAATGGGTGACATGCGTTCGCTTGCTCCGCAATGATCTGCTCCTTCCCTCGCTTCATGCTTGCATACAAGCTGCCAGACGCCAAAACAACGTGCTGGACCTCTTGCTTAGGGCGAGTAGCACGCGAAACTCTTTCTAAGTTTTTGCTACCGTGCTACACGGGGATCGACACGCTGCGCTCCTTTAAAGCCAATTGCTCGCGTCTGCCGCTTTCTCGAAACGGGTTTTTGTGAACTAAATTTCCCTTCCAAAGGGCATGGCTGGAAACTGCGGCGCTTTTGTCAAGTAGCTCGCTAACTCCAACTCAAACAGTTCTTGGCAACTCAGAATATCGGAATGGCAACTCAGAATATCGGAATGCGTTGCTTCAGATCGCGCCATCTCGTCTCAACTCGTCCATATGCAAAAACCAGTCCTTCAACGCTTCTGTAGTCAATATGACTGTATGTAGTCAATATGACGTCAGTCGCATGGGTCAAGCCATGGGTCAAGCCATGACGTCAAAATGACCTCATTGGTCCACTTGCTCGTGCGACTCACCTGCTGCAAAGGCACACGGAGAGCGTATGCACAAACGTCCGTCAGGGCGCAGATCGTTTCCCGGTCCAGACCGTCCGCGCCTTTCAGCGCGCCGTCGCCGAGAGTCCTCAGCACCGCCAAGGCCCAGTCCCAAGCAACCTGCGGATGGGGAATGTGCTTTGTTATGCAATACGTTGACGGCCGTCGTAAGACGATTGCGATAAGCAGACCGCCACGGCGGTTGTGCTCTCTAGTGGGCGCTGCTGAGAATTGCTAAGCTGTAACTTTGGCCTGTTTTCCACACAGCGAATTCCTCACTGGAGCAAAAGCGAGCCGCTTTTGCCGATCGAGATCCACGATTACTTCGGTAAGTCAACCCACAAAAAGGCGCCATCTCCACAGGTTGAACCCAAAAGGGCGGGCAATATCGAAGTACGCCTGTTGCCCAACAAAGTCGACCCAGTTCTTGTGGCACATCGAGTAAGCGTGGCGTGGCAAGATGACTTCCAGACTGCTTTACATGGATTCTGTAAACACTTTCCTTCTTATATTCGCAGGCTAGCGTGTGCCTTCAGCCAGAATCGAGTTACGCACCTTCATCACCCCCACGTCACCTTGCACCCCGGCTTGTGCAGTGAGCCTGACCGTGGCCAACGGCGACCTCTCCCACCCAAATGTCGGCCCTTCCGTCGCCCTTTCCTCACTGCTCCCAACCTTGTCGCAGCCCGCATTCAGATCCAGCGCCGCAACAGCCTCCCTCATGGCATCGAGCCCCTTGCTCTGGTCCACCTGCGCACGTTTGATAAGTCAGGCGCTACTCGGTGCGGGTTATGACAGCCAGAAACATCATAGAAGACATTAGCGGTGTCGAAGCACGAGCGGTTCTTTGTCAAATGACTTGTTCCGGGCTTTAGTACTCCTGGTCTTGAGCCTCGTATTTTGAGGCGTTCGATGTGTACATCTGTTCTTCTGATTTTGCAGACACCAGCCTTCGATTCATCATGATCTCCTGCAGTCACTGCCCTCCCTGCTCCCCAATTGCAAGACAAACCGGTGATTACCAAGCAAGCGGTACTACATGCCAAGACTTTCAGGCTGACCTGCTTCGCGCTCTGCGCAGGCCCCGTCCTTACGTTGCGTCCCGTTTCCTTAACAAAACTTTCGTCCCACTCGAGCGCCTGCCTCCTGAGTTCGCGAGCTGTCAGCGGTTGAAACCTTGTGCGTTCCCTGGGGATCCGATTCTCCTGCTCAGCCAGCGTGTCTTCTTCTGTCATGGCCCCAGCATATCTCCCTCGAGCTGCTTCCCCTTTCCACTTGGCTCCTGCTGCTGTTTCACCCGCCTCTGACTGGTTATAAGTGTTTGAAGAAAGCCACCCCCCGGTCTGCTCGTGGAGGTTGGAAGAGCGCTCCCTGAGGACCGTTTGTGGCTCTGCCGGCGAGGAGTCATAGCTGAGGGCGATGGAGGAGGGTTTATTCAGGGGATTGGTGGGGGCTTGCATGGGTTGGGGAGAGGAGAGGTTGTGGACAGCTTGCCCTGCCGTGCTGCAAGATGAGGAGTATCTGGTAATATGTTAACATATGAGACAGTTCCAAAAGCTGCTGGCGTTCAACTGCGATATCCTGTGTCCTGGTCTTTGCCAGCTCTCAGCTGTTCGAAAAACCGAGAAGTTGGATGTGTCCCAGTCAAAACAGCTGTCGAACAGCTGTCAAACAGCTGTCCCTAGGCGTTTCAAAGGCTCCGCACACAAACCTTTACGAAAGGCCCATGAAGCGTTGCAGCAGGATCGAATACCGAAAGTCCATGTGGATTGCCGGAGCATGGCAGATGCGAGGCACACAAAACCCCGTGCTGAATATTTGACAGATAGACTCAGCGAAAGCTTGGAAGGCATGCTAGCATGATCATTAGAATCTTGGGATGTTGCCAGCTGGCATGGGTCAAGATCTTTGCTCGAAAGAGTGACCCAGACGCCAGGAGAATGGCGCTTGATGATGTTTTTGAATCGAGCAAAAACAAACGCAAATGGCGCACAGTCGCGCAGAAAGTATAAGAGCCTGCTGGTGGTCACAGCGGTATTCGTCCCTCAAATCATTTGGAAGATACTCAGCGCTCCCCATACAGTATTGCAATCATGGAGACTCTTAGTGTTCGCCCATGCGAGTGTTCCTCAGCCAGCAACACATTTGTGTTCCATTCCTTATTGCGCAGGCAATCCCACCTTACGGTCTGGGACCCCAACCCAGCAGGGACGTTCTCGTTTCCAACCGCACCAACAGCCTCGCCGACCGCCAGCTGGCGGTTCGACCCCATGCAACCTGGCGCTTCAGAGGAAGCACTGCAGAGAGAGTTACGACAGGTGGCAAGAGAGACATAGAGTGGGCTCAAGCTGGCGACGCCTCGTTCAAGAGCCATGACAGCAATTGATATCAATTGTAGGACAGCTGTCTGTGCTCGGACGTTCTTGAAGGCATTGAAAACATGGAAAAACGGACACAAGCGACAAGACCGAGAATTGCTTAAGATGGGTGAAGTTGCCAACTGTCCGAGCAAGCAAAGTATGGCAAAGAGCAACAATGACACTCCCTCACAGGCAACGAATAAGACGCCTTGTCTTTGGAGTTTTCTCAAACTGTGCAGAAACACTCCTTTGCAGCAACTTTCAGAGGCCATTCAAGACAAGCAGCAGACCTTGGTAGACGAAGGGTTTGAGCAATCATCCCCAAAGAAGTTGACTGAGTGCTACACCAAGCTGACACATTCGTACACATAGAAACAAGAACCCAAGTCAATGCAAATCGTGCACAACGTTTCAAGAAGGTCTATGACACTTGCGGCAAGACAGAGACTCTGGTGCAGCGAGCCCCAGATTGTTCAAGTTAGATGGCAAATCTCTTCAGGCTGCGAGGTCTCCCTGCCACCATCTGCAAATGCGACAGGGGGGTGCGCTTTCTCACATATTGTGTTCGTGGTTGCAGCTTTGGTGACTTTCACCAAGTGGCTGGTTGCATTCAATGCCGGGGACATCCATCCAGAAACTAGTGGTCCCCATACCGCAGCTGGTGGTCGTTCAACGCCAGGTTCCTGCACACATGTTCTTTGCATCATTGCTCGGTTGTGCTGCCTTTCTGCATGTCTTCCTGAAATCTGACTCCAGTGCACATGCATCAGCACTTCACACAAATCTGTTACAGAGTCTGTCAGTGGAGAAGGCGGAGATGCGTACTGAACCTCAGGAGCGGCACTCAGACAGGGAAGCAATGAGGCAGCCAAAAAATGTCACTATCATAGGTGATGCAATTACTGGCTTCAAAAGTTCCATTAGGCCTCAGTGCGGCTGCAACAGTCATCCTTTCTGCACAATATTCACAGGGGAATCGCGCCTATCAATGGAAAGTCAAACAAAAGGTGGGGCAGCGGTGCTTACAAGGACACGTCCCTTCTTGACATGGATACCCGTCTTCTGAGAGCTTTGCAAGGTTGATGTGCAGTGTCTTGTCACGCAAGTGCGCGCTCAATACTGCGCCAGCAGATCTTTTGTAAACCTCAACAATGAAGTCTCAGTCAGCCGCCGTGCTGCAGCGTGCTCTACATACAAAGCCCGTCGAAGGAACACTGGGGCTCTGGATACAGGGTTGATCCCTGCCGCAGCAATGCTGCCGTCTTTAGTAAGGCAAGCTTGCAAACTTAAGATATGGTGAGCATGTAAGAGGTTTGAAAAGAGGGGCTGTGGGCGGCTTCTGTTGTTCCTCAGGCTTCAGCAGTCTGCATCCATTCTGCATGAACGTGAATTGGTCAACCGAAACTCAAAGTTTAGGGGGGGCTTCAGGAGCAATCAGATTTGGCAAACCACGTGAACGAGCAACACTGGTGTATGACGCTCGATGGTACCACGATGGAGCATCGGACGGTTTGAAATTACGGGTTTACCACGTGCTTTCCACGTCTTGATCGTCCAAACTTACAAGTTGGAGGGGGAGTGCTCATTTTCAGTACTATAGTACTTCTTAATTAGTTACCCTGAAGAACTGAACATTGTCAAAGTTTTTCCTCTCAATGTCAATGCAAGACTCAAACTCAGAGTTAGACCTCTTCTGCTGCTCTTCTGGCAAAAGGAGCTGCGGTCACCAATCATAAAAGATCTAACATGAGCAGTTGGTCCGTCGAGACCTTTTCGTGAAGAAGCTCGTGCTTTTAAGCTGAGCTTGACTAGCGCTTAAAGGGTGTCACCATCAAGATGGTAAGTGATGAGCTCACTCGAAGACTTGGCTGCCAGCAGATGCTTTGCTTGTCATGGTACCGCTATGATGAACGTGACTCCCTTCTGATGCCCCTGCCTCTTTTGTGAAATGTGCAGCTGTCATCTGAACAGATTAGGACTGCCTCTTCTGAAATGGAGATATGCGCAAAGATGATAAAGATCAGCCGTCACAAAAAATGGTCATCTTCAATGTGCCTTGTACTCAATCATAGTTGAAGTCTGGAAGAGACCCAAGACAAACTGAACGCCGGAAGCAGTTCCTCAGAGGGATGCTTCAGCCTGCGCACTCTAGGCAATCTATATTGACTCATGTGTCTGTATGTATTACCAAAATCATAGGGTCTTCCGTATCAATCCTACCCTTGCGATCAACACAGGCGAATGCTGGTCGGGACCCCGTCCCCAACTTCCTGGACCTAATTCAGAAGGAGAAGTGGGGCCGAGTTGCAGACGAGTTCGAAAAGCTGGTGGAGGGTTGCAAAGCGGCCGGCCTCGAGCCTGGAAAGGAACAAGAGCTGCGGCTCCGGTCAAACAAGGCTTTCAAGAAGGTGAGACAGCTTGAATGTTTCACTCAGTCCAGAGTACTTATGGCTTCACAGGACGTTTTTGTGGAGAACTCCCTGCATCCCAGGAATTTGCAAACAATGTAAAGCAAGCCTGCACTGCAGGTAAGGCTCAGTGGCATAAAGGCAGCTTCAGCAGGTGATTCAACAGAGACATATGCGGACCATATGCAAGTCACTATTCTAGAACCAGCTTTACATCAGCAGTAGCCTCTCACTCCAGTGGCTTGGTCGCCACTAGTGATGACCGTCTGCTTTCATTCCCCCCACCGTAACTAGGTTGAATGCAACTTTGGCACAGGAGTAGTCCGCTGACGCCCTGCGCTTGTGGCTCAGGTCGAAGCCTCGCACGGACATCAAACAGTTACGCCTCTGCCACTGTCTGCTAAAGTCCATTTTTTGTTGCGTGCCAGATGTCAAAGCTCATGGAGAATCAAGAGGTGGTCCGGGGCGTGCTCTCAATCCTCACCCGAAGCCCTCGGAACGCGGTCCAAGTCATGCACAGCCTTGGTTACATTGCGGCTTGTGCCCAAAATTGCTTTGCTCTGAAGGTAAGCCAAGGAGCGCCCTCACTCTTTCTGTCGCATCAGCGCCAGTGGAGTACTGTTTGTTCTGACAACATTTGGGTTAGCTCAACAAGCGGAGTACAGTGCTCGCCCTTTGGTAGAACAGATACGTTTCCCTTTGTGATAGTGGGTGCTCAGCAAATCTGATTGCACGGCGCTTCTCCCGCAGACAAGCAGGCTGGCGTCCCTTAGAAACCCCTTGCGCACTCTTGTGCTTAGCATTGAGATTTAACTGAATGAACTGACTGCCACACCAGTGGGGAAAGTGTGGAGCGGGGTATTCGATTCGGATATTGTACAGTCAGTCCACCAATCCAACCCTCTTCGATTCCCATTTGACCATCTGATCTTGCTAATGCGCGATCGGTTTTCAATCTGGCAACTTGTAAAGGAAGCTTCTCTCTTGCTCGAATTTCGCAGTCATCCAAAGACCGTGCAAAAGCAGTCTTGCGGAGATGTCCGGTAACAGCCGTCCATCTATCCATCACGTGTGCAGGTGGCATCGTGTGGGACTGCTGCAAAAGTTCTGCGCCAGGCTGGCGAGTGGATCCTCGCCCCACTCTCTTCCAGCCCGTACCGAGCAATGCACGGACCCGAGTCGATACCCTTTGAGACTCTGGTCACTTATCTCTTTCTCCTTGGTCACCTCCAACGAGCAAGCGCGCCTTTTGTCCAGGAAGTCTTTGAGCAGCGCTTGCCCCAGCAACTTGTGGCGTCATTCCCGTGGGGTCGAGAGTTGTCGGCTCTCAAGTACCGACACGAGCTACCCGGACTGGTCCAGCTTGCAATGCTTGATTCAAGCGCTGAGACTCCCTATGAACGGGGAGGACAACATCAGGAAGCTTCTGGGCATGGTTCCCGTCAAAACGCTAGGGGCATGGTTGGTGGCTCTCCTTGGCGAGGTGGGGCAAATGGCACGCCTACTGGCGAACCGTGGGGAGCGGGAGGCGACGACGGGCGCGCACGAGTGCGCCGGGTTGCTACTTCATCTCCTGCAACAACCGGAGCTATTGCGAGCGTTCTCCCACTCGGGCGTTGGGCCTTCCATCGAGAAAGCTGTGCAAGACCTGCTGCCGAGCTTGGCAAATCATCCGGAGGCCAATGCGCAAGGGAGCAACGCGCTACTTAGGATCAGCCAACTCAAAATGGAGTCGGAACTCACGCTAGGCCCTAAATTACCACTAACCGACTTCACAGCAATGCGGCAGCTTTTACGGCAGATTGAGGGGAGCTCGGGTCGCGCCCTCGGCGAGCTGGTGTTGCTTTTCCGGGCCGAGATGGAGGGGAGGACGGTGTTTGACCACGTGGCCGTTCTGCAACATTGCGACGAAGTCCGACGGATTCACCATGCGCTGCGCACGGGGTTAGAGAGCGCGGTACCGTCGGAGGGCCTTCAGAACATCCTGAACATGGTGTCGCTGTTCCTTGGAATTGCGGATTTGAGCTCCAGCCCCGTCGGGTTTGACCCCATAGGCTTCAGCCTTTTGAGCTGCGCTGACCGTGTGTTGGAGAATCAGTTGGTGCGGTCTTCGCCAAACCATCTTTTAGAGGCTTTCGTGTACTGCTTCAACTCGGGTGATGCGCTGCAAGAGAAGCGGGCCGAGGTGGCAAGGGTGGTCATAAAGTGCTTGGACACGGACGTCCCGGAGAGACTTGCCGGCGTCATCGGCTGGCAGTTCCTCGCGGTTCTGGGCGGCGCGATACCGCAGTTCAGGACGTCAGGGTTTGCCGTCGGGGAAGGCCCTGCGCCGCTTTACCTTCTGAAATACGGCGCCCAGTTCCGAGCAAGGCACCGGCCCGTCCGTACGTCGAACGAGGAGATCAACGGCCAGGGGAGCAAGCTCGCGCGCTTGGCTCTCCGGGCATTTCGGCAGTTGGGCTTCTCTTTTGAGATGCCCGGAACCTACCCCAGCAGCGCGGCGCTCGTCCTTGAGCGCCTTTGCCGCGACAGTCCGAAGCTTCTAACGGCTTCTGTGCTCAAAGAGACGGATCTGATTGTAGAGCTGCTCGAGCAAGCGTACTCCAAGTTAGCAGGGGCGTCTGGCGGACCTCCGCGGAACCCAATGGAACGGATCCTTGCCGAGCAGTTGGCCGACCTGTGCTCTGCCCTCTCGTCGATCGTGAAACAGTGCCTCGAAAGCTCGGAAGTCGACCGGGAGAGCTTCATTCAGGTAGTCGCCCGCGGCAAAGCACTTGGCCTATGCAGAGGCGTCATGAGGAGGGTTAGGGCGGCAGGGACAGCTCTTCCGGTGTTCTTAGAGCCCCCCTATCGGGCGCCCGGGCAGTCCTCTTTGGCGGCGCGGCTGGAGAATCTCGTCAAGGAGCTGTGGGACAAGATTGCCCTCCCTTTCGAACTGAAAGCGTGCAGCAATGCGGTGAGCTTCCGTCCTTTTTTCCAACACTGGCGAAGCGTGTAAGGTGCCCTCAGACTCGTCTGACTTTTCCGCAGTTGAGAACTCACAAGTCTCCATATGCATTCTTACTCCTGTCGCCCGCTCCTCTCTATGTTATTTGACCAACGAATGTCTTCTGAATATTTTCACTGGTGTTACTTCTGTTTGTTTTAGAAGAATATCTGCGCCTGCTTTGTACTGTTGCCTGCCGGGCATACTGCGGTACTGAGGGGTCATCAATCGGGAACACCAGAAAAAGATGTACTCTTCCAGAACTTGCTGGGTTTGCATTTTGCCTGCATAACTCAGTCACTGCAAAACCTGCGGAGCTCTCACGCCTCGCAATTCCATGTACAGGCATGCGCAATCGAGGTCATCGAGTCGAGGAAAAAGACGTTCAAGAAGTGCAGCGTATGCGGAAACGTCCAATACTGCACGAAAAACTGCCAGGCAAGTTTCATACAAACAACCCGGATCGTTTTGACGTATTGCTCGGAACGCGATCGACACTGAGTCTTGCGCACGTTTGCCTCGACCCGCTTGCGGGTTTCTTTTAGATGAAGGCCCAATGCATTCGAGTTGTCCGTTTGAGGTTTGGATATCGTACCACTTTCAGAGGGGGCGGGGCACGCGAAGGTCTCTTACGAGCGGAGCCATTTGCAGGCCGCATGGTTTAAAACACAAGAGCCTTTCTCCTTGCAATCTGCGTCTGTAGCTGGATCTACCCGGGAAACGATGTAGTATGGCAGAGTAATTTCGTTCCGCTTTCCATGCGCAGCTTGTCCACTGGAAGAAGGAGCACAAGGAACAATGCAAGAAGCCTTCAATCATCACAGGTGTTTAAGTGGAATCTACATGGTGTACAGGTTTACTTTGATGATTACGAGAACAATTGTCCGTGAGTGGACTCCGACCTTTGCGACGGGCACACGGTCTTGAGTAGACGGAACATACACTGTTGACGCTACGTTGACTTGCTGTTTCTTGCATGAAATAAAGTTGCCTGTGTGCTGAGGAACGACTGGAACCTTATAGATGGACTTCAGGCTATTAAGCTGACTTTTAAAAGTTTGCTCGGTGTCCGAACTGCTTCAAAATTCAGAACTTAGGGGTCGGACGCGGTATCATTGCATGGGCTATATGAACGTTATGTGTAGTAGCCTAGTAGGCTGCCGGTCGGGACCGGGAGCTTAGTATAAGCAATGACGGCGCCGCAGCCCTGCAAAAACGTATACTACGAATTAGCCGAGCGCGCTAGCATGCATGTGCATTCGTGCCATGGCCGCATGGGGGGCGGGCTGCGTTACTGATCATGAAGGAAATCACATTCTTTATCATATGCTTTGAAACTGATTAGAAGACAGGTTGTCAGAAGGCAACGTGATATCCTACACGTTGGTGTCACTGCAGCAGTATTGCGCGCTGTCTTTGGAGGATATATCGAGGCCGCCCGCGGCCGGCGGTGCGCTCAATGAGCCAGATCGAGCTTAATGGATCATGCTATATCACTGAGGATCATAACGAATGATCGGATAAAATGCCGCAGCCACATGGCAATATCATGTTGCAATTATCCATGCCGAGCGCATGATAACTTGAAGGCTTAGGCAATTAAGGGGGCTTGAGGTGCTGCAGGGCTCCGCGGCCACTGTGGGAATGGCGCCCCAGGTTCTTGCCAGTACTAAAAGTTGCTTGCGTCAAGCAGCGTGCGGCGCCCGCCGTCGGTATCTGCCCAGAAGAAGTAATTGCCCTAGAGATACCCGAAATCCAGATTTAGGCCCCACGTGCCTATCTAAAACCAGCAAGGCGCACCTTCAATTCCGGCCCCAACGTCGCAGAATCAACATCAAGACGTTGTACGAAGGGCCGACCGAAACAGCTCAGTCTCTAACGTGTAAGTCTCCCTCACGGTTGGTAAACTTGAACTGTTCGCCCCGGCGCCTTCCTGAGCCGTGTGCGAAAATGAGTACGTACCTCGCACACTGAAGTTCCATTCACCAGCCAGTTTCGATTCTCTGATCTGACGCGCGCTTCCGTCGCAAGTTACTGCAATCAGAGAGAAGAGAAGTAGAGATCTAAAAAATAAATATCGTTGTGGGAACACGAGTGAGGGCCCGGGGAGCCGGTCCGATGACGTGATTCCTGATCATTGGAGCCGCTACCGTTGCGTCGAGTCCGTGTGAGTCCGTGCGTTGACGGCTCGCGACAGATACAACCTAAGTCTGTCCAACCTTGTTGCCAGAAGGTGTTTCTCGGAAGCTAGCACGCTTCACGAGACTTTCTGCGAGTCTCGGTAATCATAGAATCGGGTCTTCTCGGCGCGAGCGATGCAATTTCCTCCTCAGAGACGGATGTATCATTTTGAGCTCAAGATTCGAAGGCGCAGAACAGCCAGAGAGTGCTTTGCACATGGAATCCCAATGTAGCAAAATGGATCTTCTCACGACATGGTGAACGCCTCGGGTCAGAAAACGAGCGGTGTTGGTGTTGCCGACTCCATATTCCGCCTAGGAATTTGTGGACCAATGTTGTGACTATACGAGTTCCTCGCTAACCGATAACGGATTGCAGCCAAGTAACAGATTGAAAAACAGCTTTTTAGGCCAGCGAGGCACTGCCAAACCCTGCCTGTAGACTGGCGAACACTGGGCTTAAAGGGAGCGAGCAGGATGTAAGATACAGCAGGATTACGAATATGTCCGCTCCGTCTTCCAGACTCTTGCCAGCTCTCCTTCTGTGCCCGCAGTCGAAAGAGCTCGATCACTTCAAGAGCTAAAGTCACCATCGAGAGCAAAGGCGACCTTTCCCTTCTCTTCTGCTTGTTTCTGAGGATTTTGCTGCCTCTTCTGGTGAAAGATGGCAAGGGGCGTTTGTCGATCGCTCACCAGCGGCAAGTCTCTGGCGTCGACCCTCGTCTTGCTGGTGCTGGTAGGAACGCTGGCTACAGGTAAGCCGAGATTACCGTGGCACTTTATGCAGATTATCAGTATGGGGTTTGTTAGCATCAGACGAATGAATGCGGGCTTGCTTTTCGAAACTTTCCATTGGGCTGGATTCAAACCACCAGAAGTTTTTGCTCGTGCCCACTTGCTTATCACGATATTGATCTCAATATTGAGCAGGTCTGATAGTTTTGTGAGGAAAGTGGTCGTTGCTTCTCAGAAGTGCCAAAACATTGGATCCTGGGCAGACCCGATTCACGATAATCTGCCCGGTCGGAATGATTCAGGCCATGCCCTTATCCAGATCATTTGCACTCTGAATTAAAACCCCATCAGCTTTCTTCTTCATCCCCTCTCCTAACTTTAACGGCTCGTGCTGATTACTCGCAGGCACGCTTGCACAGGGCCCCATACTCTTCGGACGTCCACAGGTGCGGGTGATTCTGCAGAACGTGTGCCCGACAGACGTCCAAGTCTACCTGGGGGGCGAGAATCTGTGGGAGCAGTATAACATCCGCCGGATCGTCAATGTTTTTGATCCGGCGCTGGAGACTCTACTCACGGTTGAGGAGCCCCTTCCGAGCAACCCGTTCATTCTGCCCGCTGGGGAGACGATTCCGAGGCTCATTCTGACTGACAACAACACCAATCAGGTAAGACACGGTGTCCTTGAGTGGGGAAGCTTGTGTGACAACCCTCTTCCCAGAATTCCTTTTGTAGTAGTTTCCGGTAGCTCTGTAGAATTTGAAAAGACAATCTCCAACAGTAACGTGTTATACGCAGGCTCTATCTCTTCATCATGTGCTGCGAAGACCTTTTCTGGTTCCCCGCTTTTCCTTTTCCAGAGATCAGATCCTATGATACTGCAAAGGCAATTAACCCAGGGTACTTGACCCTTCACAAACCTTCGGGTCGACAAAAACGGTTTTTATTGCTGCAGGTGGGCCCCTTCCAGTACGAGGGCACCATTTACGTCGCCCCCACCGGTGCTCCCTTCCCGACCTTCGCCGAAGATAATCTGAGCCTGCTTGGCAGTTACGTCCTTCCCCCCGATACCACCTACCGTGCAAGCGGGGGCGGCCGTTTCTTCATCCAATCGATTGTCAACACGTGGGACCCAACTTCGATTGCGGCTCCAGCGGAGCTCATCATCCGCATCAGCTGTACTCCGCCCCCTCCGCCAGGTATACCTATACAACCCAACAGGCTTCATTGAGCTCTGGTCAAGCTCTGGTCACAATTCCTTGAAAATTCGTGTCCGGCGAATTGCTTTCCTGAAGGTTTTGCGCAACCGCAAAATCCTCTGCCGAATCGTTTTAACTTGAAATCAGGCCCTTATGTCCAATGGATTACAGATGCATCACGCAACACTTGTTTTCCACACATATCTTCGTAGCAAACCCTTGTGTTCCTGTATCCAATCCCTGAATTATCGGAGTGCCCGTCAGAAAGTCGCGCAAATACTACCATCTTTGAGTTGCTGGACGGCTTTCCCAACTTTGTATCCTTGTCAACCAACCCCAGAGATGCGGCCTTTTCTTCCTCTCAGCTCGTACTGACAGAGCTTTTCCTGCTCATCGCACACTCGCACTCGCAAAGTTCTGGAAGAACCTAGTAGTCTAGTTCAGCGTAAGTTGTTCGAAGATCAAGTGGTCGTCTAAACATTTCACCTGCCACAGCGCCGGGTGCGGATCGCGACTAACGAAGCACTAACCAGGTTGATTAAGTGTTCAACCACTCCCTGACAGGTCCCCCTCCAGTCCCGCCGCCACAAACCGCCCGGGTTAACATCACTAACATGTGTTCGACGCCTGTGAGGATCGTACTGAGCAGCAACCAAGCCAACAATGACCTCTGGCAAGTTCTCAACACCACCACCAATACGACCACTTCGGCTCCGTCCACGTTTGACATTCCGGTCGGCGGATCGCGGGAGAACCTGCTCCTGGTTAACATCAACCCGGCCCTAGCGGTGAGAAGCCTCTCCTGAGAGATATTCGAGAAGGGTTTCAGGCCGACGAATCGCATGCGAGTCAAGCACCTGAGCGAATCGCCCTTCTTACTAATACACAAAGCTTCAAATCAGAGTATTGTGCATGTGTCCGAGAGAACGTCGTCGTTCCAGAGGGATGTAACGTACACCTTAGTCCAGAGCAACTCCTGCCGTGTAACGCTCCCCTCCAAATCAATAAAGGCACCGGATTCAGGAACTCGAAAGAGTCCATAAGCACTAAACAAGTTGCTTTGTCCCGTCACGCAGCTCCCAGTTCGCAGCGGCTTCATCGGTGCGACCGCGGCCGTCGGCCCTGTTGCCCTGGTTAGTCCTACCGGGCTGGATAACATCGTCATCCGCAGCGTCCGGAACAGTTTCACTACGCCCAACATCTCCGTCTTTTCGGGCGGTCCGGGGAGCTTCATCCTCAACCCGGTCGCGACCAGCAGCCCCGAATTCACGGTGGCTCCCGTGGAGGTTGCGGTAAGTCTGCCGGGTTGGGTGAAAGAGGGCGTCGGCAGGTTGTTTCTATTTTGATGGTCACCGAAAAGATCTTCAGAAGAACTACGGAGGAACTTGTGACGTGTTTTGGGCCCGGCTTTCCTGCAACATGAATGCCACGTTGTATCTTGACTCCCACACCATGTTTGAAGCAACTCTTGACAACCGCTTCACCAGGTTCTATTGCCCTGTGTACTAAACTTAAGGTCCTGACCAGAGGCATTCAAGTGACTGGTGAACGCTTCCAAGATGCGCGACCCTTGCAACCTTCAAAATTACCCGTTTCGATGGAGTGCATCATCCATGGACCCGCTGTTGTCATACCACGCTTCGCTGCACGTACGCTGAAACGAGTTCGTCTGATTCAATTCTGTGAGCGGGCGTCTGCAGTATGCAGGTTCTCGCATTTACAGGTACCTAACGCCGTTTGTTTCCACAGGTCGCGGTTTACTGCGTTGCGCAGCCCACGCTGCTACCGGTAGGGACGCTGCCTGCAGTTACCGCGGCACCAGTCCCTCCCCCAAGTAATAGTCCCCTCTTTGTTCTGTGTCATCCGGCCTTGTGCTTCTTCGATGCGGCCCCTGCTTTGTTTGTGTGCTCCTGCTTTTCCTTTGTCGTAAAATGGACGAGAAGGGGCTTTTAACAATGTGAGGAAAGGGGAAATAACCAGCTTCTCTTATTAAAAGCACTTAGCTTCTTTTTTTGGTAAGAATATGTATGCTGCTACTGCTTGCAAAAGCTCCCCCGTGCATGGCTAGTCCGTCAACTGGGCTGTGTTCAAAATTTACTACGCAGCAATTATTGGGTCCAGCCGCCAGCGATCCCTTTAGCCATACGTCATTGGCGTCATTCCACAGAAGGGTTTCGTTGACTGTATCTTCCTTCGGTGGTCTACGAAGCCCTTCTAAAAAAGAGACCCTCTTTATATCTTCACACCTCCGCCCCTCCAGATCTCAAAACGGCCTTCTCTGGGTCAGATTCACAAATTCCCAATAGACGTCAGCGAAAACGACACGAGAGCCTTATAATCAGGTGCCCAGCTCTTTACGCGTTAATAGCATGCTTTATTGAAACTTTCAAAACGTCCTTTGTGTGCAGCGCGCCCTGTTTTCAAAAGCTATTCGACAACTGCCCTTCCCAATATCGCATTATCTAAGTTGACGAGTCGATGTCTCTCCGTATCCTAGCCCAGAAGTAAGAGTACGTGTTTTGCGATCGTCAGATACGAATGGGTTTCATATCAACTTCATTCGCAATTGTACCAGCCGGCGAATCATTTCTCAAGAGCTATCAAGTCGCAGACACACAAGGCTCGCATGTAGATACATCTGGAGACCCTTTCTTGTTTCTTCCCGCTTCTAGTCCTGCTCCTTGCCCGTTACTCGACTCAACGCGTTATCTCTGTTCTCAATCCGTCGCAGGTCCGCCACCTGGCAACCTGACAGCCTGCAACAACATCGGCCTCGGCCGGAGCGTCGAGTGCGCCGCCAATTGCGCCTGCGGTGCTTACATTGGGGGAAACATCACTATCACAACCCCGACCGTTTGCCAGGCCAACGTGCAGTGCGCCGCATGCAACCGGGGCTGCAACCGGGACGCCGACTGCCCCCCGGGGTACAATTGCGCGGGCGGCTGTGGCGCAGCTGCGCCCCCGGTGACTATCACCGTGCAGATCTTCACCGGACAGTGCCTGCCCAACTGTGGCACCATGCCTAGTTCGACGGGCTGTTAGTGGCAAATTGTGAGGAAGATTGACAGGGAAGGGACTGGTCGCCAAAGAAAGAAGATTGGGTGTCTAAGTAGAGTTAGCCAGGTGTTGAAAACAAGAATATGGCGTCAAAGAGCGCGTGGTGGCTTCTATTTGTGCAGATTGTGGAGAAGAAAACGTATGCACGCCATGTCCATCCCGCGTAAGCGTCAAGCCATATCGTCACGATTGTGAAGTTGATCGTCAGCAGGCTGCCGAGCAACTGTAGGTGCCGGAATAATCTGCTAGCAGTAACGGAAAGTTTTGACGAGCAGAAGGAGTGGAAAATTTGGTGACGAGCAGACGGTTGCAATAATCATTTTGACGTTGATCAGGTCGACCTGCCTGTTCGAAAGCGTACCACCACAACTTGGAGCAAGAATACGAATCACGGATGAAGCGCGCGTTTCCTTGTTTAATTTAGTCAGAAGAATAAGAAACGGATGCATAACATTCCAACTCATGTGTTGGGGGAACGTTTCCCCCGTTGATTTACGGCGAACGCTCTACTTTGACTGGAGAATCCTTCACTACGACGAGGTTTTCGATCTTTCAAGCGCATGTCGTGCTTCATTCTCTTTTCTCACTCTTTTTCCCCACACGCCACCGGACGCAAAGGAGCTTGGACATTTTATTTGCGATCGTGGGCAGTCCAGCACACCAGCAGCAAGCCCACTCCTTACTTTAGTCGACAATTGATGTCTTGTAAGTAAAGATCATGCGCAGCGCTTGATAGAGGCCCACCCGAGGCGCATAAGGGGGCAGCTGTATCAACTATGGTGCCAATACTCCTGGCACCTCGCAGACCGACGAAGACCTCGGGCCCTAGCTAAAGCTTTCCGGCGCTGCTGATAGACTTGGAACGAATAATATGCAAAACCCATGTTGCTACGTAGGAATTTAGAGACTAAGAGACGTCACGCCCGTGTCAAGGTAACAGTTTAAGTCGGACCCAAGAACTTCTTCACTTTTCGCCGGCCAGCTTTCCATTTACGGCTCCATCATATCTTACATCCAGTTTCTTGGAGCCTACCTGCTCCATTCACTCAGGGTATAAGACCTCTGGGCCAGCACGTGCCGCTCATACGAGTTCTTTGATTGGACTAGCCGTATCCTAGCCAAGCAAGCGGAGCCATCTAAACACGTCCCAGCGACGCGATGTTGCAACAAACGTCTGCAATGCAATATGGTCTTATGGGGAACATCAGACACACCGACTGGACTTGAGCTTTAGTGGCGGAAGGCTGCCAAGACGGCCGCTTTCAGGCTCGTCGCGCTCCATGCGCGGCCGCCCCGCATGCCAGCTGGCGGCCCGGCCGGGCGCTGCCGATCGACTCCCGCCGGAGGGCGGCGGATCTATTGAAAGGGATCATCCGATTCTCAAAGTGGTAATGGTTGACCAGGCTCTGGATCGGACCGATCGTTGAACCCGACTGGTAATGGCTAGATAAACCGGGGAAACAGAGCCGTGCCGTACAGAATTCTAGGTCGCCTCGAAACCGGCACATCGACAAGAACCGGCAGCCTGCAGGCGCAGGTCGGAAGCTTCGGCCATGGGCTGGACCAGAACATCGCGTCATGCTAGATGCTAGCCGGATGTAGCTTCTGCCAGCAAAAAATGGTGCTAGCTGCGCAGATGACTGTGAACAGTCCTCTGAGAATGCTGCGGTGCTCTCATCCGGGGAAAACGCTTTAAGTTTTGCATCCGCTTGGAAGGGACACTCTTTTCCTTCTGAAGCAAAGGTGCTTACGCCACTGACAGGATCAAAAGGGCCAACTAACGCAATCGGTGCAACACCTTTTGAGCTGCGTATTCCTTGACAGACGCTTATGCACAGATCTGAGCTCTGCAGCCTGCTTACCGCTAGTCAGGAACCTTCTCTCTTGACAAAGACCTGCATTACATGCGATAGCGACTACCGGCCTTCACGCAGTCTGCTGTATGCATTGCAGAACGACACAAACTTGCCTTTTCTGGAACCTTTTGTCTCCTGCTTCTAACAGAGGTAACCAAACTGCCCACATACTAGTCAGCATGGCAAGCCTAGCTAACAAGGTGGCGGTGGTCACTGGCGGGTCAGGCACGGTGGGATCCGGCATCATCTACCAGCTGTTGAAAGCGGGCGCCAAGGTCATTGCTCCTGTCAGGTGAGAAGCAGAGCAGAGCCGCTTCTTCTTTCAGCCATTGTAACCATTCAATCATCTGACCCATGGGGCTTCTTAGGATTTCCTGTATCCGAGTCTGTCTGAAGTAAGGGCCCTGCGATATTTGCTGCACTTGCAAGGGAAGGGTCTGTCGTCATGCCTTCAGCAGCTGAATCGCTGGCCAATTGGGCGGTTTGGCCAAGACAGCAATTGCTCGTAATTGCTTGTGAAAGGAGCAGAGCACTGGTCCTCAGTTCTGAGGGACAGTGAGGAAGGGCAGAAGTGTGCAATGCTGGGAGCTGCGATGTCAGGTGCTCTCTGTAATCGCTTGCACACAGTTTTAGGTTCTTAATGTGCACCATTGCGCTGCTGGCTTATTAATGCTGGGTTGCAGTGCTGAAGACTCTACTTCTTAGAGGGAACTGGCCCTTTATTTGAGCACGTAGAACACTCAAACAAACGTGTAGGGCTTCTCAAGGGCTCCTCCTCACGATGCCGCTTTCGCACCATTCTGATCTTTCACCAGCAGCTCAGAAACTCTATTGACTTTGTTGAATTCTGGGTATCTAGAGAAAGACAAGCAACATTCCGCTGACCAGACTTCATATTGGAGATTTTATGGCGTCTGACACCGCCACATTTGCTGCAGGAATGAAAGGGGAAAGCAGAGCCTTCTGTCCGAGCTAGAGAGCCTTCCGTCCACAGCCAATCTCGAGACCCCGCTTGCAGACGTGTCAGACGCCAAGAGCGTTGAAGCTTTGGGAAACGAGGTCAAGACGAAGTATGGCACCGTGGACCATGTGGTGACGGCGGTTGGGAGTTGGTGGCAAAAAGTGGGTCTTTGCGCCAGAAATCGGATCTGGTCCTGGATGAATCAGAATGATGCTTGAATGCAAGGGTTATCGAGGATTTTAAAATCGGGTTTTGTCCTGGATGATTCTCAAATTCAGGGTTATAGACAGTTTCAAAATCGGATTTGGTACTGCATGATGCTCGGATGCAGGTTGAGAATGCTAATAAAAAGGGACTCAAAACCTTCTCGTAGGAGGAAAGGGCATGGCTCAGGGTGGTGATGCAACTTCATTCTCATTGACAGGCAGCTAAAAAACCTCACGCGACTGATGGCAGAAAGTAGGTCTCTGCTTCTGGTTCGTTTTACTATCTGGTTTGGTCCTGGACACTTCTTGGGAATCCGACTGTTAGTGGGGATGCCATCGAGAGGCTACAAAACGTGTTCGTAGGCCAATTGTGCACGGCTCGAGCTGGAGACGCAACTCAAATCTCAGTTTGTTGACGCTCGAAAAACGTGAACGACTGAACGTCCCCTGACTCTTCGTAAACGCCTGGATGGATCTGTCTTAGCTTGAAAGGAACAACCAACTCATGAAGAGCCTTAAGCCGCGTGGGATGGCTAAGGTTACCCCATAACTCTCGAAATGTTTACCTCCTTGTGGGTTTTAATCTGGAGAGAGGATAGTCACGCACATCAGATTACTGCATGAGTGGCAGCGCGTCCCTTCCAAAATGCTCAGTCCACTCGGTCATATACGTTATAGCGAATGAAAGGTGCGTTTTTGGGCAGTGGTGCAAAGGCCCACGCAAGTCGGCTTTCAGCTTCGGAGGGCAGACCTTGGAAAAAGTCTGACATTGTTGTGCCCACTTAATGTAGATGCACGTGTAATGCCGATCATAGACCTTTGGTGAATTACACAGTCTTGGAGACATGCTTCGTTTGAAGCCTGAGCCGCTTTCCCTTATCATTGCAGGGGCCCCTTCTGCAGTTTGCGGGACTGCACGACAGCTGTGACGAGATGCTGACGCAATACCAGACGTACGTGATGTCGCACTTCATCATGGCCAAGGTTTTCGTCCCTCTCCTTAAAGCGGCGCCCGAGAGCTCCTTCACATTTATCACCGGCTCGGGAGGTGAGTCGCAGTCTGGAACTTTCTATTCAGTGCCTCCTTGGTTCGGAGACAACTTCCAAAGTGAGGAAGGTGTACAGCCCAGCAATTTGCCCGATCACACTCAGGTCATGCGTCGTACCTGAAACCGTACCACAATGACACATTTATAGTTAGTTGTAGCTTCTGAGAAATTCGTCCAATTTGTACGAATCTGGTACTGACCTGGGGTTTCAATTGAGGCGCGGCTGGAAAAGAATCGCGTAGGTCGAATACGTGCCAATGCATCCGGTAAGAAGCGAAAGGTCTGACCGCGTACTGGCTCGAAGACTGTACTCAGCGTCAAGGTTTTAAGACCTGGCAAGATTCGCGACCTCCACGAAGGACAAAACAACAGATGATAGAGGACGTCACTTTTGAACTGAAAATTTTCCGATGCCTGATGGCAGAAAGCGTCATCCCGTCCTTCCGCCCTTACTTTCGAGGAGTCTGCTCGACCACAGAATCCACCCTTGAGTGCCTGCCGAGTCGTTAAGATTCAACGAGAATGAGTTGAAAGACCCCGAGAAAGAAAGGGGACGCATGCTTCTTATCCGCAGGCGAACAGCTGTTCAACGTCGACGCCAGCATGATTCGAGCGCAGGTGGGCGCGCTTTTCTGCGTCATCGACTGCATCCAAGTTGAGTATGCGGACAAGTCGTATCCAAGGATTAACGAGTTTCGCATCCGAAGCTGGATCAAGCGCCACGCAGAAGCGACCGGATCCGGGGGGTATTCCCACCGAGTTTTGGGACAGTATTTGTTGGAGAGTTGCGTCGCGTCGAACACGAAGGGGCAGCTGTTGCGCGTGGCGGATGCGGAGCTGGCCTTTGTGAATCCGTGAATACATATTGAAAACTGTTCATTTTTGAAAATAGACAAAAGCAGAACATCGGACAGACTGTCATTCTGTGACTTGATTCCTGTTTGAACGGCAGCACCTGTTTTGATATACAAGCTTCAGTTTCTGGTCTTCTGGCACCGGCCCTTTACACGTTGTCCTCTAGAGCTGACCGAAAGCCAAGGGGTGCCGCCGATCGAAAGCATTTATTTTGACCAATCTGTATAGCGACCACTCTCAATCAAACCACCCTGACCGCTTCAACCAAGCTTTTAAGGCCGGGCCCGCATTTTGCACTTTCATGACCGTATAGAAAGAAGATACTCTAGGGTTTGTACGGTAAACGTACGTCTACTAAACATAAACCATGGTGCTGTCAGCCGCAATCGAAAGCAGCTGAGACACTTGCATACGGTATGTATATATGCCAGTCTGCAGCATACAGCCGGCACACCGGAGAGCCCATGGCCCGGCCGCCCAGGCCGCGTGCATGCCGCCGCATTACGTACATGGGATGATTGATGCACGCACGCGCGCATTTGCATCCAATACAATGCAAACTTGAAAAAGTAGTTAACGTTTCAAATTAAGTAACTTCAAAAACTTTTGCTAGCATCATCATGCCACAGTGCATGAGCGCATATGCCAGGCCGGGTCCGGTCACATTAATTATGCGCAACCCTGCTTAAAGGCTCGAATACGCCAGCCGCGGTAACTGAAAAGATTTATGGTCGTTCACAGCGACCGTCCCGGCCATGCTCGGCGTATATTGTCATACCTATGATGCATGGATCGCGATGTTGTAACAACCTGCCAGGCGGCAAGCCGCGCTAGAGAGACACCTCCGAGTCCACTTGTACTGTCCGATATCCACCGACGGTAAGCAGCCCAATCTGTACGGTAGGCGGGCTACCGTTCAACGAACACCGGCACATGCATTTGCATGACTGATCATGCAAGTCGCCGGGCCGCGGTCACTTGTGTCACGTACTATAGCAGCTTAAACCAACGTAATGATAAACCGCACACCCTACACTGCTGCAGTATATGGTGACATCACGGCCGTGCGCAGTAGCGCACCGAACTTTGCTTTCAGTTGTCGAACTTACGGATCCACAACACGTCTAGCTGCAAGTGGATAGCCAATCTGGCTTGCTCTTTCAAAGTCAACAAGCTTCGGTCTAAGAGTCAACACGTTGTCGGATAAGCAGGCCCCAAGCCTCATTCCGAGGAGTTCGACAAGTTAGAAAAAATAGCCGCATGTTCGATCGGCGCAGCTAGGAGTCACCTTCGTCATTTAGAAAGCGTGCAAAGACCGTCCTGTACTGGTTCCGCAACACTCGTCGCCTCCTAATAGCATCGTAAGTCAACATGTCCGGACCAATATCCTCCGACTCCATCTTCTGCATCAGATCGACCGCCCGCTCTGCACAAAAACACAATCCTTTCACTGCTCGTGTCAAACAACGGCACTGAGCTGACGACGCTCCACGTAAAGCTTCCAGACAAATGTTATTATTGGACAAACATCGGTCAAATAAGAGCGGAGATGTCTCCTTACGTACAGGTGCAGGCGCCGCACTCGAGACAAAGTGGACATGCTAAACTGCAACCACAGCGGAGGCAAACAATCACGGGCCTTCAGACAACTTCCAAAAAAAAGGGCAAAAGGCCGAGGCTTTCCCAGTTCAATGACGAAAGGCCTGGTTGGTATCTTGCCCGTCATCCAAAATAAAAATTCTGATAGCTAAATTTCTCTAAGTCAACTTTTGCACATAGAGTCCAAGAATAACAGGGAGGAGGTTTTTGGGGCTTTAAAACTACCCTAAAACTCTGAGAGCCAAGAAAACGCCGAGTCCAATCGCATAGCGAGAAAGCACCTTCTGGTAAAAGCAACAAACCTCGTAGCAGAAATTGAGAGTAGCCTAGATTGGGACGCGCTAGCTATGGTCTGGCTTGAGCATACACGGAAAACACCGGCTAGCGTGGGCGGGATACTGAAACTCACCAGTATCATTGGTTACTGCACAAACCCCGAGCAGGATGTTGTATATTCCGGCTGTGGGCTTGATCCTATACTCCCTGTGAGACGAGAAAGCTGAGTATCAGAACAACAATCAGGTTTGCACAACGCAACCCATTCTGCTCTTTGCACAGATCGAGTGGGCCGTCACAGCACGGTACGAGTCCACTCTCCGCCTTTTCCGTCTTGTGGTGCACTCAAAACTTTGACCTACTTGTTAAACTACTGCTGTCCTCCTAAGTGCACTCGACTGCCGTGTTTCATTAGGTCGAGAAGTCGACTCCTCAATTGCAATTTGAATATCGTGACTGCCAGGGGTCAAGCAAAGAAAAAAGCCGCTGATGCTGTTTCAAAAGTCGCTCCGCAAGCTCACACACAAATGTTTGTCTCGGTCAAAAATTAACAGCGGCTGCCATCGCATCTGGCTGCTTGTTCGGCGACAACGTAGTTCGGACAGACGCAAAGTCGACTGGATTCGAGGCGCACAATCCGGGTGACTTTAGAGCTTTACGGTCGAAAGGCAATTTGATCTGTTCTCTTGTCAGCACGTGCCCGTTACTAGGACGTCAGTTGCGAAGTCTTCTTCCTTTCCCTCTAAAGCAACTACGAGTCGAGGCACACCCTCTTCCTAAGACAATCTTTCAATGGATTGGGACCCTTTGCAGATGCAGCCAAGCCGGTCGTTGCGCACCTACCCGGACACTTGCATATTCTAGCCAGGAAGGCGACACCTGTCGAGCGGTTTCAGGACTCACGCTTCCATAGAGGCCACCAGCGCCATGATCTTGGGCCATCGCGGGGGCTTGTTCGCTGCGTACGTCCGTAGAAGCGTGCCCATCGCAACAGTGTCCGCTACCAACTGCAAGACATCGATAGGCTGTTTCAAATCTACGTCTAAGTTAGCCAAAATATTAACAGCGATCAGAAAAGCTATCAGAACCAAAAAATGGTTTTAGCAGTAAGAGTTGTCCAGTGTCTGAAAAAAGGCGCTTCAGAATTGGGGTCAGCATAGGGAGGCAATCGAGTGACGAGCAACTGGACAACAGAAGAAGCTTGCCGGGCGCTGAAAATTACGGACTGACACAGGATAGGAGAGTCTGCAAAAGATCGTCAAAGTTGGAGCCCGACTGCCCCAGAATGTCTTCTGCCGCGAAAACAGTCGACTTCATGAATAGCAAAGGCTTATCGTGGGGAGAGCTTTCAAACGGCAAAATACTGATTTGAGGCACCTGCGCATTCCTATCAATCCCATCATACGATTGAACCAACTTTGGACATTTTTTCAAAGCCTACGAGCGGGCTTCCTACACTCACTTCACGAAGGACGAGCCACTAGTAAATCGCAGAAGAGCTCAAAAAAACCCACCGAGCATGGTCTCAGTACTTAGTCCAAACAACAGAATGCAAACGGACGCATCGATCGACATAGGCAGGTGCCAGGGTGAAGACATCAAATCGTGAGACAAGAACCAAAGCAAGAAGCAGAAGACCAGGATGAGAGTGATTGCCGAAAGATTGCGGGGGGTAATCAAGGAACTTACCGCGCCATCCTTCCCAAAGAACCGGTCAAAGATGGACTCTGCACGCTTTGTGTCGCCCGCCTCGATGCACGCCTGCACGAGCGATGTGGCCGCCACGCGATCGGGCATGATGCCCTCCTCCATCATAAGCACCATCTCCTGTACCGCCTGCAAAATGAGGTGTTGATTGTTCATTATTTGGTGTTGTACAGTGGAACGTAGTTAAAATCTTATGGGCTTTTAGCGCTTTAGGCCTGATTGGCGTTTCGATAAGATGCCCTCCTCCATCATAACCACCGTCTCCTGTACCGCCTGCAGAGCAATTCGTGTTTGGCATTCATCCTTCGGTGTCTCAAAATCGAGGGCTTTCAGTAATGTGTGCTTTAAAGGCCTGGAGCCTGATGGCGCAGCCGTCCAGCACGATCTCCGTTCCGGTGGCGCCCTCCTGCGAACGGAACGAGCACAGTGTATCTTGAGTGATCGAGATCTCCCCGATAGCGGTACCAGACGGTGGCCTCATTCGTGTCATGTTTTCGTAAGACATCCTCCTCCAACATAATCACCATCTCCTGTACTGCCTGTAAAGTGAGTTTTTGGCAATTAACCCCTTGATTCTTCAAAAGGTGGAAAGCAAGGTGATTTGCTTGTCGGCCTTGGGGCTTGTAGACCTGATGAGCACCATACCTAGGGAGACGCCGTCTTTCCATTCTGAAAATCATCTCTTGTACGGCCTGCAGACTGATTGTTGGCCCTTCACTCTTTGGTGTCTTGCAGTAGAATGCAAAGTAGATTGTTCAGCTTTCAAGAACTTCAGGCCGGATTGGCGTCACATTTGAAAAGATGCCCTCCTCCATCATAGCCACCGTCTCCTGTAACGCCTGCAAGAAGACTTGCTGCTGAATTCCACTGAAACCTCAATGTTGCATGACCCCACATTCTTGAAGAAACGAAAAAGGAGCAAAGGCCGTTCAGTTTTTGGTGTCACACAAAAAGTAGAGTGCATCCAAAGTGGTGGACCTTGGAACTTGACTTGCGCAACATGAGATGCCTTCTCCCTGAAAACCATCAGTTGCTGAGTGCCTACAGCAGACATTTGAGTATCTGTGTTCGAATATAATAAGAAAAGCTTGGACAGGTGGACTGCGATGGGTGAGGGTCCAAAGATTCTCGGTGACGGACTCCCAATGCCAGATGCCGATGGCGTTGGCTGGCGGGTGATACCCAAAATTGGAAGCGAAATCGAATCAGCTCAAACTATATGGAATTGGAGGTAATTGACCAGCCTGAAAGAAACATCCAAGGGTCTTGATTGGATAAGGGCACCCAAATCAACCAGGACGTGTACCACCAGGACGTCACAGCATGATCCCCTTCTCAGCTAGGTCAAACCGCAAACCCTAATTTTCACCAGCCTGCTGAGTACTTGGCCATGGAGGTGCAAGCATGCCGCCCTGAACTCTTGCAGCAATGCATTGCATTGCACTGGGCAAAGCTGCATACCACCACTCAAACAGAAGTGCCAAGTCTGACAAAAACACCACAACCACAGCACTTAGAAAACCATTACCGAAAGTAGACGGAACCCTACAGTTCCAACATCCTCACCGCCGACGCCTGCCCATTCCTGCCCAGCTGCTTGATCTTCCTGGACACCTCCTTCCGCCGCTCCTGCTGCCTCTCCTCTTCCGTCAGCGGCCTATCCACATTCATATCCAGCGACAGGAAGTTACCCCGTTCCTTTTGCACTTTCTTGCCTCTAGGCCTAGGCGAGGTTTCGGAGGCCACTGCTGAAGCGGCCACATTCCGGCTCTTTGATGGAGGAGTGGTGTAAGAGCAGGAGGGAGGGCACCGGACTTGGACCCCTTGCCTTTGTTGGGGACTCAACAGAGAGTTTGTGTTTAGAAGTTGCTTCCTGTCGGAGCGCCAGGGTGTTTGAGCAGAAGGTAACCTTGTTGCGGGAAGCGTCGACGTTGCGGCCATGGTTGGCGTCTTTCTAAGAATGGGAGGAGCAGGAGAAAATCCTGACGGTCCAAAAATTAAGAAAATCTCAGGCCCCAATTGCAACTTTCAATGTGGAATGAACGGCAGACCTGTTGAAGTTCAAACTTCAAAGCGCCCCACCTTTCTTCTCTCCTGAAGTTGAACTTCTGAACAGAAGGCTGGATGCTCTGAAAGATCGGTACGTGGAAAGTTTTACGTGGTTCAAAAAAAGCTGCACTCACAAACAGCCCCGGTTTGAGAACCGTCACCCGGTCAGACCGGCTTCATGTGAGCTTCTGGGTACGCAGGACTCTTTGAATGCTCAAACAGACATGGCAATACCTCCCGTGCGCTGCCGTTTCTCACTCGACAAGTACATCTCCTTCTAGAATAAGGCGCTGTCTTCCCTTAGCCTTAGGCTTTGTCTTCCGCCTTTGCCAGCATCTCGAGCTTCGCAATATCAGCTTTCAAACGAGCTAGGCTCGGCTACAGCTAGAGTGTTGCCCCTGTGTTGCTCTCTGTACAGGTGACATTGATCTGTCCATTTCTAACCTCACCCAGCTGCGAAAGGCAAGCCGTCCTGAGCCCAGGACAAGCAGGCCTCGAAAATCCTCTTGCCCTTCCTACTCTTCCATGCCTTCGTGGTCATTATTGCAAGGCTGCAACAATCCCCGCCTTTGCGCATAGATTACTCTTGTATGATGCTGCCAGCAGGGTCCAGCTGCTGAAAAGCTGATGCAATTCGATAGGTGAAAATTCCATCAAAAACTCTAGATTGCATCCAAAGGCAGTGACCCTTGACTTATCAGGAACAGCAATGGAGCAGACGGCCGAAGAACGGAAGCAAGCTGCACTGCAGATGTATGAGGGGTACAAGAAACACTTTCCTGAGGTGAGGAAGCAGAGCTGCAAATGTTAATTGCATCCCACCTTGGCAGCATTGCAGATGTAGCGTGGGGTCTCTGAGATACTTGAGGCTGCTTGTACACAATCTAGTGACGCTTGTCCAGCGCCGGTCTCTATGGTTGATCAAACTGGTTCCAAGAGACATAATGAAGGTGCGTCTAATCTTGGTGTTGTTGTAGGCTCGTTACTGTTGAATACGCTTGATGGTAAATGCATCTCATGCATCATCGAAGAAGCTGGGCAACTTGAGCTGAAACCCTTCAGCTATTTTCCGCAGGTACCTGAGATCAGCCCAGCCAACCTGCACGAGCTGCTGGAGAAACGAGAAGCGGGGTGAGCAGTATCTCATCTCTGCGGAGCTTTCGGCCTTTGAGAGAGAGGGATACGGTTATTGATTGTTCTGGCGGGCGAGCAAGTCGGCGAGGACTCAAATTTTGGTGATCAACTTTGTAGCAACGCCTCTACTCTAGATTCTTCGCAGTTTTGCGTCCAATTCCAGTTCTATCTGATCTGGACAGGAAATATCTTTCACCCTGGCTGCGAGTTGGAGTACGGAGCTAAAACACCTGACAAGTTCTTATCCTCTCAACAGCAGAATCGAATGAGCTCCACGTGTTTGAAACATAAGTGCAAGACCACCATGATGGTCCCTGTAAAATGATGCTGTGAAAGCGTCTGGAACGAGTTCCCAGAGAGGGGTGGAAAGAGAGCCCGAGCGTGCGATCGCTTACAATTCCTGATGGCAATCTCACAAAGTGTGTGCCATGTGCAGTGATGCCAAGGTGGTGGTGGTGGACGTTAGAGGAGCGGACGAGCAGAGCGTACGTTTCATCATTTCATCTAGCTTGGTTTCTCCCACTTCTCTGTGTAGACTAGGAAGATCTACCTGGTGTTTTGACCGTGGTCACAAACAGGCTAAGCTGACAAAATGCGCTGATGCGTTGCTTGAAGGTCGCCACGAGTTCAATGAGTAGTGTCAGTTTATGGTGGGCGGACGAAGACTAAGGTATTACAGATAGACTACAAAGAGGACGAGGAATCACCAGAAAAGATACGGAGACTCTCCGATTCTTATGATGGATCAAATCCTGCAGTGACATGGTTCTTTGTACAAATGTGGCCGACATACAGGCTCACCAATGTTTTGGCAATCTTATGAGTCTTTTCGGTTGTGCCCTGTGCTCTTAATCGCAAATTTATGAAATTTATGAGCTTGGATATTCTTGCTGATTGGTACATAGACAAAGCAGCTCGCTGAAAAGCCGGCCTTCTCTAATGCGTCATCCGAAAACCAGAGATGCGCATTGACGTTCACTCTCCGGCATCTGTCACCAGGTGAGAAATGAAAGAGGTACACTATTTGACCGAGCAGAATATTACGTTCTGAAGTCCTCTACTTCAATCCAGGTATCTATGATTCCGGATGGGACGCTAAAGCAGGCTGACTTCGAGAAGAGGAAGTCCGCTTACCGAGACCATCAAGTTGTCAGCTACTGGTGAGCGCAGTACCTCTTTGCTCCTGCTTGAAAAGTATTCCCTCAGCCTTTTACCCAGTCAATCGCTTCCTCATTCTTTCCAGTCCCGGCGTACGGTTCCTGGTTAACGATGGTATATCCTGCTTTGATTATTCTGGTGAGAGTTGAGGGTGCTCAACACCCTGATGAAGATATTGCTGCTGGCAGGGCACTACTCGACTGCAACGAGAGACTTGCTTGCCAAAGTACTCGTCACTTTTCATATTGAAATGCCCGCGTCTCGCCTAATGGCGGTGTTATGCGGCTGTTACTTATCTCCTCGTTGCTTTTTCGTTGACTGTCAATTTCTTTCTCCACAGCACAATTGGGTACCGAAGCGGCAAGTATGCGGAGAGCCTGCGAAAAGAAGGCTTCGATGCGTCAAACTTGATCGGGAGCATCCTCATGTGGGTAAGGCGCTACCCAAGATAGGCGGGATCATGCAAGAACGTCGCTACATCCAAGCCCGTTATCCCGGAAGTCCGTTTTCTTGCTATTTGACAGAAATGAAATTCGTTGATGCCTTGAGGATGCCCTTCCACGGTTAGAAAATCCATTTTTCCCGTGTGCCTAGTAATGCCCTCAGCGAAATCTGCTACCGCAAGTTTTGTCCTAGCTTCTCGTCACCTGACACCCGTTTCCCAGTCCTAGCTTCTCGTCACCTGACTCCCGTTGGGCCCAGTCCTAGCTTCTCGTCACCTGACTCCCGTTTCCCAGGACACCCCACCGAGTCGCACTTAGGATTCTAGTCAAATCGGCCTGGCAACCAATGGGGGCCACCAGGTCTCCACGATAGGCAGCACGCATGTTCGTAGTCTTCAAGCAGCGGTTTGCTTTGATATGTCGACGTCCCTTCATAACACGTAAACTACCGCCAATCATATATTACGTCACGAAACGTCTGTGCAGACCCATGCGGGTTATCCTCTGGTGAGCTCATACGACGAAGAGAAGGGGAGCGCCCCCGCTTCAGACGAGCCCAGCAGGACGCCACGTGTCCACACGTGCGGGAAGAAATGGCGGCTCGCTGGCGACGGATACGAGATGGTGAGGGAGCGAGCCTTTTGCGCCCTTCGTGCAATCGTAGCGAGCACTACTTTGGGCTGGATCATGCTGATATCTTGCGTCCTTATCTCTATGAAAAGTCGAATGAACCGCTAAGAGCAGTTGTAGCAAAATTCGCATACGTCTGAAGGGACCCTTCCAAACGAGAATTACGTTCTAATGGTCCTTCGGCATGACGTTGTTTGATCTTCTGGGCTTGGCAGCCGGTGCGAGCTTTGTAACCGGTGACTTTGCTTGGCGCAAAAATTGTCGGATTTACCTCTCCGATTACTCCGATGGACTAAACCCTTTGTGCCAAAAAAGTGCTTGTGCTTGCTTGAGGATAAATTTAGCAACCGTGAGTATTCCGATAATGTTCTGAAAGGTAAGAGCCCGGTAAGAGCCTGATTGGCTCAAAGAACTCCGCAAATTAATCCACCAAGAAGCTCAAGATAGGCGGCGTGGCTGGGCGTACGGCTTCGCAAGGGGCCGTACCATTGAGAACAAGAAGAAAAGTCCAGACGGTTAGGTCGGGCTTAGCCTTATTTTTACCATTGGGAATTTCCTACAGGTTACGCCTGAACCCCAAGGGCTTCTGTCGAAAGTGAAGGCGGCGGTGATAGAGCGTTTTGCTTGAAACGTCGACCTCCTCTGGCGACGTCAAAAATGTCAATTGGCTCCTTTCAAAAGCAGACAACCTTGTCGTTTCAGCAATAATCAGCTTTCTGTTGCCAATAATAATGCCAAACCCGAGTTCCTTTGTAAAATTTGCCTCAGTGGCTTGAAACGACTTGAATAGCTTCTAGGCATGATGTTACAATCTTCGACAATCAGCTCTGAATGTCGGTTCAGAAGGCGAAAAGTGGTGTGTCACGAGCTGAGTGTTACCTTGGAGCAGCGCATTTGAAGTGCTAGCCCCCAATCGAAGTCAACAAACACTGGAGGGCCTTGACAAACCCTCCAAGGATTCGGCCCGGCCGGCTGCCCTTTGGATATCCCGGCGAGAGTTCTTCCGTGACAAAGCGTGTCGATTTGCGCTCTGAGTCGTGAGTCCGCCATGAGTGACCTTGCCAGCAACCAACACTCGGATGACAAATCATAGGACTGTTGCGCCAATTGTCACTAAGTTATGCATGTGAACTCATACTCGTGGGAATTGCGCCTTGGCTAGTTGAGGCAGGCGACCGTCCCGACCGTCCGGTCGCCCGCTCGCCATGTCCGACGGACGTTCAAACATAAATTTGGACATGTTTACAATCAAAACTATAGTTTTACTTGGTACGGTGCATGGGGGCCACCTTTAGGTTTATAAATCGACATCAGCGATAAGTTCCTCAGACTTTACATCTAAGCTGGAATCAACTCCGGTCACCCGGCATAATATGCATACGCATGCTGAGATTCATTTCGATTGATGACTCAACAGATTTATAACAAAGTTAGTAACACCGATGCATGCAATCAGGAACCGTATGTCGACTAGCTCAAAATAAATTAGTTGCTAATTTATGTTGAGTATGTGCATATGCATAAAGGCATGGTTTGTGACGGTTGGACAGGGTCACACGCTGCCTGTCTACTTCACATGTGCGGAAACCATGCGAAGCTTCTCAGCCCGCCT